GAGAGAGAGACACACACACACACACACACACACACACACACACACACACACAGACAGACAGAAACAGACTCTTAAGCACCGGGAACAAACTGGTGATTACCAGACAGGAGGTGAGTGGAGAGACTGAAGCAGGTGATGGGGAGTTAAGGAGTGCACATGTGATGAGCACCAGGTGATGTATGGACGTGTGGAATCACTGTATCATATACGTGAAACCAGTTTTACACTGTATGTTAACTACACTGGAATCTAAATAAAAATTTCAGAAAACCCCATCATATTATACTAATAGTCATTTACTCTTTAGAGGATTTTTTTTTTTTTTTTTTGTATATCTAACTTACTCGTGAAACAGGACAGAATAGTTTTATTTAAATTGAAAATTAAAGAAAACCCTTCAAGTGCACAAAACAAACAGTTCTGCTCATTGATCTTTCAGAGACACGGATAACATTTTCCAATACAACCAAGAAAAAAATATACATAATTCTGCTCACTATAAAAATTCTTCTGATGTCCTGAATTAACTTTTAATATTTTATAAGAGGGATACAGCATATGGATATTTAGGTTAATAAGTAAATATAACGACTATAAAACCAACTTTGTTCATTGTATATATACATATGTAATGAAATAAAAAGTGAACCAAAGAATGGGACCTTTTTCTTTGTAAGACTATTAATTATGTCACTAACGTCCAGAACAAATCATGAATGTTCCTTACAACAGCAGTACAACCCATGTGGTTTTGGAAGAGAACAACAAATTCATATTGCTTGAAGTTACATAAATTTATTATTATTAAACGAAATTTGACAAAAACACTCTTAAAATGCTAAATATAAAATACTGGCTAGGTATTACTATTCTTTTTTATACGATGGCATTCTATTACAGCCCAGAAAATTTACAGAGAATATTAAAAATGGTATTTTGCCAATAAGCAGGTACATGAAAATAAAACTAGTGAACATTAAAAAAATATTTAACTTTTAAATCTTGAAGATGAACTCAGCATTGCAAAGCTACAAAACATATACAAGCAAATGCTAGAATACATAGTATGCCCTACTTTGGATGTAGAATACATTTTTTTCTGTGCTTAAATAATGTAATTCCTTTGCTTTCTGTAAACATGTAGAAAAACATTTTAAAAGGAAAAAGTATTTTAATACCCTAACATTGGACATATGGGCGTTGTGGTAGCAGTCATACAAAACATGTTAACGAAACATTCCAAATAAAATGACAAAGAACATGAATTTAACATTTCAGATCTGACTAATCATCATCATCATCACTACTGCTACTGTGAGTCATAATCCACTCCCTGTAGACCTGAATTTTCTGTAAGCATGGTAGAGGGAAAAAGAAGCACAAAGGTTAGTTAAGCATGGCAAAATGCTTGCAAAACATGTAAAATTATGAAATGTTCAAGGAGTCAGAATAATCTTAAGGCAGAGTTCAGATCTGAGTAAGGCAGTAATTACAGATATAACATTCCATAACTTAATAGATCTAAGACTAGACCTCACTGGCTGGTACACTCAATGGATAAAATAGTTGGATGATACCAGTAAGGTATTCCATGAATATATGAGAATTATTATTCTATTTCTCTAGTAGTGAACTTGAATCGCCCAGCTGGAGGCACTGTAATAGGTACTCCTTTCTAGATACAAAGGCATACAACCAAAGTGTATTTTATATTTAATTATATATAGGCCCATATAATTTACTGAACGTAGAGTACCTTTTTTTTTTTTAGAAAATTAGAAAATAAAAGGAGAAACATCTTAAGTATTATACATTTGCTAAAGCACCAATGTTAAATCACTCAGATTTAATCTCTTTAGATGAGACTTTAAATCCTGTTTCTACGTCATCTGCTTTTCTTCTAGAGTACTGGCACTCACGTATTGTAAAATATTTGCTAATGACGGTTTTGATTTAAAAAGCACCACTACCACCAAACCAACAACCTGCTTCTCACACCTATAAGAGAACAATGCTAACCACAACATCCTAAGGCCTCTGGTGAATTCCTATAGGTATTCCAGCTAATACTGTGTTTAATACTCTTGCTAAAAAATAAGTAAAAATGGCTACAAGGATTGTGAGGTTTTCATCATTTAAACAGCTCTTCTAGCAGTTAACACTAAAACTGGCCTACTAAAAATAATATGTACCACTAAAAACACACAGCCAAAGGTCATGGCTTTTAAATCCCAAAGTTTAAAACTTCAGCAAACCATTAATGTAGGTATAAAATAAATTTATTTGTCACTAAGATCAAATTATCAACTGAGAGAAATTTTTGTATCTTACGGCTTTCTTATTTATCATAATCTATTTCCTAATAATGAGGATTATTCCCCTCACTACTCATCCTTACTTCTTACTGAATTAATTAAAAGTTTCTCAGGAAATATTTTTAATTTTTCAACAGGTGATCTAATAACTATTCAGCCCAGTAAAATGTCAGTAATAGGTTAACATAAGCTACTAATACAAGTAACAGGTTCCTTCCCTAAAAAGGGAAGGCTGGAATTGAATAGAAGTATATTTTTCAATTGTATTAACCAAGGGTGACTTCTGCACCATTTCCATCTTCCAAAGAATGATACACTATCACTACAGAGATTGCACAAAATGCTTTTTAGAGCACAACCTTTCACTAGATTGCCACTTCGGTCCCAATGTGCAATTATTTGGATGCTTTAAAAACATTTTAAACACACTATCGCTTTACTAAATAATACACACTATCTCAGTGGTCATGTTTTACTATATTAGATGGAAGTACATTTTACGCAAAATTATATATCCTGCATGTAGTGGGTAAAATACTGAAGTTTTAAATATTTACCATGATCATTTTAAACATGACAATATTTAAAATATCAAGGTTATAAAGAAAGGACCATATCCCCACTGTTTATTATAACTACAAATATTTTCAAGTCTATATAACATAATGACTCCTTGTCTGTTTGCAAAAAAATGATTTAGTAGTCCATATCTAAACCAAAGATGAAATAACTTTAAATTGGTATAATCTATCATGGTATGTTACCTACACCATAATTCAAGTTTTAAAAAGCCCAGTTTTCAAAGTAAGAAAAATAGCTATTATTTTAGATAAAATGTTCGACCTCCAAGTGGCTTTTTGTTTCAAATCTGATTTTCCTTAATAAAAGATGTTGGCTTTCATGTGAACTGCTTATCAGATCCCACAGGTTTTAAATAGACCACACAGGCATAAGGCAAGAAGAGGGTCAAGACTAGTTGAATATCTTCAAAAGAAAAGTCTAAGAACCCAAGAATTTCACCAACAGCAGTGGTACTGGTTTTTTCCTTATCCATGTCCAAATGGACATGAGAACTGTGTAAAAGCTACTAGTGGCCTGATATGCAGAGGGAAGTACCCTAAACAGAAATGGTTTAATTGGTTAAGTAAGTACCAACAACTATGAGGGTACATAAGGCACGATGGTTTTCAACAAATTTAGCAAATCCAGTACAGAACTAAGAACACCCTATAAAAAGATCAGATTCACTAAAATCCTATACAAAAATTTACCAATACAAAAGCTTTTCTTTGTATTCAAAATATTGAAACAGCTGTACGTAGTTTGAAAATTTTAAGACTAAAATCTACTGTTGGCTTTCACTTGTAAAGTCATGCATTAATTGTTTTCATATCAAACTTTTTGATGCCTGTAAAAAAGAAAAAAAAAATCTTATAGTAAATAAATGTACATTAAAACCTAAGTGCTAGAAACTTATAAATAGAATTAAGCAAAACACATAAAAGCCCAAATAATCTAACATATATTTAAAATAGTATATAACTACTTTTAGTAAAGTGAATCTGACTAAATTACTCGTAATGTGTAAAATATTTCTTCACCCACCTGTAACATCTGGTTTCCAGTCCCATCCCTCAACCTGTAAGGTCTGATGACTCCATCCTCATTAAAGAATCGCGGGGGCCGCAGGCTCTCCACTTCATCAGAAGTCTCTGTAGCTCTGCAGGAAAAAAAATATAACTTGACTACAAAAATTATTCAAGAACTCTTTAGTACACTTTAAAATGCAACTACTAAAAAGAATCTTCTTTTGGATAAGACTACTACATCACTTCTCTATTTTAAAATTTGTCTTTATGACACTAATGTAAGTTTTCTAGAAAAATGTCAACTTGTAAAGAAGTTTGTTTACAGACTGTCTTGGATTTTCTTTGTAGACAATAATTAGAATCAGCAAATGAATGTTGCTTTTTTTCTTTTTTCTCTGATTTAAGACTTCATTTCTTTTTCTTTTTCTATTATACTGTCTAGCTCTTCCAGTTCAATGCTAAGTACACCAATACAATACTAAATATGAGGTGATTGTAGCTGACCTTGCCTCATTTCTAACTTTAAAGGGAAAGATTCTTCTACTTCTTTTTAATTAATTAATTAATTAATTAATTAATTTGACAGAGAGAGAGAGACAGCGAGAGAGGGAACACAAGCAGGGGGAAAGGAAGAAGCAGGCCTCCTGCCAGAAGGGAGCCTGCTGTAGGGCTCGATCCCAGGACCCTGGTATCATGACCTGAGCCAAAGGCAGATGTTAACGACTGAGCCACCCAGGCACCCTAAAGGGAAAGCTTCTAAGATTTCTCCATGAAGAACCTATATTAACAAAAAAAATTTTTTTTTAAGGTATCTTTTGTCAAAACAAGGACGTTCATTTCTACTCTTAGTTTGTTTATAGTTTTTTTTATTGTTATTGTTTTTAAAAAATCTTGAATGGGCAATGAAAATGAAATATGAAATTCCTTTCTGATCATTGCTGTCATCATATAGTTAATCTCCTTCAATCTATTATTGTTATAAATCACATTACATGTATAGTTTTCTAATGTTCAAATACCCTAACATTCCTCATAGTCCCACTTGGGCTTGGCAGTTACTGTTTGAAAAATATATATGCATTGCTAGTCTTGGTACTATAATAATTTAACATTTTTTTATAAAGATTTTATTTATTTACTTGATAGAGATTACAAGTAGTCAGAAAGGCAGGCAGAGAGAGAGGAGGAAGCAGGTTCTCCGCTGAGCAGAGAATCCGATGTGGGGCTCCATCCCAGGACCCTGAGACCATGACCTGAGCCGAAGGCAGAGGCTTTAACCCACTGAGCCACCCAGGCACCCCCATAATTTAGCATTTTTGACTGTATGGACCTACATGAGAATGGTCTATTTGTTCATTTATTCAAAAAATATTCACAGATTCAATCAACATTAATTAAGAGCTTACCACATAACGTACCCATATGTATAAGACATACATATGGGTAAATTCTCCGATTAAAAAGCAGAAATTGGCAGAACAGATAAAAAAGTATGATCCAAGTATATACTATCCAAAAAAGACGGACTTTAGAGTCAAAGATGAAAGTAAGTTGAAAATGAAAGGATGCAAAAGGATATAACATGTAAACAGTAACCAAAAGAGGGCTGGAAAAGCCATACCAAGTTCAGAAGAAAATTAAATTTTAAACAAAATATTCTCATTAAATACAAAGGACATTTTACAAGAAAAGTTAATACATCAAGAAGATATAAAAATTAGGAACACATAAGTACTTAACAAGAGAGTTCCCAAATACATGAAGCAAAAACTGGCAGAACTGAGAAGAGAAAAAAAAAGTCAGTAATAACAGTTATTTCTATATCCTACTTTTAATCATGACTGCTAAATAGAAGATCAGCAAGGAAACAGAAGACTTGAGTAACATTATAATCCAACTAGACCTAATAGACCTCTATACAGAAAACATTTAATTTAACAACAGGAAACTATGTATTTTTCTCAAGTGGACACAGAACACTTTCCAGAACAGACCATGTATTAGGCCCTAAAGCATATCTTAATAAATATAAAAATGCTGAAACCTATAAGGTTTGTTTTCTGGCCACACAAAATAAAACTGGAAATTTGTAAGAGAAGGAAATTTGGGCAATTCACAAATTTGTGGGAACTGAATGGCAGAAGGTCCAAGAAAAATAACCAAGGAAAGTAACTACTTTGAGACAAATGAAAACAAACACAATGTACCAAAATTTATGGGAGAAGGCAAAGACAGTGCTCACAGAGTGATTTATTGCTGTGAATGCCTAACACTTAAAAAGAAGAAAGATCCCAAATCAATAATCTAAATTTACACCTTGCAAAACTGGAGGAAGAAAAGCAAACTACTGAAAGCTAACAGAAGGAAGGACATAAGAAAAATTAGAGCAGAAAAGAAAATTAGAACAGAGATAAGCAGAAGAACAATGGAGGGGATCAATGAAACAAAAAATTGGTTCTCAGAGTCAACAAAAATGACAAAGAAAAAAAGAAAGAGGACTTCAATTGAATGAAGAAACAAACAATCTGATTAAGACTTCTATTAAATAAAGAGACTGAATTAGTAATCAAAAAACTTACCAGAAGAAAAGGTCAAATCCAAATGGCTTCACTTCAATTTGATAAAGTTCAGTGAATTTTATATAACTCATGGGTAATTCAGTAATTTTTATAACTCATGGGTGTGTGTGTGTGTGTGTGTGTGTGTGTGTGTATATGTAGATGGCGTTACACATATATAATGCCTATATATCATATATATGGCATTACATTATTCTAATGTACTTATAATAAGTAAGTAAAAGCTTGCTTAACTTGCCAAGCCCTTCCTGCAAGGCTGCTGGGAATGAAGGACCAAAAAAGAAGAACTCTGTAATGTTGAAATGATGCAAAGGAAACTTAAATGGGAATTAGGAAGATAATACATAACTTGCCATTTTATACGGTTCAAAACGAAGGGCCTTGAGCCAAACAGCCGATTTATTTTATTTCTCACAGTTTAAGCATTTTACTCGTATCTTCCACCAGAGAAAACTTACCTTTTTATTCCCTGAAATGTACTGCTGGCCATGTCTATGATGCCTCCAGTTGGCCTTGCCACTGCTCCAACTAAACCCTTCCCAACACCTTTAAAGAAACCAGCTGCTCCTTCTTTTTGAGCTCCTAGAAAGAAAGAAACAAAGGTTTAGGCAAGTGGATCAAGAATGAAAACAGAATCAATTTGTGAAAGACCTGGTAATCTATATGGCCCAAAGGAATGTACTTGCCTTTGATCGGTTTTGTAACAATTCCTGTTATGCCACTTACAAAACCCTAGGGAGGAAAAGGAAAATTTATAATACTTTCAACATGATTCTTTAAAGAACCAACTCTGGCTTACAAAAAAAATAGAGGGTTCTGCTTTCTAGATACTGTAAGAATCTAGAAAGCATGGGAACAGAAATACATCTAGAAATGCATTACCTAAGTATACTAGTTAAACAATGATTTTAGAGGTTACTGACGTATTTTATATAGGTCACAACTCACTGCTCCTCCAATATCTAAATAATGCTTGAAGGAGTGCAAGTACCTATTTTCTTATTCGCCAAATGTAGCTTTAAAAGATATTCCCTGAGGAGCGTTTGGGTGGCTCAATCAGTTAAGTGTCTGCCTTCAGCCCACGTCCTGGGATCGAGCCTGGAGTCGGGCTCCCTGCTCAGAGGGGAGCCTGCTTGTCCCTCTTCCTCTGCCCCTCCCTGCTGCTCGTGCTCTCTCTCACTCTATCAAATAAATAAATAAAATCTTAAAAGAAAAAAAAAAAAGAAGAAGAAGAAGGAAGAAGAAAGAAGAAGAAGAAGAAAATCCCTGACCAGTTCACAACCCTGGGAAATTTCTTACAGAAACTAAGCCTTTTCCTCCACGAGTGATGCCTTCTCTAAGACCGGCTGGCTGCCTATTCATGGCTTCTCTCCTCTTCTGCTGGTAGTCTTCATCCATGGTCATAGCTGCCACCCCTTTAGCCATAGCATTGGTGATTTTGGAGGCAGCACCGGCTAATCCACCTAGCAGAAATGATCATTATTTTTAGTAAAAGCAGAGGTAAAATTACTTTCTTGCACTAATCACAGCTGGTCGGCGTCCTCTTTCTTACCAACAGCTCCACCAACTAATGCCTTCAGTCCTAGTGCCATCCCCTCCACAAACTCTTCGGGACCCTGGATGGCTCCCTAAAAGGTCAAATAACAACAAAGGTTACATTTTCTTTTAAAGTGAACTTATTGATATAAATTAAGAAAGCAGTAGGGACAAGAATAAAAATATCCTAGAGGAAGTGAAACCAGCAAAAAGCTTCACATTAACAAAATTCTAAGAGATACTTCGCGACGTTGAAAGTACAAGGAACAAGTGGATGCAAACTCAGGAACGGGACTGTTCACCAATGTGTACAAAACATGTTTGCTCCAAACTGTAAGTTCCAGGAGGAAAACATAAGCACAAACTACTCTTGATAATTTTTGTAAAAGAAGTAACTGCACTTTAATACTTAATATTGATGTTTCAAATATACTGTACAATATAAGTAACAGTTTTACTTTTTCATTACCCTCTACATTTAGAAGTTAAAGTAGGAGAGTTTTGAATGTTTTAAAAGAAAATGTTAAGGGACAAAACAATCACTATTTTGTCACTGATTAAGATGGTTTTGCACAGTGTCTGCCTGCAGTTGTTTTCACTGTTCCACACAACGGTGCAAAGGCTGCCTGCCCATGGTGATCTTACTTCTACTACGGAAAATGTTTACCTACCTTTAGTATTCCAACAGAACACTGAAAATTTAGTATATCTTAGTAAAATCTTAAGTTTAGATTTTGAGGGAAAGGGTAAAATTTCCCTCCAAATTTCTCAAAACCTCTTACAATTCTTTGCTGCAAAATCATGTTCTTCTGTTATGTCTCCCAAAATCTATTTACACCTACACTTCAAGTTAGCAGTTTGGGATGCACTATTTTTTCCCAAGTATTAGTGATACAATGCAAGAATAACTATTTTATTACCTGGTACGGTTCATAAAAAAATGCTTCCACACCTTCAGAAAATTCTCTAATCAAGCCAAAGGGATTTCCCAAAACTTCAAGTCCAAGAATGAGTACATACATTTGCTTAATGGCCTAAAAATGAAATACAAATATAAATCAATTCAGTCAACTGGAAAAAAATGTTGATGTTCAGTACACACATCCAGTTTCTTTTCTTTAAGGCTAACACCCTTATCACCAATTTCAACACCTATACCATATCACCGTATTTATCACTAGTTTTGTTTTTAAAAAGTGATTTGGTATTAGAATATTACAGATAGTATGACATATTTACATAAAGCTTTAGAATACTCAAAATGCTTTCACTTTTACAACTGTGTGTGACAGTTGCTATTACCACCAACATTTTATAGGCTGGAGAAACATAAAAGTCAAATGATGCCCAGGGTCACATAGTAGGTAAAGAGCAAAACTGGAATCCAAACCCAGACATCTTGAATCAGGCTTAGTGTCTGTCCACTACAGAAGAGCTGTCTCAGATGCTATCTAAGTTATATTAAGATACAGGAGTCTTTCTAAAGATGGAAAAAAAAATCCATTAAAATAACATATCTAACTGACTCAACAACACAACTACATTAAAAACTGCCTGTATTCAGTTAGTTGCTAATAGCTTCCCTTGAAACTATTTTTTTAGAGTAAGTTTGGTGAATTAGTTAATATTTTATTTAAAGATATTTAAGTCCACATTTATCCAAAAAATATTTCTGTCAGTGGCTCAAAAAGAGAAAGGCAAAAAAATGAAATGGTGGCATGGCTCAATTTCTTTTTCAATTCTGAGAAAAAAAAAAAAAGTTTTAAGATTTTGAAAATGGCTATTTACTTCCTTGTCAAATCTACATTACTTGTACAGACCCAGTTTCACTGTCTCAATCTGTCCCTTTATAAAATATCTCAGACAAACCTGTTTCGAATAGTGTCTTATTACTTCAGACTGTAGTTCAGATGCTGTATGGAACTGATAGTTCAGCTCAAAAAATGCAAGCCTGCAAAACACATATAAATATGTGTGAGGGTGTGTGTAGGAGGGGAAGAGGGAGACAGGGGAAGAGAATATTTTTAATATTAACAAATTGTTTCCTTTTCTTTCCTTTTGTACATTTCCCATGCCAATCAGAAAGCCTGCTCTTTTACATAGGCACATTCTGGTCAAAGAACCCTCAAAGAATATCATGAAAGCTATGGATCTTATCCTCAGAAGAGCCACCAATATAAACATATTTTCACATCCTTCAGGGGAATCAGAGACCCTCTGGATCCCACTCATGGACATGAAATGTATTTTCCAACTCTGCCCTGTCATGGCCCACACAGAAATGTCTGGCATGGTGAGGTGAATGGAGAGGTTTTATTTTTATCCTTTTTTTTTTTTTTTTAAAGATTTTGGCTATTCTGCTCAAGAATGGCCAGGCTTCAGTTGCTGCAGATCCTGTCTGATCAGCGGACGGCTGAGGAATCAAGGTCAGTTGACTGCTAACCTATTCACAGCACATGCGGATCCACTGCTTGGGAAGCTCTCTGTTAGCTGGTAGACAGAAGCTGGATGAGAAATCTCATCCTATTCCCAACGTCTTCAAACCTATGTTCTTTAATTTGACTGGTATCTAACTTTATCTAGATTTAGAGTTACATCCTACTGGATTCACTGAGTCTTACCAAGGTTCTTAATAACATTGCTGGGTGCTACCTGAAAAGGTCATTCTCATCTGAAGTCTCCACTCAGACTTTTTTGAGTTTATTTGGTCAGGTATTCTAATAGCTTCCGTTATGACTCACATTAAAATGTATATTCTCGGCTGTAACATTTAAACGAATCCCTTCATTTCCCCTGTCACAGCTTTCATTTTGCTTTAGTCGCATATGCTCTGAGAATCTTGACCCTAAGAGCCCTAAAGCCACATGGTATAAGTGCCATACCTTCGGGCACTCACAGCTTCTCAGGAATCCTCTGTAGCCCAGAAAGGCCTTATATGTTGCACAAACTTGTATGGCCTCTGTCCCTCTTTCTTAAGGAAATTATTTAATAATTATTCTGTTCCTTCTAGTTAAGGTTTAGCAGGTTAAATGTTACTTAAATCATATTCCATTTAACAGCAAAACCCATATTTGTCTATGATTTCCAATGTCCTTTGTACACTTTTTCATTTGTAAAGTTTTTAGGTAAATGTAAAATGGACTTTTCGTCAATTTATAGATTTGAATATTGAACATACTTAAAAACTACATCTTGTACATCGGTAAGGGTGGCACCAATACTCTTCAGGAGAAGATTTAAAGAGCGAACGGCCACGAGTCCTTCCTGTTGTTCTGAATCTTTAGCTTCTTCTCTGCCCGACCTCAGTGAAACACTTAAATGCAACTAAAGAGATAAAGAGACAAATATTTAAGCACTATCTGCAAAATGACAATTTTAACTTTTAAAATTTAATCTTATTTTAAATTTACTATACCATATAAGATTTCAAAGTTTGATAAATTTCAGTTTCGCAATTTTAGATTATGCCAAAATTATTAAGTGAAAAGTTAAAGGAGTTTAAAATTGAATACAGCTCTTTTTAAATTTTAAATTCAGTAATGTAAGCTAACATGGTACTTAGGCTCAATCCCAATCTTTTGGTAAAGCTATGAAAATAATAATTTTTATATATTTTTAAATAATAATAATAATCCAGAAGTTGCAGTTGTTGAAAATAACTCAGTGTTTCAAGTATTAGAATTAAGTTACCAGGTTGAAATCAGTTAAAACAAACTTTCACACTTTTGTATTGTATGCATTTATATAATTACTTATATACTATATATATTGTGTATATATATAATTTTCTATACAATATTTCCAAGTGTTATGTAAGTATGATATGCATTTATATATAATTATTTATAACAATATTGTATGTATATATATATATACAATAATTTTCTATAATTTTCTTCAAGTATTATGTAAGTAATTCAGAAACTCTGTATTAAGAACTTATATTTAGTTCCATTCAGTGTTCAGTTCTTAAATCAAGGTTACTCCACAAATTAATTTACAACTCAGAGACTATTGTTAGTAATATTGTAGTGCATTATTTGAAAGTTGCTAAGAGAGTAAATAAATCTTAAAAGTCCTCATTACAAGAAAAAAAAATTTTTAACACTGTATCATGATGGATGGGGAACGAATTTATTGCAATGATCATTAACAGAGTATACAAATATCAAATCATTACCTTATACACCTGAAACTAATCCATGTTCTATGTCAGTTATCCCAATACACACACACACACACACATCATACACAAAATTAAACAGGTTAACAGAAAACTAAGGTAACAAAAATGTTAGGTCAAGACCCCAATGTTCATAGCAGCAATGGCCACAGTCGCCATACTGTGGAAAGAACCAAGATGCCCTTCCAACAGACAAATGAATAAAGAAGATATGGTCCATATATACTATGGAGTATTATGCCTCCATCAGAAAGGATGACTATCCAACTTTTGTATCAACATGGACGGGACTTGAGGAGATTATGCTGAGTGAAATAAGTCAAGCAGAAGAGAGTCAATTATCATATAGTTTCACTTATTTGTGGAGCATAAGGAATAACATGGAGGACATTGGCAGATGGAGAGGAGAAGTGAGTTGGGGGAAATCGGAGGAGGAGACGAACCATGAGAGACTATGGACCCTGAGAAAGAAACTGAGGGTTTTGAAGTGGCAGGGGGGATTGGGTGAGTCTGGTGGTGGGTATTAAGGAGGGCACGTATTGCATGGAGCACTGGGTGTGGTGAATAAACAATGAATCTTGGAACACTGAAAAAATAAAATTAAAAAAAAAAAAAAGATATGAACATATAAACACATGTTGTAGGTGGCTCCAATATTATTTCTATATAGTGAAAAATTGTTATAAGTATAAATAAAAATTTCAGAGGACTATTCTTGCTACTTTATTTACAGAATTTATATACTATTAGAGAAAATAATTTATATATATATGTAATTATATATATATAATTGGGATATATAATTTATATCCCAAACAATGCAAGTCAAGTTGCTATTACCTAGATTATCAAGGATAATAAAAATGACTTCTATTTCCCCTACCTTGATAGGAGATATATGGAAGTATTCATAGAGACTGACTTGTGATGAATCTGCTAATGAAGCTGTTTTATATTCTTCCTGGAAAGCTTCTATATCTTTATGAAAAAGTTCAACCTATAGGGGAAAAAAAAGCATTAAAAACTTAAAGGATCCATCTGTTTGAGGCATTTAAGTCAATAGCTCAGATACTGTAGAACACACCTCCATAACATCCATATTCAACACTGTTTATGATTAGAAAGTTATTGTAAGAGAAGGGAACCTAACACCTGTTAGTAAAGCTCTGTCCCTAACTCACAAATTGATAAGCATATTTTGTTTCCATCTAATCCATTACAGAACACTAAGCTTTTCTTCTTGGGACTATAGAGTTATCCCCAAAAGCTACTATAATCCAGTGCATCAATACTTTCTTAGGAATATTCCTTTCTTTAAATATAATCATAGTTCTTCTGTAGCTTTTTAGTAAATACCTCACTGACACCTACAGAGGTCCATGCTATAATCAAAAAGGGGAAGGCACTGAAAATGATGTTGTATTAAGTGATGAATATGGCTTTCATTCTTGATAATCAACATTAATTCTCTTTTAAACACAAATTTAAGTACTTCTATGTGTTGAGAAATGGCCCCAACATTCACATTTTGACCTATCATCAACAGTATCAAAATGACAGCCTTATTAAAAGTACAGTGTCTGGAAATTGACTTCTCAGATGACAGTGTGAAGGGCTCTTCAGACCAGTTCCCCAGTGAAACTGGTGAAACAAACATTTGGGGTGCTTGGGTGCCTCAGTCGGTTAAGCATCTGACTCTTGATTATGGCCCAGTTTATGATCTGGGGGTCATGGGATCAAGCCCTGCATCAGGGTCCACACTCAGTGGGGAGTCAGCTTCAGAGTCTCTCCCTCCACATACCCCCATGCATACTTTCTCTCTCTAAAATAAATAAATATTTAAAAAATAAATATAAAAAACCTAAATATCTAAGGCCTCTATGAATGAACCTAATGGTATAAGCAAATAAACATCTTTTCAAGAAAATCTACAAAAATTTGTAAGAAAAGTGAATCTGTAGTATTTGAACAAGTACCATTCTCTCAGATCCCCCTCCTAGTTCAACAAGCCATGACTCCACTCTAGATTGCTACACTCAAGAACATAAAGCTCCCTGTCTCCCCTCCTAGTTCAGCAAGCCATGACTCCACTCTAGATTGCTACACTCAAGAACATAAAGCTCCCTGTCTGCCCAGTGGACAGCTGGAATACTTTCTTCCTGGGAGGCATAAGATGTCAGCATTTCTTATCCCACCCCCAGTTACCAGCTGCTAATGCTACATTATGGGGATGGGAGAGCTTCTGTCCCGCTGCCCAGCCTCTACTCATGGAAAAAAGACTCTAATTTGGTGTAATACCACTGAGAATACTGGGTTCTGATCACTCCTGTTCCACTCCTAGCTCTGAAGCTCTGGTCGGGTATTTTTACCTGGGGGACAATGAAACTTTAAAATAACTCCTAATCTTTTTCCAAAGAAACCCCTAATCTTTCCCCAAAGCCTTCGACTTCGATTGTAAGAGAGTTTTTGAAGAAGTTCACATCTGAGCATTAGGAAACAGTAAATGTCATAGGGAAAGATAACTGGAAGGAAAATCACTGATTCAATGAAGATGCAGGCTAAACTGCAGGCGTCTTAGTTTTCATGAGTGAAATGGGGAAAGAGACAGTTTAAGGGGTCCTCCTGGGGTCAAAACAAATATCAAACACTGATCTCCAGATGAGTTCCTCAAAGAAAAAAAAAAAAGAGCCCAAGTCTGATTAGATTAGTCTGTAGAACAATTTATGGCCTAAGGTACTGTGGGAAAAAAAATAACACAATCAACCAGCAATTAGTAGACTTCAATAGCTAGGTGTGTTGTGAAAAGAGAAGAGGGCCCAGCCCCAAAACCAATTGTTCCAGGGTAAGGGTGGGTATTCCAAGATCTTCACCTCTCTGAGAAGCAACACCAAAAGCTTAACATTGCAGGAAAAGTAAGGGGTGTAGGAAGGGTAGACCTCAATTAAAAAAATCTAACCAGTCACAGAATGAACAAATAAGCTAATAAGCTTTGGGGACAGAGGGATCGGTAGCCAGTTTTTATAGTGTATCATCTAAAATGTCTAAGTTCCCAAACAAAAATTATGATATGTGCAAAGACAGGAATGTAGGACCCATACACTGGGAAAAAACTAGGCAAAAGAAACTGCATGTGAGAAGTGACGAGACTGGATTAAAAGAAAAATACTTCCAAGTAGCCACTATAAATATGTTCAAAGAACTTAAGAAAACCTGGGGCGCCTGGGTGGCTCAGATGGTTAAGTGTCTGCCTTCGGCTCAGGTCATGATCCCAGGGTTCTGGGATTGAGCCCTGCATTAAAGAAAACCATATTTAGAAAGTGAAAGAAATTATGATGACCACGTCTTATCAACTTGAAAACTACATCAAATACAGAGGGAGAAAAATTATATATTAAAAAACCTATTAAAAATTCTGGAATTGAAAACTGTAATAGAAATGGAAGATTCACTAGAAGGACCTAACAGTGTATTTGAGCTGATAGGGGAAATAGAAACACTTCATTATACGCTAAATTAAATGCATTGTTTTATCATGACCTTGAAGGCAAAGTATTAAAGTTCATGCAGTCTGAAGAACAGAGGAAAAAGAGTGAAGAAAAATCAACACTCTCAGAGAAATGTGGTACATCATTAAGCATGCTAACATATACAATATGGGTATATCAGGGGAAAAGAGAGTAAAAGTAGAAAAAATATGTGAAGAAATAATAGCTGAACGTTTTCTATATTCAATGAAAAACAATAAGCAACATATCCAGGAAGCTAAATGAACTCCTAGTGCATAAATGGAAAGAGGTTCACAAAAGATATGTAATAGTAAAATTGCTGAAAGTCAAAGACAAAGAGAAAATCTTAGAAACAAGAAGAGAAAAACAACTTACTACATATAAGATGACCCTGATAAGACTAATAGTTGGGGTGGCTGGCGGGCACAGTAGGTTAAGCGTCCCACTCTTGGTTTTGGCTCAGGTTGTAGTCTCAGGGTTTTGAGACAGAGCCCCATGTCAGGCTCTGCACTCAGTGCAGAGTCTGCTTGAGTTTCTCTCTCTCTCCCCACCCCTCCCTCACCTATGCTCTCAAATAAATCTTAAAAAAAAAAAAAAAATTAACAGTTGACATCTTAGCAGAAAGGAGGCAAGAAGACAGTGGGTAACATATTCAAAGTACTCAAAAGAAAAAAACCTGCCAACCAAGAATCCTATATCCAGTATAACTACCTTTCAAAATGAAAGAATATGAAGACTTTTCCAGACAAAAAAAAAACAACAACAAAAAAACTAGTAGGAGAATTTATGGCTAGTAGGTGTGCCTTACAAGAAATACTTATGAAAGTTCCTCAGGCTGAAAGCAAGTGACCCCAAATGGTAATTAGAATCCAAATGAAAAAAAGGAAAAAAAAGATTGAACTGGAAAAGACAATGATGTAAATAGTATAAATATATAACCATTTCTTTCTCTTAACTAATTTAAAGAGCAACTGACTATTTATGTATAAGAAATACAGTGTTCGCCCTATAATAACAGACCAGTATCACATGAATGTGAACACAAAGAGCCTCAAAAAAATACTACTGACCCAAATCCAGCAAAATATGGAAATATTATACACAAGACTAAGTGGGTTGCTTTAACATCCAATGTAATAAAATCAGCAGAACAAAAACCACATCACCGTATCACCAAGAGATGCAGAAAAAGCATTTGACAAAATTCAACACACTTTCATGATAACACTTAGCAAACTGGAACTATTAGAGAACTCTACCTAATGAGGTTATCTACAAAAAAAAAAAAAGCTACTGTTGATATCATAATTAATGGTAAAAGCTTTTTCTTTATATCAGAAAGAAGGCAAGAATGTCTGCCCTTGCACTTGTATTCAATGTTGTACTAGAGTTCTAGCAGGGCAATTAGGCAAGAAGAAACAAAAGCCATGCAGATTAGATCAGAAAGGAAGAAGCAAAACTATTCTCAGATGGCATGATCTTATATGCAGAAAATCCTACAGAATGTATAAAACAACTATTAGAGGTAATAAATGAGTTCATAAGGTTGCAAAATATAAGATCGGTATAAAAAATCAATTATATTTCTATATACTTGCAATGAACAAAAAATGAGATTAAAAAACAATTCTGTGCAGACTATAAAAAAGAATACTCAAAAATAAATTTAACAAAAGAGCCAAACTTATACTCTGAAAATTATACAAATGTTGAAAGAAAATAAAGATCTACATAAAAGCACAACATTCAATGTTTAAGGATCAAAAGACTTAATAATGTTAAGTTGTCAGAACTCCAAAACTGGTATGCAGATTCAATGTAATCTCTGTCAAGACCCCAGATGACTTCTTCAAAGAAGCTCTCAAGCTGATTCTAAAATTCATATGGAATTGCAAAAACATTTTGAACAACAACAAAGGAGGAGGATTCATACTTCTCAATTTCAAAACTTACTACAATACAACAATAATCAGGACAGTACAGTATTGGTAAAAAGATGGACTTACAGATTAATGGAATAAAACTGTGTATTAATGGTCAACTGATTTTTGACAAGGGTACCAAGACCATTAATGAGGAAGGAATACTCTTTCAGTAAATACAATAAATGGTACTGGGACAACTCAATAGTCAAATGCAAAAGACTGATGTTGGACCCTTACCTCCCACTATATACAAAAATTAACTCAAAATGTATGAAAGACCTGATTATAAAAAAACCTCTTAAAACATAGGGCTAAATTCATAACCTTCACAACCTTATATCTGACAAAAGACTCTTAAAAATGACACCAAAAACATGAACAACAACAAAAAAAAGAATTTGAATTTCATTAACATTAAATTTTTGTGCTTCAAAAGACATCAGGAAAGTAAAGCACAACACACAGAATGCGAAGGAAAAAACAAGAATGAGAGAAAATATTTGCAAATCATTTATCTGATATGGGACTTGTATTTAGAATATATAAATAACTTTTACAATTCAATAAAAAGGAGACAACCTATTTAACAAAGGATCTGAATAGACATTTCTCTATAGAAAATATGTAAATGGTCCATCAACACATAAAAAGATGCTCAACATCATTCATCATCAGGTACATGTAAATCACAAAATCACAATGATATACTACTTCACACTCACTATGATGGCTAGAATCCAAAGGATAGATAGCAACAGGTATTGATGATGATGCATTAAAAAAAACTGTATGATTCCATTTATATGAAATATCTAGAACAAGAAATCCTATAGACAAAGTACATCAGTGATTGATGGGACTGGCATGGTTTCCTTCTTCAGTTGGTGAAAATGTTCTGGAATGAGCTAGTAATGATCCTTGTACAATTCTGTAAATACATTAAAAAACACAGCTTTGTCCACCATGGATGATTAAAATGTATAATGTGTGAACTGAATTTCAATAAATTTAAAAGAAAAAAAAAGTATTATTTGCCCTAGTCCTTATCCATGTAATCTGTATTACCTTCAGAATTCTTTTTATGAAGACAGCAGAAAAAGACTGTATCTGATCTACCCTATCACTATGACTTTAAGGTCTATCAGTCACAAATAAGACACTTAACCTTTTATTTTTATCCCTTCTCTCACTGAATATTCTTGTCACACCCAAATTTCTAAGTTATCAATCAAAACAAAGTAACCCCGGAAAATAAAATAGGAAAAAACAGTGATGGGAATATGAGTATTTCTCCCTACTACTGGCCTAAAACCTTTCCTGTTTGCTAACTCACCTTCAAAAGGCTATTTTAACTTGTCTTGCTTTCTTCATCTATAATCTGAAAATGGGATTTCTACCAATTTACCCACCATAGCAGCGTAAGAAAAATTAAAAAATTTTATTTTAAAATGGACCAAAACCATTTTAATACATTAAAAAATTTCTAATTTTTTTAGTCCTCCTCCTTCCCCAATCCTTCCTGTTAATACTATCATTCTAAATCTCACCTCAGTTTTTTCAGTCACTTCGGCTTCTGTCATAAGTTCTGCTAAAGCATAGACAAATCCAAGATCTAACCTGAGGTCCATTTCTTGGATCAACACCTTGAAATACCTATAATACAAAGTAGAAAACATTTAAAAACCATCGATTAAAGTGCATTTAAAAAATGAGATGAGAAAAAAGCATTAGATAATTATTAGAATGCTGAAATTCAGGATTTTATAGATGAACAAATAAAATTGTCATGGCAACACTGTTCATAATAGCAACAAACTCAAAATGTGAAAATGCCTATGAAGAGAAAACTGGTAAGTAAACTATGGTATACAGTCATATGGCAGAATATTATATAATAGTGATAATAAACTCTAGTTACAAACAGCAAAAATAATAAGTTTTAGTAAAAAGTTGAATGAAAAAATCCAGCCCTAATAGTATATTTTCAGTTGAACCAAAAAACAATTTTTTTTAATTAGAAAAAAAGGGAAAACTAAGAAGCATAATGTTTACGTACATACGTACAATAAACTATATTTTAAGATGTAAGGGATGAAATTAGTGTTTATTGTGGTATAAGGTGGAGAAAACAAGAAATAGGGTAATATATCAATGGATGTTTCTGTCAATATTTTATTTCTTAGATTGGATGGTGACCATTTTAAAGCAGTATTTTCTTGTTTCTAAAACAATATGCAGTAATTACAGAAAACTTAAGTGAGAAAATAAAATGTAAGTACATTTCATTCAGAGCCTTCTGACTCTTCAAGATTATAAAATTGATTTTCCTAATGATCTTCATAATTTAATATTTTGCACTTAAACCTTTGACTCACCTGAAATTGGTTTTTTAAAGAGTATAATTAATTCACATATTTAAATAAAAACATTAAATAAACACACAGAAATATATTGACACTTACTTAATACGTGATATCTGGGAATGCCCTGCAGATCTCACGACAATACTGACATCTGTAAAGGGCTTTGGAGCTACAAAAGTTAATAAATATGATTAATCCCATGATGCTTTAAACAAAAGATAAGCATTTTCTTGCAATTTAATACACATCACAATGTAGAACTAACTTATTTACTAAATCATGAGTATCAATTAAAATTACTATTTGTAAGGTCTTAATTTCAGATGCCAGGTTTTTTTTTTTAATTATCTGTATTTACTTAAAAGATAACTAATCCTTTAAGTTAGTGATTTTAAAGTAGAAGTATGCATTAGAATCACCAGGGAAACACTGTGAAAACACAGTTTTCAGGGTCTTGTCCTGGACTTCCAGGTAAAGGGGCTTGGGCATGTACAATGGTCGAAAGCTTCCAAGCAGATTATCAATACCTCCTTAGATAGTTCAGAGCCAGTGGTGTGGAGGTGGGGAGTGGAAAGCAAAGGGAGGGGGGAGGAAAGAGAAAGGGGAAGAGGTATAGCAAAGAAAGAAGGAATATGAAGGGGAAGCAGAGGATAGAACAGACTCGTCATTACATTCAGCTAGAGAATACAGGGCATTTCCCATGGTTAGAGACCACTCTGAATTTGATTTTCTTCACAATTTATTCAAAGGTCCTAGTGGGTTTTAAATCGGGGATTTACAAGTCACTAATATTTCTAAAAATTTAAATATATATTTGTAATTAATTTTCTCCTCAGAATTCAGTCAATGCGTTGCTTAGTTGACTTACTTTAATTTACTTAGTTGACTTACAACTAAGTTGACCTTAGTTGAGTACTTGTTCCTTTCCAAGAGGTTTAATTTTCTAATGATCCCACAGAAACTAAACTTGAGAACGGTTTCATTTCGTGTTTTTATGGTAAACCATACAGCTGATACATTTTTATGGCAATCTAAAAATACAAACACACCTGAATCCATGGTGACCGACTTGGGAGGTTTAATTGGATAAAACACAAATGGAAATATAGCACCATGTATCTGGTTTTGGATCTAAGAAAATAAAAAAAGGTCAGTATATTACTATGTTAATTACAGAACCCTACCAGAATAACAAGATTTAATAAGTAGAAAGAATCAAGCAGTCCAGTTCAACAATGAAACTGAAATACTAGGTAAGAGAGACTATGGGAATGAATATATTTGGTTTATTGCTATGTTCCTTATGAACACAATTTGACTATCTTTTCAGGCTCACCTGTATTCTGTAAACTTGAATTCTAAATGATGACTGATGTGCAGATGTGCTATATTCTACTTTTAATGCTGGAAGATAATTTCTTCTTACAGCTATTACATGTGGCTGCAGAATTTTCATGTTAGTACCACTAGGTGTGAAGCGAACCTGAAAAATATCCCCCACAAAACACTGAATTTCTCTGCATTTCATAAGTGATTAAAATTAGAACTTTGTACCAAAAACATTAAAGATAATTAAAACAGTAAGCTAAACAGTTGACTAGATTGGATCTCTCCAATACAACTCAGAAAAAATGTTCAATTTAATCCTTAGAGCTTAGTTCTATCACTTTTTATATAAATTTACTAAAAATATTAAAGTGATAAAAGGAAAAATAATTTGAAAAGTAAAATAAGTAAAACAACATATTGGCTTCTTGTTAACTAAGGAGTAGATCATTAGCATCTTAAGAGCAAGTCTGAGTTGTTAATACAGACAACTTATTATATATGATAGAATTCACTGCTTTGCAAGAAAACCAGACTTTCCTTAAAGGTCACTAATAATTCATCTAATTTTAACAGGTAAAAATTAAAACTTCGGATCAGTACTTAAAAATATTACCGGAATGTTAGTGTCCAATTCGATAACCTTATCTTCTGCAGGTGAAGATTCAGTATATTCCTTAAATTCTTTCTCTAACTTCTCAGTGTGCTTTACACTCATTGGCTTCCATCTTGCCTTCTTCTTGGGCTTTGTCTCCCAAACCACATCAGAACTTTTACATGAAAGCAAAAATCATAGTGCTAATTTATAAACATTTTCATTTTACCTGGTTTATTACATGAACTGCAAAACCTTCAGTAAAATTTATAATATCCCCAGTAATATGGAAGCACACTACAGATTTAAAAATACAAACTGATTCAATCAATATTTAGACTTTTACTCAGACACTACTTTAGGTTGTAGGGATATTATCAGTAAACATCTTTGCCATCCTACAGCTTTATTTTAGCTGAGTGACAGACCATAAATAGTAAATAGAAAAATATGTGTTATTTGAAACAGAGAAGAGGACTCATATATATGAGGGCCCCAGGGCACCCAATATTAAGCAGCTGAGAAGACAAGGAACCAACACATGAAGTGGAGAATTCTGGGATAGAAAGAAAAACAAAGATGGTCAAGTACCCTGAAAGTCAAGGCAAAGTAAAACTACCAAGAAGGGATCTGTGTGTTACACACTTAAGCAACATGAGGACTGGTCTCTGGTGATCCTGACAAGACCAATGTCATGGTGTGTTGACAGCAAAATCCTGTTGGGAGTAGTTAAAGGAAGAATGGGTAAAATAATAATTGGATATAGTGAGTATATTAAACTCATCCATAATTATTAACACTTTTGAGGAGTTTGGTTATAAAGGGAAGCTAAAAAGTGGGCAGTAGGTAGGCTCAAGAGAATTTTTTAAGTTGAGATAAAGAATACTGATAGACATAACCCAAAAGAGAGCCAAAAATTATTGATGTAGGAGAGATAAAGAAGAGAACTGTGTAATCAATGTCTCAAGAAGGCAAAAGGAAATGGAATCGAATGCAAAGTTGAAAAATATTTTTAAACAGGAGCTCATGTATCTATGATAACAGTGGAGAAGATGTTAGCACAGTGTGTAGGTAAAAATGCTCATGGGTAGAAAGTTGTGATTTGGGGGAGTGGGTCTTTGGAAATTCCCTTCAGACTGCTTCCATTTTCTGAATGAAATGGGATACAAGGCAGTGAGGTGTGAGAGAAAATGGGAGGGTTAAAATGAGACAAGGTGTGAAGTATAGTCTCAAAGGGGATGGAACAAATCTCATTTACTGAAAAATTGCTGAGAGACTTAAATACAGAATAAAAACATCCAACCACATTCTAAAACTGCTCTCTTTAGATACATAAGTTATTTAAGTATTCTATTTATTAATTCCCTCTAAAATTTATATTCACTTAATAAACAGGCAGGAACAGTATATTATTCCTCATTGCACTCACATCATTTAGCATAGCAGTTAGCAAATAATAAACACATTTCTTGAGAATAAAAATTTGTAAGAAAATAGTTTATAATATTCCTTTTTAAATGGCATGGATTTCATTCAATGAAAAGTCAAAGGCGTTTGTAGATGAATTTATACAGATAAACAATTTCAAACCTGTATCATATACCTTTTAACATATATATTTGACAGCTTAAACTCAAGGATTAAAACTATTATCCTGGATAATATTATCCTATATTATACAGACTGGAATCTAGAAATGCCCTCAAAATTAGGCATTAATGTATACAAATTAATTTTACCTTAAGTATTTATGAATAGGAATATTAAAGGCATATAGAAAAGAGTTTTACTGGTGATGACTTAGAGGGTAATGATATATTCCATATTACCTTACTGTATCTTAAAATTAAGTGTCAAGCTCAAATTAAATAATGATTGGCTTTATTCCCCCAACAACTATTTATGGAGCATCCATACTGTATCCTACACTCTGATAGGTAGTAAGAGAAAATTATTTCCTTATGACATGTTAAGAATACTTTTGATAAACTGAATAAACATAAGACGATTTATAAATCTGATTTTGAGATATCTTTATCTCAAAAGGCAAAAAATAATCTCAAAGGCATTTTTAAATCAGCATTACCTTAGTATTATAGTCAAAACACAAAACTTAAACTGTATTATTTTAATTTTATTATCACCATTCTTAATGATTAAGAACTAATCATTTAATGTATCTAACCTTGTAATGCCAATATAGGCTACCTCCTGCTTTGTGTAGTTGTTGACGAGAGAAATTCCAACATCTTGTAAGGCCAACACAATTTCTTGCTCTGCTAACTCTGCTTTCTCACTTTCATATGTTGCTTTGAATACCCTTGGATCTTCAGTGAATAAAATAATGCGCTGTAAGCCTTCAAAGAATGAAACTAAATAAATCGTCTTTTTCCCTGAATTTATAGGTGTCATCATATCCTAAAACAAAACCATCAAAAAAATTAAAAATTAGAGTCTTTTTTTTTTTTTTTTTTAAAGATCTTATTCATTTGTTTGACAGACGGAAGACAATGAGAGAGGGAATACAAGCACAGGGAGTGGGAGAGGGAGAAGCAGACTTCCCGCTGAGCAGGGAGCTCAATGGAGGCTGGATCCTAGGACCCTGGAATCATGACCAGAGCCGAAGTCAGATGCTTAACGACTGAGCCACCCAGGCACCCCAAAAATTAGAGTCTTAACCAAGAGGAAATCTAGATTCCACATCTGAAAAATGAGAATTGTAATGGTAACTTTCAAAGGTTTAGACAAACTGAATGAATATTTGCATAACAGTCAGAAATTTGCATAATAAAAATCAGTTGATGTTTGCTTCTGCCATTATTATTATGAAGTAATTAATCAGGAAGACAGGTCAACTGTTACTGTTTTTTCAACATCTTAATAAAATTTAATTAGTCTTCTTTTGTAGGCTAATCAATAACACAAAATATTATTTTCTCTGCTTTATTCTAAGACTAATCACTGTGTTATATGTTAAAAGTTGTTCAGTCAGAAATTTAATTTCCTTACAGAGCTGAACTAAATAGGATAAAAAATATCTGACACTTCAGTTACATGCTCTATAAAGCACAGGTATTTACCACATGGTTAATTTGGCAGGAAGTCCTTATTTATAAGCATTGTATTAATATCAGGGTATTGAATTTCAATGAGAAGATAATAGCAAATGCTAATAATTAACAGTCAGTCATGAATTTTTGGTCAATGTTCTAGTGAATATTCTGATCAATAGGAAATTTTAATATACAGTAGTTCCCCTTCTCCTAGGTTCTGCATTCCAGTTTCAGCTACCTGTGGTCAACCACGTTCTAGAAGCAGATGATCCTCCTTCTGACATATGGTCAGAAGGTCAACAGTAGTCTAATACTACATCCCAATACCTACATCTTTCATCTCACTTCATCTCACCATGTATGTATTTTATCATCTCACATCATCACTAGAAGGGTGAGTATAAAATATTTTGAGAGACTACACTCATAGGATTTTATTACAGTAAATAATTGTTCCATTTTATTATTAAGTTTTTGTTTTTATCTCTCACTGTGACTAATTTGTAAATTAAACTTTATCATAGGTATGTATGCATAGGAAAAAAACACGGTTTATATAGGGCTTAGTACTCTATTGGTGGTTTCAAGCATCCACTGGAGGTCTGAGGTGGTGGGGGGGGCATGTCGTACCATACACATTCACCTTATAATGAATCTGAAAACCAGATCTCAGTATCTGCTATTAACTCAATTGTATCCTCTCACTCTCCCAAAGTCATATGTTGAAGTCCCAGTCGCCAATGTGACTCTTTTGGACACAAGGCCTTGGAGGAGTTGGGGCTCTGATCCAACAGGAGGAGTATCCTGCTAAGGACACAGGGAGACGGTGCTCAACTGCAAGTCAAGAAGAGTCCTCACCGGGTTCACCAGAACCTGACTGTGCTGGCACTTTGATTTGGTTTTCCAGCTCTCAAACTCTGAGAAATAAATTTGTGTTGCTTAAGCCACCCAGTCTAAGGTATTTGGTCATGGCAGCCCAAGTAGACTAACACAGAATCTATCCCAAGAATTAATTTTTTTTTCATCTTGAATCATTACTTTAAAAATCACACCATAGCCCAGAATCGTTACTACTTTGCTTATGTGGCTACTTTGCTTATTGTTTTGCTTATGTGACAGTAATATTTTCAGAGATTTTTAAAAACATTTTATTTTTTTTATTTGAAAGAGAGAGTGAGCATGCACAAACAAGGGAAGCAGACAGAGGGAGAAGCAAGCTCCCAGATTGAGCAGAGAGCCCGATGTGGGGCTTGATTCCAGGACCCCAGGATCATGACCTGAGCCAAAGGCAGATGCTTAACTCACTGAGCCACCCAGGCACCCCTATCTCAAGAATTTCGAGGAAATAAAGATGAAAGAATATAATATAGATTAGAGTAGAAGCAGGTGAAAATGAACACAAATGTATAAAAGAGATCATCAAAAGAGCAAAACAATGGTTTTCTGATAGAAAGTAAGAATTAAACTGGTAAATCCTAAGTAAAACTTATCAAGGAAAAAGGAATGAAAATACAAATAATCTACACCAATAATGAAAAAGAGAATCACTATAAATTAAAATTAAACAGACGGTTATGATAAAAATATTTTTATCAATTATTTAGGAAAATCTGATGAAATAGACACATTCTTGGAAAACCTTTTCCTAAAATGATGAGCAGAAATAGGTAACTGAATTGTTCTACATAATAACAAAGAAGTAGTTCATAATTTAAAACCTCCCTACAAAAACAACTACAGGCTAAGATGGCCTGGCTTCACTGGTGAATTCTGGCTAACATTCAAGGAAGAAAGTATATGAATCTTACATACATTCTTCAAGAAAATACGAAAACTGCATTTCTAAACATGTTTCAGATGTCAGCATAATCTTAAATAGCAAAATCTAGTATGGGCATTACTTTCTCATAAATACCGATAAAAGTCTGAAAACATCAGCAAGCCAATTCCAGAAACACAAGGCTAGTCTGATACTTAAAACAAACCATACAAATCACTCTCTCAAATAAGGTGAAGTCCGAAAATCACATAATCATCTCCAGAGAGGAAAAAAAATTAAAAGCCTAACAACTGATAAAATTTCAGTATTCATTCTTTTATTCATAAACAGACACATGTACTTTTACAAACTAGAAGTCAACCACCTTAATTTGATAATTAAACAAAACCAAAACTTCAATAAAGACACACCTAGTGACTTAATATTCAGTGTTCCCTTTAAAATGGGAATGAGCTAAAACTGGCCTATTGATAAGAAGAAATAATAATGAGTGGTAAAAAAAAAATTATAATAGGGGTCAAATTAAGATGAATTTTGAAAGCCTTATATTTTTTTAAGATTTCATTTATTTATTTGTCAGAGAGAGAGAGAGAGAACCAGCAGGGGGAGGGAGCGGCAGTTAGAGGGAGAATCAGGTTCTCTGCTGAGCAAAGAGCCCGATGAGGGACTCAATCCCAGGACCCTGAGATTACGTCCAGAGTGGAAGGCAGACACTTAACTGACTGAACCACCAGACATCCCAACTAATAACACTTTAATAAAAATTTCTCAAAAAGTCATTCAAAATGTTACTGGAAAATGTTTATATATATCTTTATCATTATAATAAACCACTCAAAAATAAATTCCTTAGTGGGTCCCTAAATGATCCTCACAGAAGCCACATTGACCTAAAATGACTGTCAGTGCAGGACTATATCTGTTTATGAGACAAATGCTGAAAGCACCCCCTTAAGTCTAGTGTACCTTTTATAATGTAACAGCCACAGATAAGGATGTAGCCATGACAGGGACCCTTCTGGTTTTAAATGTTTTTGGTTAAAGTTTGAACACTGCTTTTAAAATCGTTGGCAGCTGTTTTTTTGTTTTTTGTTGTTTTTTTTTTTTAAACAATATTTGGTTCTAATCCATGAGCATGGAATGGTTTTCTATTTCTTTGTGTCATCTTCACTCACACTTCACACTCACTCACACTTCACTCACTTCACACACTCACTAAAGAGCTGTCTCCAACAGCTCTTTAACCTCTTTGGTTAGGTTTAGTCCTAGTATCTTATGATTTTTGATGCAATTATAAGCGGGATCGTTTCCTTGATTTCTCTTTCTGCTGCTTAGAGAATATTAGTTTAGCAAAATAAGTCAGAGAACGACAAATACCATGTGATTTCACTCATGTGGAATTTAAGAAACAAAACAAATGGAGATAAGGGGGAAAGAAAAGAGACAAACATAAAACAGACTCTTAACTATGGAGAACAAACAGATTTGCCGGCGGGGGATGGTGAGATGGGTGATGAGGATTAAGGAGGGCAGTGGTAGTGATGAACACTGGGTATCACATGGAAGTGATGAATCACTCAATTCTACTCCTGAAACTTAAAAAAAAAAAACAAAAAACGACAACAACAACAAAAAAACTTTGGCAGTTGTTTAAAAGTACAGACATAAAACAGGCCTTATAACTAGCAAAACCCGAAAAAAAAACTTTAAAAAAAAAAAAAAAAAAGGATGCTCAGAACACAATAATACTCAACCTAATACGTACATCCTTTTGTGTTACTTCACCATGGCTTTTTCCACATCTCCACTTCAGCTTTCTAGAGCCCACTGGATCAGCCCAAGTATAAAATACTGCTTTTCCGGGAGGGAGGGAATCTTCTATTTCACTGAGGGAACTATCATAAATAGTAAAAATATGCATTAAATTAAGTGCAAACATATGAATATATAAAGAACCTAAAATAACACTTGATTCGGAGTCCACTCATTGAGATTTGTGATGGTTCTGCTTAAGACTAGATTGAAAATTTTTTCCTTATACAATGAAAAAGAGGTTTTCTAAAGAAATGAGAATATTTTTTTTTTAAAGATTTTATTTATTTGACAGACAGAGATCACAAGTAGGCAGAGAAGCAGGCAGAGAAAGAGAGGGAAGCAGGCCCCCCGCCAAGCAGAGAGCCCGATGCGGGGCTCGATCCCAGGACTCTGAGACCATAACCTGAGCCGAAAGGCAGAGGATTAACCCACTGAGCCACCCACGTGCCCCGAAATGAGAATATTTCAAGGGAATGTTTGTCCCACTTAGAAAATGAAGAGTTTCATGTTTTGAAATTTTTTTTTTTTTTTTACAGATTTATTTGTTTATTTGAGAGAGAGAGCACACACAGCGGGAGCGGCAGACAGAGGGCGAAGCAGGCTCTCTGCTGAGTTAGGAGCCCAATACTGGGCTTGGTTCCAGGACCCCGGGATCTTGACCTGAGTAGGCGCTTCACCAACTGAGCCACCCAGGCATCCCCATTTTTGAAACTGCTTTGTGAGCTTTTGTTTTAGTAAAAATGAATTGTGGGAGAAAATTATTCCAACTTTTATCTATACTAAATCTGACAAAGTTTAATTGGGAACTCTCTCCTAAGTATGGTCTTATTCTAGCAAAAACAAAATAGCTAAATTACTTTTTATTTTATTTATTTATTATTTTTTAAAGATTTTATTTATTTACTTGACAGAGAGAGAGATCACAAGTAAGCAGAAAGGCTGGCAGAGAGAGAGAGAGGAGGAAGCAGGCCTCCCGCCAAACAGAGAGCCCGATGTGGGGCTTGATCCCAGGACCCTGGGATCATGACCCGAGCCGAAGGCAGAGGCTCAACCCACTGAGCCACCCAGGCGCCCCGCTAAATTACTTTTTAAAAAATCTTAAGACATGGTATGTAAATCTAACAAATTCAATCAACTCACAAAATAATTCCCAGAAAAACAAAAAATTGGAGAAGATACAAACCAAGGAAATAACAGAATATAACTTTTCTGAGTTGAAGCAGTAGTTGATTCTGGGCTAAGTGAAATAAGTCAGACAGAAAAAGACAAACACTGTATGATCCCTGTATTTATATATGTATTTATATGTATTTATAAGAGGGATCTAAAAAGCCAAAAACAGAAAGAGAAAACAATGAAAAAATCCTAACACATAGAATAAAAAAAAAAAAAAAAAAAAGTGGTGTTTGTTAGAGGTGGGAGGTGGGGGGATAGGGTGTGAAGTGGGTGAAGGGGTCAAAGGGTACAAACTTCCAGTTATAAAATAAACAAATCATAGAGATATAATGTACAGCATGGTGGCTATAGTTAATAATACTGTATTGTATATGTGAAAGTTAAGAATAGTAAATTTTCATTCTCATCACAAGAAAATAAAAGTTGTGGGGTATCTGGGTGCCCCAGTCGTTGGGCATCTGCCTTGGGCTCAGGTCATGATCCCAGGGTCCTGGGATCAAGCCCACATCGAGCTCCCTGCTCAACAGGAGGCCTGCTTCTCCCTCTCCTACTCCCCCTGCTTGTGTTCCCTCTCTCACTGTCTCTGACAAATAAATAAATAAAAATCTTTAAAAAAAAATTTGTAACTATGTGTGGTGATGGATGTTAATTAGACTTAACTGTGGTGATCAGTGTGCAATATATATAAATATCCTATCATCATGTTGCATTCCTGAAACTAATATAAGGTTATGTCAATTACATCACAATTTTTAAAAAGTAAACTATAAATATTAATGTCAGTTTTACCCCTACATACTTCAGTATACCTTTTTTTAAAAAATAAGGACATTGTTTTACATAGCTTTAATGTCATTATCAGTGTTACATATATATATATATATATGTATATATATATATACACACACACATACACTTTTTTAAAAGGTTTTATTGAGAGAGAGAGAGAGCTCACTCGCATATGCACATGGGCGATCACAGGCAGGGGTGGGGGGATTGAATGGGGTGGGTAGGAGCAGAGGGAGAGGGATGCTCCCTGCTGAGTACAGAACCAGACATGGGGCTGGATCCCAGGATCCTGAGATCATGACCTGAGTCAAAGACAGATACTTAACCGACTAAACCACCCAGGCATCCCACCAGTGTTATATTCTTAAGAAATCATCATAAAGAGGCACCTGGGTGGGTCAGCAGGTTAAGCATCTGTCTTTGGCTCAGGTCATGATCCCAGGGTCTTGGAATGGAGCCCCACAGGGAGTCTGCTCCTCCCTCTGCCTCTCTCCCTCAAATAAATAAATAAATAACAATCTTAAAAAAAGAAATAATCATAGAGTCAATGTCCCATCACCTAGACTCTACTAAAATCAGGGGGATACCATATTTGTGATAATCTTCTTACCTTTGATTGTACTGAACAATGTCACTCTTAGTGTGATTTATTAATAGGAAGGGAGCTGCTCCATCATGATAATCTGAAAATGTAATAACCGTAGAATGCTCAGCCAAACTAACTTCTGCTATAATACCTCCAAGCTATGAAAAAAAGAGAAAAAAGAAAAATTATTCTCTTACATGATAATTTTCCAAAGAATATTACTTAATAACATTTAATAAGACTATTCATAACTTGGTACATTTTTTAATGATTAAGAAAGCAAGTCAGGATTTTCTACTGCATATCTGGGAAACCATGAATCTTAATTACTGTATACAGATGGGTCAAATTCCAGATGTTCTAGTATTCTAGGCACTCTAACATTCTGTTTAACAATTAAATTGTTTTATGTCTCTATTCCTTTTTAGTAATTTTTCCCTTTACTAAAAGAAATGTTTGTTCCCTTTTGGTAAAAGGGAAAACAATCAAAGGTACAGACAAAATTACAAGTATATAATAGCTTCTCTATAAACACACACACACACACATACACACACACAAATCACCCACCTCATTATCCAGACGCAATAAAATACAATTTGCTTGCTTGTTAAAATGTATCTTTTTGGGAGGGCCTTGATTTCTTTCAACTTGAATAAGAAGTGCATTAGAAGCATCCTCTGGCCAAAAGGGGATACACTAAAACACAAATTACATACACTTATTTACAAAAAAAAATTTTTTTTCAACATCAAAATTTTATCATTTTAATAAACCCATCAGGATAGACTTAAAATAAATGTCTTTTAACACTGCTCTAGTTAGTGGGTTGCTTGGCTAAACAGCTATGAGCTGCCAACTTAGAGCTGGGTCACCACCTGTGGGCACCAGGAGCACGGGCAGTGCTGGGTGGGAAGTTGAGGAGCCATGGTAAGCGGAGTGCTGGCGAAGAGATGTCAATGTGGTCCAGAGATCTAGAGGAGGGCTGACAAATCAGCATGGAAAAGCTGAGCTGAGAAGCAAGTGATCAGTTTAAAACAAGGGTACATACAGTTCCTAATAATCATAATCGGGTTGTGGGTATCACTTGGTAATTAAACAAGAGCCAAAGTACACGCAAATGTTGAATCGGGTCATGCACAAATCCAGAGTCCTTGAAGTCTAATAAAGGTAAAAAAGTGAGAGAAGTATCTAAAGTTCCAAGTAGGAAACAGGCTCAAAACCTTAAGGAACAACACGGACATCAGTGATCTGGAATCCAAACTAGTAAAAGGAGAGACGGTCGACCCACTGAGAGAGAGAAGTCCAGACAACAGGAGTGGAAACAAAGAGAAGAGCTAAGAGAAGAGGAAAGGAGAAGCAGTGTGGCCTGTGAACTATTCTGCAAACCCTGTCTTATTGTGATAGGTCCCAACCAGACCAATGACTTCACTGACTTTAGTGAAACTGTTCATGTGTGACACCCATCACAATGACATGGCCTGCAGCAATAGGAGAAACCGGACATTAAAGGCAAGCGCCTTAGCTTGTTGAAGCCCGCCTTATTCAACCTTAAGAGGTAACTAATGGAACTAGACATGAGACACAGTTAAGGCTCTAAGAGGCTTAGAATGCCCCCACTCAGGGCTTCTTGCAACCGAGCAGGAACTTACCTGGGAAGGTCAATAAGAGCAGCAATACTAACTGAAGCACCAAACTTCCCATGAGGACCTGAGAAGACTAAAAATGATATGGTTTCTTGATATTCCCAAGCCTGCCACTCCCTGGCAGCCTTGGTTTAAAAATGTATGCTAGGTTCTGTAATTTACACTGTATCGTTTTAAAGAATTATGTGCTCAAAATCTTGCCACTAGAGAAAGTGCTAATGTACATGTCTTTAGTAGTGGGAAAACAGAGATCTAAGCAAGTCTGACCCATCAACACAGGCAATAATCACGAGGACACATCTCAAGGTTGACCACTATAAGCCAAAACTGAAATGTAATAATTTTAAACTAGCACAAGAAAATCTATCTTAATACAAAAGTGAAAACAAAAAGAAACAGAGAAAGTAAAATAAAAAATAAGTTGTTATGCAGTTGTAATTGCTCCTAATGTAAACATGAACTGTTCAAAGACAGAGGCTGTAAGTCAGGTTTTTGAAAAACTAAGGCCCAAGAATGTTATCTGCAAAAGACACAGAATCAAGACACAGAGCTGCTCTAGGTAAGGGAGAAGACGCGCCAAGAAAATACCTAAGCAAAACAAAGCTGGAGTTGGTAATCTTAGCAACTGGACACAGAGAGTTCTACATCTACAATCTTTGTAATGGCTCCCAAGTTCTGCATGACATACTGCATCTCTTGTCATGCCTTGTTCTCTACTACTTTCCCCTCTCCAGTAATACTGGCCTCTTTTGCTATCCCACAAACATGGCAAAGGTTCTTCCACTTCAGGGCATCTACCCTGGCTGATTCTTCTGGCTCTAATTCTCTTTCCCCAGAGAGCCACATGGCTGAGGATTGCAGCTACCAGCTAAAAACTTATCACATTACTTCATAGGCAATTACAAAGGCCTTATCCGGCAGGCCTCACAGGGCTAAGCTGCCCCCTTCACTCAGCGTACAGCAGTCTCAAGGACCCAGTCCTTGCTTCCAGCCATGCATTTTACACATATCTGAATTCCTACCTAAGATACCTTCATTCAGACACCTCTCTATCATGGCCCATGGCAGAGACCTCTTAGAGGAATCTCCCTGCAAGACCTCTTTAAAAGAAGATAGGGAGAACCTTGAAGATGCTTTTTCTCTCCTCTGTCTTCAGTACTTTTCTACTCTTAGCTCTTCCCCCTTGTCATCGTTCATTCCTTAGGTCCATAAACTGGAAGAGTCTCTTATTCAAGGCTCCCTTGACAGTGACACAACCCCCAAGTCTGTGCTCAACCACCTGAACCCTGATCAATGCTCTTCCATAGGGAAAGAGGAATGGGGCAGGGAGAGTTGGCACTTTCTCCAGTTTAGCCTCTTGATTATACTACGGCAGCAAGGGACTAAAGCCTTGACTGTTACTTTCATTTTGAGTTGTTGCCCTAATCAGCTACTCAGACACACGGCAACTCAGATGAGCTCCTGGCAACTGCTACTTTCCCACATTTCCTACAAGTCTGCTCAAATAGGACCTCAGTGAATTCTATCCTTGACCACGTTATATAAAATTATAGCCCACCTTGTGCTTGCTAGAATTTTCAACACTTCCTACCTGTCTTATTTGATTTCCTTGATTAGACTTTTCACCTTTAAACATACTATATATTTTGCTAATTGATTATATTAATGTTTCCACAACCACTCCCCCGCAATGAAACATGAACTACACAAGCACAGGGACTTGTGGTTCTCTTAGCAAATGTATCACAAGGCACCTAAGGAATATACACAAATATTCACTAATGAATGACCAGGCAGACTTCAAAAAAAGGTGGAACTTCTGAAATTAAGAAATACAATTATTCAAATAACTCAACTAAAGGCTTAAATAGCAATTTAGACAGAGTAAAAGTGAAAATTTATTAAAGATATACATGTAGAATTTATCCAGAATGCAGCAAAGAGAGTTATATAGCTAGAAAATAGTAAAAAAAAAAAAAAAAAAAAAAAGTTGAGACATGGAAGATAGAATACGGAGGTCTAGAATATGCCTGATTAAAGACCAAGAAGAAGCAAATGGAAGGACGAAGCAAAGACAATATTTAAAGAGACAATAATTGCAAGTTATACAGCAATTATGAAATAGATTGATCCACAAATCTCAGAGTATAGCATCTCGAGCAGGATATGCAGAAAGAATCCACATGTGGACAAACAGTAGTATAACTACGGAACGTCAAAGACAAAAATCATGAAGGCAATTAGGAAGAAAAATGACCTCTAAAGGAATGACAGAATCAGAGGAGAATTTTCAACTAAAGTAGAAACCAGAAAACAGTGGAGTAAAATCTACACATGTTGAGAAAAAATAGAAGAGAAAGCAAGAGAAATTATCATAAAAGAAAGACGACAAAAACTTTAACAGATAAACACAGACTGATGGCATTTGCCTCCAAAACGAGCTTTGAAGGAAAAACCTGAAGAATGTCAAGAATAACAATCCCAGCAGGATGGTTTAAAAGCAAGAAGGAACACTGAACAAAAACAGCAAGCACTTCTCTTATATTCTTAGAATAAAATTTCCTCAAAAATGAAATATTCCATCAACCTCAGGCAGTCCTTCAGAAAATTCTCATCCAGAGGTTGAACAGCTAAAGATGGTGTAGAATCAAAATTTCATTCCTAAGTTACTACTATCTTTTTAAAATAACTGGCTTAACTTATTCCACAAAGGCATTCCTAATAACTTTGCAGAAAGAGTAAATCATTTTCTACTCTTTACGGACTTTATACCTTATCCAGTCTTCTACTTCTGTATTTACACTGCTTGGTTACTAGTTGTTAAATATCTACTTCCCTCGTCAAGCAATGCACTCCTAAATTACAAGGTTTGGTTTTTAACAATTAAATCTAGAGCCCGGTACAAATAAAGTGAGGAGGGGGGGGGTGCAATTAAAAACTTACATAGTGTTTCAGGTGTCTAACTTCAAGGAAAAATGAAAATCTAAAGAGGTACATTTTTGAAATACATCTACCCACCTGCTCCAAATCAAGAGAGAGCCATTTATCATTTCCCTGTTCAGCCACTGATATATGATATTTGCTTTTGTTTTCAATCATGTAAAAAGGAGTAAATGTCACAATTCTGGTAATGTTAAAACTGCTGAGGTCTATAGTGACACCAACCTAAAGGGAAAAAATTAGCATTTCAAAAACTGTTCCATTATTACAACATCCTTATAAAAATTAAGTAGTCCGTACACACAGTTTAAAATAGAAGTTTCTCCATGAGCAGAGAATGAACTCACTTGATAGTCCATTTTCAGGCCTTTACATTTAACAGCTCCATGACTACCAACAGTATCAATTGAAAACTGATCTGACAATTCACTATCAGTTACCATAAGCTGAACCTAGGAAAAAATATTCCAAATACATTACAATTTAGATACATTAAAAATTCCTACCTCAACTGATAAGTTTTTTGCTTTTTTGTATAAATACTATATTAATGCACTAAACATTTTCCCATACTAAATTCTCATTTTTTAAAAAATATTTTATATACTTATTTGTCTCAGAGAGAGAGAAAGAGAGAGAGAGAGCTCAAGCAGGGGGAACAGCAGGCAGAGGGAGAAGCAGGCTCCCCACTCAGCAAGGAGCCTGACACGGAACCCGATCCCAGGACCCTGGGATCATGACCTGAGCCGAAAGCAGACGCCCAACCAACTAAGCCACCCAGGTGTCCCTAAATTCTAATCTTTTTAACCTCAAATATTTAAATGTTATTTCTACCTGTTCTATAATATTCTTCAAAACTCTAAAAACTAAAAGGAGTGAAAAGAAGCTAAAGGAAAATGAAAGTTTTTTTAAAAACTTACATACCTTATTATTATTAAAAAAGTGCTTTGGTTGAAAAGAAAACAGAATTGGCTTCTTATAATTAGGTGGATGCTTTCGGTGAATTCCATCTGCCTTGTACTGTAACATCCGACTGGTTTTATTGACCATCCAGTAAGGACTATGAAATGCCACAACTGTCTGGCCGGTATTATAAGTCATATGGATAGCAATATCTAAATCAGTCTTTTCTATTTCCGTAACACAAGTAAAATTGATGAAACTAATATCTTGCTGGTTAGGTTTTATATAATATTCACTTTTCCAATCATGATTAAGATAGTCAAGTAATTTTAAATGTAGTTTGGCTTTTTCCAACTGCACAGTACAAATATGGGCTGAATGTCCTTCATTTAGAGTATAAACTTTATGTTCAATCCCCTGTAATAAAAAAAATACGGGAAAATTTTAAACATGTTAGAATAATAGGCCCAAAAATTCTATTTAATGATTCCAAAGGTCATACACATGCTTTTGAAACACCTCTGTCAAAACAAGTCAGAAGACTTGTATTTGAGTTCTAACTCTGCCAACTGTATAAACTTCTACAAATTGAGATTTGAATTATCATATTTATAAAATGGTATAAATGATCTACTTCAAAGGACTACTGTGAGGATAAAATTAAATAATACAAAGTAAAACTATGCTGGAACTAATCAACATTATAAAACATTGTCATTAGTAAAACATTTAAAAAATGTTATCCATTAGTGATTTTAGTTTTGAAAACTACAAAATGAAAAAAATGACAGTAACCCAAAATAAGCAATCCCTACTAATTTCCAGTCTTGCTTTTAACAATGCCTCATCACCCATTTCCAATCACTGTCTATACTGTATCTTCTGTATGTCTCACAACTGTACCCTTATTAGTTCATGTCACTGTGACCTCTCTCTTTAAGAGTCTCCTAATTGCTCTTGTCCCTTATAATCTTCTCTCCCTACCACAATTAAATTGTATTCCTAAAAATTTATCATATCCTTTGGAAACTAGCAAAAATGTGACCTCTAAAAGGATCAAATTAAAAGTTCGATACGAATGGGACACAGAACATCACCAGTTTTTCCATCGTCTCTAACTTGATTCCTTCTCGTTGTTAGAACACAGGAATCTCTTAAGATTTTAAATTACTTAAAGCAAAAATTATATAAATTATTGATGACTGACATGCTAATTAATATTTCAAAAATAAGAATAGTAGTGGTTCGTGGTGATGTGAAAGAGGAAATAATTGGCAACCATGTGCCTGGGAGCCACTATGCAAAGTCCTTCACATGTATTATCTAATTTTATTTCCCCCATATCCTAACCATGCAGCTTTTATTACTATTCCTACTTTATAGATTAGATAAATGACTTAAAAAGATAATACAACTTGTTTAAAGACATAAAGCTAATAAAATGAGAGAGCTAGGATTCAATCTCAAATCTATCTGATAGCGAGGTACAAATTGTTAACCACTATGGTACCTGCCAACCATATGGAAAATTGATAACTTTAAACCATAGATATGTTAACTCCCTCTCAATTTATCAGACAAAACCTAGCATAGGAATAATATAATGTAGGGTGTTTTTTTTTTTTTTTCTAGCTAAGTCTATTATTTGAATATTAAGACTAATTCACATACTTGTTGCAGAAGTTAGTGTCCATCTTTTAAATATATAACAAATGAGATGTACAAGCACGGAAAAGATTTTAAAGATATATACAGGCCTACCACAGAGACACTGAGCGTTCCATTCCAGACCACAATAAACCAAATATTGCAATAAAGCAAGTCAAATAAATTTCTTGGTTTTCCAATGCACATAAGTCATGTTTACACTGCACTGTAGTCCAGTAAGTATGCAATAGCATTATGTCTAGAAATCAATGTATACACCTCAATACTTTATTGCTAATAATGTTAACCATCATCTGAGCTTTTATCAAGTCATAATCACTGATCATGAATCATAACCATTAAGAATGAAATGTTTGAAATATTGTGAGAATTACCAAAATATGATACAAAAACATGAAGTGAGGAAATACTATTGGAAAAACGGTCCTGGCAGACTTGCTTGACACAGGGTTACCACAAATCTTAAATTTGTAAAACACAGAGTTTCTCTGAGAAGTGTGATGAAGTGAGGTACACCTGTATTCTAAACCTGAGATGCTATCTTTATTTGTACATTCAACTTTCAGATGATGTAATTATAGGCAATTTTTATTAGCTCTATTTTCTAAATTTTCCCACAGAAATATATATCATTTTCATAAATGATTTAAAAATGGCGTATCACCTTTGTGCATGTAATTTCTATTCAATTTAGTAACCCGATTTCTATGGTAAATGAGTGGAAAAAATCATATATTTTTAAAAACCCCTTTTTTTATAATGATGGGAACTTTTTTTCCATGTGAAAAACATCTAGACCACCCATTCACCAGTACTATCATTTTTATGAGAACATTAAAACACTGTTTTATTGTTCATAATTTTAAATAACTAAAGCTACAAAATCAAAGACAGGAAGGCATTAAAAAATTCTAGAATACCTCTATATAATAAGCAATTTTATAAGGAAGAAGATTTCGGAGCAGGATAGGTGGCCACAAATGCATTATGTATGGTAAGTCCCAGCCATCTTCTGAATACACTGACAGAGAAGCCAAATCATCTTTTTCTGGGACAACATGAATGATAAATGGTTTCTTAGCAGCATTTTTAGATCTACATTTCCTCTTTAGAAAAGTGCCATCATTTTTTATAATTTCTTCAAAGTCAATTCTTTCACACCCTTGATAGTCCTCATCTTCTGGCTTCAGAGAAAGGGGTGATCTGTATAAAGGATGAAACAATATGCTTTAAAATCCTTTAAAAGAAAACATAAAATTAGGTGATTACTACTTTGGAACAATGAAATTACATCACTCCCTGCACTTGTAATAAATTTTTTATAGTTTCATATTCTTTTTGGAAATAGCAAAAAAAGACCAGTAAATAGACACTGTCATCCCTTAATTTTCTGTAAACTAATCAAGTTATTTGGCTCTTAAGAGGAGAATATTTTTCTTACAAACTTACTATTCTCAAAGTTTATAAGATAATAACTGGTCTCCTACAGAAAATATGTAATTTTATAGATCATATATGCAAAGCAAACATACAAATACCTTTTAATTTGCACATTTAACTTAAAAATGTTGGCTTTCCTGAATATGTGGTCCTCACAGGAAATACATGTCATGACTGAATTCATAAACTAAAAACACATTTCCATTAAAAAAACCATCACAGCGTTTCAGTGTTAATCAAACAAAAGCCTTTAATAGATACTGAATTGCTGAAACACTGGGCACAGTTGCAGAGCCGGTTGCAAGAAGACAGTGATAAAATCATGTATGATTAATTCTTATATTTAAATATCACACTCTGCGTACATTTCAATTATATTTTAGGTTTAATCATTTTTCAAACCTAACTTGTCCAAATGTAAACACTTAAATATATTTATACTTGTAAAACCATTCATCTATGATTGTGACACTATCCCTTACAAATCAACAACTGTCCATACTACCTCCAGCCCAGATTTTGTCCTAAGCTCTAGTCCTAAAATCTTAAATATCCATTACACACTAATACAATGATGCCTGACAGTGATTTAAATTCACTAGATTGAACTCTAAACAGTCCATACCCATTTCTCTGTGTGTCCCTTTTCAGGAACTTCCAACTACGAGCACTCTGGACGATGAAAAAATATTCGACTTTTCCATCTCCCTTGACATATACATAAATCTAATCATCTGTCAAATCAGTTATAAGATTTAACCTATTTTGTTTTTTACATTTTCTCTGTAATTTTCATTCTCTTTTCCATTCTTCTAATACTCAAAAACTTAATTTTCCTCAGGAAACAAACTGAGGGATGGCTGGAGGGGAGGGGAGTCGAAGGGATGGGGTGGCTGGGTGATGGACATTGGGGAGGGTATGTGCTATGCTGAGTGCTGTGAATTGTGTAAGACTGATGAATCACAGACCTGTATGCTTGAAACAAATAATACATTATAGGTTAATAAAAATGAAATAAAACAGAACCACAAAAAAACCTTAATTTTCTCCAAATTAAACCAATGTCAATAAACTCATCCAGATTATCAAAACCTTTATTGGACCCATTATTTATGAACGAGAAGGTAAAACTGGAAATGAACAAATGAGTAAGTTCTTCTTTACTCTGTATTACAGAGATCCCAATCAGGTGGGTGATGTAATGTTAAAAGAGAACTAGCACATTGTGACAGGTACAAAAAAACATATGTACACAGCAGACTGAAGGCAAGAGAGTGTAGTGAAGTCTTTCCAGACAGCTTCAGAACTTTGTGCAGAGGCGACAATTTTGCCAAAAAGCCTTATTCTGAAGAGAACACCTGAATTAGAAAAATATGACAGGTTAAGGGAAAGTTTAAGAAATGGATAGGAAGAAAACACAAGAGGTTCTCAATGAGAAAGAAGAGCTTTTAGAACGAAAGGTCATGAAACAGAAGGACACCAAACGTTCTGAGAGAATAAAGAAAAAAAAAAAGATGATATATAAGAAAAAGGTAAAACTGACATCAAAGGGGCAAGAAACTGAGGGAGCAATACCTCAATGTGAACTGAAACTATGTATCAAATGTTCTGTTACAAGATGCATACTGCACTCTGATCATCCTGCAACTAATTTTTTTTTTTAAAGATTTTATTCACTCATTTGACAGAGAGAAATCACAAGTAGGCAGAGAGGCAGGCAGAGAGAGAGGGGGAAGCAGGCTCCCCGCTAAGCAGAGAGCTCGATGTGGGGCTTGATCCCAGGACCCCGAGACCATGACCAGAGCCGAAGACAGAGGCCCAACCCACTGAGCCACCCAGGCGCCCTATCCTGCAACTATTCTTTACAGACACATACAAACCCTGTGCTTTCAGACCTCCTTACCTTCGTTCATACAATTCCTTCCACTTAAGATTGCCTTTCTTTGCTAATCTGCATATTATTATGTTTGACCTTTAATTCACGTATCTCACCCAGGAGTCAATCAGTAACACTTGCTTTGTTTTTTGTGATTTTCTGTTAACACCCTCTCCCTACAACCTCACAGTTTTCTTCCTTCTGTATTTACATAACGCATCAATGTCTCAAAATCACAGCCATGCCCAGTTCATCTTGGCATCCCACAGTAGAGCCTTATACACAGCAGAACACCTGACAAATATCTGTTAAATGAATTAAATTCCAAGATTAATCTATTTAAATTCTCCAGGGAAAGGTAGCCATTATATAAGCATACCTAGATCAAAGAATTGGATTAGAAACACATCTAATGTGAGATACAAACTGATTCATCACTAATAATTCTAATTAAGATTAATTAATTTCCATTTGACAAATTAATGTTTAGCCTTGAACAAGAAAGTATAAAGATACTCCTAAATTTTCTCTTCTATGGATAGAGTCACAAAATTTACAGCAATACTTTATTAAAAATAAAGTGAAATGCCATTAAGTTTTCTCATTCACGGATGAAGTAAGGATACACTTCTTCACAGAAGTTTTGAAACATATTCTACATGCAATCTTTTATTTTTTTATTAATCTGTGCATCATCAGGCTTACACACTTCACAGCACTCACCATATCACATACCTTCCCCAACGTCCGTAACTATATGCCACCTTTAATCTAGTCTTGTAACCCACCAAAAATCCTTCCTAGAATAAGGTCAGATGTAGTAAACAACTACATTGTTGTTCTCGCAACAATAACATTCTTTCCCACAGGAGATTTCAACTGAGGGTTAGAGGTATAAGTAATCAAGTACTCATTAGAACTAGCAGGTCTACTAACTGAAAATATGTGCCTGTAACTGCTAGGCTGCTCTGTAAGCATCAGAGAGCTAATCTGGAACTCTGGACAAGGATCAGATGAGAGGCAGAGGAATTTCAGCACAGCGTGCAGTCCTGCCTCTGTCCTTCTGCAGCACAGGTCTGGGCCAGGGCTAGTGTGTGCTCTGAAATGGTACTCAGACAAACTATAATGCTTATTTTCAGGAAGATAGTATTTTCCAATAGAGTTCACTATCCCTGAAAGAGATTATTTTCAAACCTAAATAAATATCCAGAATATTTGTTTGTCATGATATTAATCCTGTAATTTTAGGACTAGCCCATCGTTAGCATATTATAAGAATTTTACATATAAGATTTTATATCCAGTTTAATTTGTAGAAGATTGATGTATATATGTCACAATTTATAGTATAATTCTATCACTGAACAATTAACATGTAGATAAAAAGAAAAAATGTTTTCGAAAGGGATTTTTAAAAATTCCACTGCAAAACATTTGAAAAGTAAAAATCACTTCATAATAGCTGTATATAAATCCAAAAGCTACCAATCATGCTCAACTGAACATTTTCTAAAAATCATATATAAATGATTTTAGTTATGGCAGCTATACAATAAGCATGTAATAATTGTATTTACTAGTAAAACACAAGTAATTTATATAGTATAAATTAAATACATTAAATATTTCTTAAAAAAACAAAACAAAATAAAATCTTCTAGGCACCCTGAAACTTAAGTTAGACAAGTTATTAACAAAACAGATTTGATTTAACTTTGATCACTTAGAGACAAATACCCCTACAAAATCATAAACTAAAAATTCCATAAGACACTTTAGAGCAAATAAAAAGACAAAGAAATAAAAAAATCACCGGTAAGATGTTAATGGTAGGTTGAATTCACTTCCAGGTGAAGCCGTTCCCAATAAAGTGTTCCCTTCATAAACACAAAGTGGGATTGAAAAATGATTTTTAATCTGAGAAAGAAAAACAAATCATACTTAGTACCATTAATCTAAGAATCTAAAGATATCTTTTAAAAATCTCATCAAAATATCCCAACAAAGAAACTAGCAGGCAATACTTATTTTGCTTATTTATATAAATAGGAAAAGAAGTAAACACGCTATTACTTATCCTAAAAAATACAAGGAAGGTCACCACTTTTATAGAAAAGGTGAGTCAAAACCAAAACTTTAAAAATCCTAGAAGGAAGTAAAGTAGTATGTTCTTGATTTTAACTTCTTCAGAAAAAAAATAGAAGAATTCATGGGAAAAAATACTGTATCAAAATTTGAAATGTCTGTATGACAAAATTTGAAAAAAGGCCACAGGCTGGGAAATGAAGGCCTTTTTACCTCACTGTTGTATGCTGCTCATAAGATGATATACTCTCCACGCACTTTGGAGGATATCTCATCCATCACATGAGCAGCATATAAAAATGATGTAAAGGGTAACATCACTTTGATTAATATATATTATTAGATAAACGTCCAAACAGTTATATTTACCTTTGAGAGGGATAAAAAGAAACTGGTTAATAAAAACAATTTCGTATTATAATATCTTAGTAAAATCTTGTTTTTAAAAAAATCATACCAAAATAGAAAACATGCTGAGAACTAAGAACTGATAAATGGGTAATCCTAACTACACTCTATGTCTAGATAAACTGTTTGCTCTAACTATTTGAAGCAAAAGAAACACATTTAAGTTTCTATAAATAGTACCTCTAAGAAATTTAAAATTAATGTGTAACTATTTAAAAAATAAAAAATAAATCAACAATAGAGAAAGTAGCCCGAGTCATCTTTTAAAATTGTTAACTGCAGATCAAAAATGAAAGAGAAGAATTTCTGCTTTCAGCCATGAGGGAATAACAGAGACCAGATAAACCTTCCCAACATAGACAACTAAAACACAGGGGGAAAAGAACCCACGTTAAACAATGGTTTTCAGAAATTGGGCAGCAGGCATCAGAGAAAAGAAAGAAAAAAATTAAAAAGAAACCACAAAGATAAGTCCTCAGATTGCCCCAGTTTGCTGCCTCAAGTTTCTACACTACAGTGTAGGAGAAAAAGAGAAGTTAAACAGAGCCCAGTCGGCTGGAGTCAAACAGATAGGAGAATTTGGGGGAAGCCAATGTTTCTTAAACTCACAGCACACTGAGGAGCCAGGCACATGGAGAGTCAAGAGTTGCAGATTCAAGAGTGGCCTCCGTTGTCAAAATTTCACATTGGTACTGACTGGAATATGCACAGGAGTAAACTATCAAAGGCTAATAAAGATGGACACGAGCCCGCCCTTAAGAGCTCTCCAGAGCAGCGGAGGGCTCCTCCCACAGCAGATCTGAGCAAACCTTACTTATCACCGTGCACCCACTTCCATGTTCTCCTGCAACAGGAGTCCATTCCAAGCGGTGTCACTATCCTGGCATTGTGCAAGGAGACCCTACAGGAGCCAGCATCACTTCAAAGGGACTGAGTATGACCGGGAGATGGGAAATAAGCACAGACACCAGTTTGACTACAGCCTCACAAGTGGGCCAGGGGCAGACAATTGATCTGAATGTGGGCTCCACCCACCAACAAAAGCTTCGTGGGGGACAAAATAGGGAGAGTGCCCTACAATATGGTGTGACTACAGCTCTGGCAAAAACCCGGTATGAACCAACTTAACTTCAAGGTGGCTCCCAGACTGACCCACTAACACACAGGGACTAAACCCTTCCCACAAAAAAAGGCAGAGAGTCACCGTAGACAGCTGAACTGAAGGCAAATGCAGCTCAGCCACACAGCAGGCCATATACAACACACACAGGACACAGCCCTGAAGTGCCACATTCTGGGTAATAGGGGACATTGCACTGCAGGGCACTACAGCATCTCTTCTTCATAATGCCACTACTTTCAAGATCAGGAGACATAGCTGACTTTCCTAACACATAGAAACAGACACAGGTTATTAGACAAAATGAGCAGACAGAGGAATAGCTCAAATGAAAAAACATGATAATCCCAAGAGAGCTAAATAAAATGGAGATAATATGTCTGATAGAGAATTTAAAGTGATGGCCATAAAGATACTCACTGGACTTGAGGAAAGAGAGGAGGGTCTCAGGCAAACCCTAAAAAAGGTGACAGAAAGCATTAAAAAGAACTAGAGATGAATAACACAGTAACTGAAATTAAAAATATATTAACAGGAATAAATAGTAGACCAGAGGAAGAACAGATCAGTGATCTGGAGGACAGAGCAATGGAAAGCAATCAAGCTGACAGGAGAGAGAAAAAGAGTAATATAAAATGAGAACAGGAGGCGCCTGGGTGGCTCAGTGGGTTAAAGCCTCTGCCTTCAGTTCAGGTCATGACCCCAGGGTCCTGGGATCAAGCCCTGCATCGGGCTCTCTGCTCAGCAGGAAGCCTGCTTCCCCCTCTCTCTCTGCCTCTCTGCCTACTTGTGATCTCTGTCTGTCAAATAAATAAATAAAATCTTAAAAAAAAATAATAATAAAATGAAAATAGGTTAAGGGAATTCACTGAAATGGTCAAGCACAATAATATATGCATTACAGGGACCCCAGAAGAAAAGGGAAAGAAAAAGGGGCAAAAATTTATTTTAAGAAATAATAGCTGAAAACTTACTGAATCTGGGGAAGGAAACAGATACCCAGATCCAGAAGGTACAAAGAGCCCCCAGCAAAATCAACCCAAAGACGTCCACACCAAGACACTCAGTAATGTAAATGGAAAAAATAAAGAGAAAATCTTAAAAGCAGCAAGAGAAAAGAAAACAGTTAAATATGAGGGTAAGCCGATAAAGCTATCAGCTGATTTTTCAGCGGACACTTTGCAGACCACAGAGTGGCATGATAAATTCAAAATGCTGAAAGAAAAAAACCTTGCAATTAAAGAATACTCTATCCAGCAAGACTACCATTCAGAATATAAGGAGAGAGAATTTCCCAAACAAAAATTAAATGATTTCATCACCAGTAACACAGGCTTATAAAAAATGTTAAAGGGAACTCTTTTAGTACGAAGGAAAGACCATAAGGAAGAGTAAGAGAAACACAAAAATAGTAAAATTAAGTATATCTACAAAAATAAGTCAAGCGATTCACAATGTAAAAGAAAGTATGATACCACATACTTAAAATGGGGGGGAGGAGAGGAGTAATCATTTAGTGCTTTTAAAAAAGGTTAAAAAAAATGGGTTCAAACTTAAGAGACTATCAACCTAATATAGGCTGTTATAGGAATAAGATGTTATATATAAACCTAACAGTAGCCACAGATCAAACACTTGTAACAGGGAGACAAAAAATAAAGAGAAAGTATTCCAAGTATATCATTAAAGAAAGCCAGCAAACCATGAGAGAAAAGAGCAAGAAAAGAAAGGAATAGAGAATTACAAAGACAACCATAAAACAAGTAACAAAATGGTGATAAATACATACCTATTAATTACTTTGCAAGTAAGTAGACTAGACCCTCCAATCAAAAGACACTCTAGGGCAACAGAATGGATAAAAAAGCAAGAACTGTCCATATGCTGCCTATAATAGAAGCATTTCAGACCTAAAGACATATGCAGAATGAAAATGAAAGGATGGAAAAGCATTTATCATGCAAATGGAAGTGAAAAGAAAGCCAGGGTAGCAACAGTTACGTCTGTCAAACAAATAGTTTGTTTGAAACAAAGACTGTAACAAGGGACAAAGAAGGATGCTACCTAGTCATAAAGGGAAAAAGCCAACAAGAAGATTCAACAATTGTAAATAGTTTTGCACCCAACATGGAAGCACCCAAGTACATAAAGCAGTTATTAACAAATATAAAGTAAGTAATTGACAGTAATACAATAATACTTGGGGACCTTAACACCCCACTTACATCAATGGATATACTATCCAAAGAGAAAAATCAAAGAAAACAGTAGCTTTGAATGCCACATTGGAACGGATAGATCTAACAGATATATTCAGAACATCCCATCACAAAACAGCAGAATACACATTCTTTTCAAGTGCACATGAAACATTCTCCAGAATAGATCACATACTGCCGCAAAACAAGTCTCAATAAATTCAAATATTAAAGTCATATCATGCATCTTTTCCAACCACAGTAACATGAAATTAATCAACCACAAGAAAAAAATCTGGAAAGAACACCAATACATGGAGATTAAATAACATGCTACTATAAACAATGAATACCAAGAAATCAAAGAAGAAATCTATATGGAGACAAGTGAAAATGAAAACACAAAGGTCCAAAATCTTTCGAATGCAACAAAAGCTGTTTTAGAGGGAAGCTTATAGAGCTTATAAAGCATACAGGCCTACCTCAAGAAGAAGAAAAATCTCAAATAAAAAAAATATAACCTGGGTGCCTGGGTGGCTTAGTCAGTTAACTGTCTGCCTTCAGCTCCAGTCATGATGCCAGGGTCCTGGGATCAAGTCCCACATCAGACTCCTTGCTCACTGGGGAGTCTGCTTTTCCCTCTTCCTCTGCCCCTCCCCCTTGGTCCTGTGCTCGCTCTCTCTCTCTTTCTCTCTCACATAAATAAAGTTTTTTTAAAAAATGCTTTAAAATAAATAAAAAAAGGAACAAAAAAACCCCATAACCATACATTTAAAAATGCTATAAAGTGGACAAACAAAAACCAAAACCAGTGAAGGAAGGAAATAATAAAGATTAAGAGAAGAAATAAATAGAACGGAAATTTAAAAAAATAGGTCAATGAAATCAAAAGCTGGTTCTTTGAAAATATCAACAAAATTGATCAACCATTAGGCAGACTTATCAAAGGAGAGAGAGGACTCTCAGATGAACAAAATCTGAAATGAAAGAGGAGAAATAATGACCAATACTTCAGAAATAGAAAAGATTGTAAGAGAATACTATGAAACATTATATGCCAACAAACTGGACAACCTAGAAGAAATGTATACATTCCAGAAACATATAACCTACCAAAACTGAAGCAGTAAGAAATAGAAAATTTGAACAGATTAATTACCACTAATGAAATTTAACCAGTAATTAAAAACATCCTAACAAATATTAAGTCCAGGATCAGAGAGCTTCACAGGTAACTTCTATACCAATCACTTAAACAATACCAGTTCTTCTCAAACTATTTCAAAAATAAAAGAGGAAGGTAAGCTTCCAAATTCATTATATTAAGCCAGTATTACCCTGATACCAAAACCAGATAAGACACTACAAAAAAGAGAACTACAGGCCAGTATCTCCGAAGAACATAGATGAAAAAGTCCTCAACAAAATATTAGCAAACTGAATCCAACAATGAATCACAGAAAATGATTTACCAGGATCAAGTGGGATTCATTCCTGTGATGCAAAGGTGGTTTACTATTCACAAATCAAAGAGAGGTATCACATCACCAAGAGAAAGGATAAAAACCATATGATCATTTCAATATATGCAGAAAAAGCATCTGATGAAATACAACACCCCTTCCTAATAAAAACCCTCAGCAAAATAGGTTTAGAGAGAACATACATCAACATAATAAAGGCCATAAATGAGAAACTCACATCTAACGCTATCTCGGTATTGAAAAACTGAAAGCTTTTCCCCAACAACAGGCACAGGACAAAGATGTCCATACTCACTACTTTATGCAGCATAGTACTGGAAGCCCTAGACACAGCAATCAGACAAGAAAAATAAATACCAGGCATCCAAACCAGTAAGGAAGAAGTAAAACTTCCACTATTTGTGGATGACATGATACTCTCTCTCTCTCTCTCTATATATATATAAAACCCTAAAGACTCCATCAAAACACTACTAGAATTGATAAATGAATTTAGTAAGATCACAAGATACAAAATCAATATACAGACATCTATTCTATTTGTATACAAAAATAATGAAGTAGCAGAAAGAGAAATTAAGAAAACAATTCCATTTATAATTGCACTAAAAATAGTAAAATGTCTAGGAATAAACTTAACCAAGGAGATGAAAGGCCTGTATTCTGAAAACTATAAAACACTGACAAAAGAAATTGATGATGACACAAACAAATGGGAAGATATTTCATGCTCATGAACTGAGAGAACAAATATTGTTAAAATGTTGATACTCCCTAAAGCAATCTACAGAGCTAATGCAATCTGTATCAAAATATCAACAGTATTTTTCATAGAACTAGAGCAAATAATCCTAAAATTAATATGGAAACAAAAAAGATCCCGAATAGCCAAAGCAATCTTGACAAAGAACAAAACTGGAGCTAACACAATCCCAGACTTTAAGATATACCAAAGCCACAGTTACCAGTAACCGTATGGTACTGGCACAAAAACAGACAGATAGATCAATGGAACAGAACAGAAAGCCCAGAAATAAATCCACAGTTATATGGTCAATTAATCTCTGACAAAGGAGGTAAGAACATGCAATGGGAAAAAGTCTCTTCAACAAATGATGTTGGGAAAACTGGATAGCTACTTGAAAAAGAATGGAACTGGACTACTTTCTTACATCATACACAAAAATAAACTCAAAATGGATTAAGGACCTAAATGTGAGACCTGAAACAATGAAAATCTTAGAAAAGAGCACAGGAGTAATTTCTCTCACACTGGCAGTAGAACAATTTTCAAGATATGTCTCCTAAAGCAAGGAAACAAAAGCAAAACTAAACTAGTGAGACTATGGCAAAATTAAAAAACTTCTCTAGAGCAAAGTCAACAGAACTAAAAAACCTACTGCATGGCAGAAGATATTTGCAAATGATATATCCAGTAAGGGATTAGTATCTAAAATACACAAAGAACTTACACATATTAACACCAGAAAAAAAAACAAATATTCCAATGAAAAAGTAGACTGATGAGATGAACAGAGTATGAAGAGCACACACAGATGAACAACAGACACATGAAAAGTTTCTCACTAATCATCAAGGAAATGCAAATCAAAACCACTGAGACCTTGCCTGACACCTGTCAGAATGGCAAAAATCAGAAACACAAAAAAAACAAGTGCTGGCGAGGATGTGGAGAAAAAGAAACCTTCATGCACTGTTTAGTAGGAATGCAAACTTGTGGAGCCACTGCAGAAAACAATGTGGAGGTTCCTCAAAAAATTAAAAACAGAAATACTATATGATCCAGTAAATGTACTACTGTGTATCTCCCCAAAGAATATGAAAACACTAGTGTTTGTTACAGCATTATTTGTAATAGCCAAATTATGGAAGCAACCCAAATGTCCACCAATAGGTGAATGGACAAAGAAGAGGTGGTCTATATAAACAATGTAATATGGTCCATAAAAAAACCCGAAATCTTGCCAAATGCAATGATATGGATAGATCTACCGAATACAGTGCTAGGTGAAATAAGTCACGGAAAGACAAATACCTTATGATTCACTCTCACGCGGATTTAAGAAACAAAACAAAGAAAAAAAGACCAAAACAAGGGACAAGTATAGAGAACAAACTGGTGGTTAACAAATGGGAGGCGGGTGGGAGGACAGATGAACTACATGAAGGATATTGAGTACACATATCATGATGAGCGCTGAGTAATGTACAGAACTGCTGAGTCATTATGTTGTACACTTGAGTAACACTGTACTTAATTATACTGGGATGTAAAAACTTTAACTAAAAATTTAAAAATAAAAATCAATTGTCATTGAATATAGTAACTAAAAATCAAGGTAATTCGCCTTAGTATTTTTTTAAAAAATCTTTTCAATAAAGAGAAAACCATGTGGCAAAATCCAACATCCATTTCTGATAAAAACTCAGTAAACTGGAAAAAGAAGGGAGCATTTTCAACTTAAGAAAGGTCATCTACAAAAAAACTACAAGGGGAAACATAATAATGAAAGCGTGAATACGTTACTGCTAGGATTGAGAGCAAGGCAACAACATCTGCTTTCAGAACATTAATTCACATTGTATTGGAGGTTCTAGCCCGTGTAACAGGCAAGTAAAGGTAAAATAAAATAATAACATCCAGGTTTGAAAGGAAAGAGTAAAAAATCTTTGTCTGCACATATCAAAACTGTATCTACAAAAAAGCTACCAGAACAAATAAGTGCATCTACTAAAGTTGCACAGTATGGGTTAATATAAAAATCAGCTGTACTTCTACCAGCAACGAAAAATCAGAAAAATGTAAAAATGCCAATTTAATCTTAGCTTTGTAAGAAACATTGACAACCTAAATCTAAAATTTAAATGGAAGTAGAATGGACTTGGAATAGCCAAAACTATTTTGAAAATGAACACAGAAGGACAACTTATATTACCTGATTTCAAGACTCAGGATAAAACAGTAACAAAGACAATGTGGTACTGGCATGAAGATAAAGAAATCAATGAAACAGAAAAGAAAGTTCTGAAATAAATCCACAAAGATATGATCATTCTTTTTTTTTTTTTTTTGGACAAAAATGTCAAGGCAATTTAATGGGAAAAGGATAATCTTGGCTGGGAAAAACTGAATAGCCATATGGAAAAACATAAACCTCAACCCTTACTTTATACCATATAAAAAGATTCATTCAAAATGGTATTTGGAATATCCACTTAATAGATTATTAATCAACATGTAGCAACATATAATATTAATACACAAAAGTTGATACATGCAAATTTATGCTGAGTGAAAGAAGCCATACTCCTTTCTTAGTTCATTCCATTTACCTAAAATTCTATACTGTGTAACTAATATACAATAAGAACAGATCAGTGGCTGTCTAAGAATGGAGTAGGAAGAGAGAAAACTTTCTGGGCATGTACACTGTGATGAAGGTTTCACAGGTCTGTGTGTCCAAATTCATCAACTTTAAATATATGCAGTTTATTGTACATCAGTTTACTTCAATAAAGACATAAATATTTTTCCTCATATTTTCTAATTAAAATCAAAGGATATACACTGTACCACAAAGAGCTAAAAACAAAATACGGATAAGGTGTTTTAGAGTAGTAGTCTAAAAAGAGTTTATAGAAAGAGTCCTATAAAAAGTTACAAGAATTATTGAAAAAAATTCTACCATTGTTCATACTAGAATAGTACAATTACTGGTAATGGTTCTTCTTTTTTATATTAATTGTATTTCTATTACAGTTTATATTCTTTTGGTAGTAATTAGCTTTATCTATTTTTTAATTAACACACAAATATGTGAAATATGACCCCAGGAAAAAGAAGGATCGTTTTGTACCTGCACTGGGGAGCGAACTGTTATCTTCTTACTTCCTTCCACTCCATCGACTTGACAAACAATAGATCTTTCAACTCCAGACACTCTGTGTCTTACAGTGTACAGTCGTCGTCCCACTCTTGTTAAAGGAATTTTATCAGCAGTAGAGTGGTTAGCAGGTGCTATAAGGAATATATTTGTAAAGTTTTTATTATTGATCATCATATATTAATCTTAAATAGATGTTAAATCCCAGATATAGCAGATTATTTCTTAAACTCGTAAATAACAGTCACTAAAGTTTTTAGATACAAGACCATAAAAAAAGGGCTATTTCTTTGTATAATTTATACAAAGGGCTATATTAAGAAGCCACAATACATTTCCACAGCATTCATCTAAAACCTTCAAAGCAAATAAATAAATAAATAAACAAGAAAACCTTCAAAGCGCTTACCAAAAAAAATAAAATAATAATAAGATTTTATTTATTTATTTGACAGAGAGAGACAGTGAGAGAAGGAACACAAGCAGGGGGAGTGGGAGAAGAGGAAGCAGGCTTCCTGTCGAGCAGAGAGCCCAATGGCGGGGCTAGATCCCAGTACCCTAGGATCATGACCTGAGCCCAAGGCAGCCGCTTTAGTAACTGACCCACCCTGGCAAGCTCTCCCAACCCAAAATTTTTTTAATTGGAAAAAAAAAGCTTTCATTCAGTAGTTTAACCTACGTGAATAATATAAATGCTTTCAAACAAACAAGAGAAATTATTATAAAATATAAGAACACTGGTCTTTGGTTTGCTGTCATAATAACCAGAGCCTAATACCTGTAGGTAGTCACTGGCAATTACCAAAGTAGCTGTAAAATTTCAGTTTTTCATTATTCCAACAACCTGTGATACTTTATGATCTCTAAGACCTGATTAAACAAAATTTAGACACATTTATTTAATATACATACTGCATTTTATTGGGGGGTGTGAATTACTTATTGACATAGACACCCCCCCAACTCGGTAAAAATGTTAGTTCAAAAACAAGAGAGGTAAAATTGACAAGAGCAGTTCACTGACAATGTCTGGACAACACCTGAAATCTAGCCATTTTAACAACGGCAACATTTCCGGACCAGGAGAAAGCACTAGGTATCATCAGCCTTGGTACCCCTCCCCTAGGTCTTTCATCTTTCAAATTCCCTCCCTTCTCCCCTAATTATTTAAATGTCAGAGTATCAGAAAGGGGTGTGGGTGAGGCTTTGGGACTAGGTAACTTCACAATGAATAAATGACAATGAAGAATTTTTTACTTTCATTTCTCGTGAAAATGAAACAATTCTGAGAATCACAAAGGACAAAAGAACAACCTTCCACTTCAACAGGCAGGAAATAAAAACCATTTACAAACCCAAATACTGTTACAGTGTGCCATTTTCATGACTTCAAACTTTATTTTGAATTCCTTCAACTGTAAAACTAGTGGAATATTACTGAATTACACAAAATATGGTTAGAACAACAAAAAGCTGAGTAAGGAAAGGATCAAATCTTTTTCCCCCCAAAAATATGAAACGGTGCATTACCACATGGATAAAGTCACAATTTGAAATACAATATTACAGTAACAACAAGCAACCAAAGCTGTGTAACAGTAAAAGCAAAATTCCAGACCCGTTTGGAATGAGATTCAAAAATCTGTAAGATATTAAATAGGAGTAAAATGCAATGTAAAAATGGAACTTCCAAGAAATTAAATCCCAAGAAAATAATTGAACACTTACTGAGAAGGATGAAGAAGAGTTTACTGCTTAGGCTGGTCATTGCATTGAAATGATCATTGTCTTTAGTTCCCACATAGTCCATACTTAAACTCTCCTCATTTTTCAATACATATGACTTTGCCAATGGAACGTTAAGTACACTGAATGAATCACTTGGTGAAACAGAGACAGTAAGTCCAAGAGAATTTAAAATCATAAATGGCGCTAGATCCCGTATGAAGACAGTTGAAGCTCCAGTGGCAGCTTCTGTAAATGCCTAATAAGGAAGAGTTATTGTAAATAAAATGAAAACTAAATAACAAGCAGAACACTAACGGATGTATGACTAATGACTAAGTTAATAAAAAACTTTTTGTTCAATGAAAAAAAAGGGTTAGCTCAGACTAGTATACCAACACTTAAGGTTTCAAATTTCTTTTCTTACCTTGGCTAAATTATTTAACATTACAAGGCCACATTTGGATAATGTAATGTTTAGCTGGTCTTTTGAATGGAAAGTTATAACAGTTTTATATTCTGGCACTTTGTAATTTTCTTCTTCAGTATCTGACTCAACAATGGCCTTTTTTGCTTTCTTTTTCATCTAAAACGACACATAAATTACAGAAATATAAGGAAAATTTGTTCCTAGGAACACATTACTCATTTTGCAAAGAAAAAACAAACTAGACAAATCCCAATAACAACATCATAGAAAACAGTAAGTTTTATCAGCCCACTGCCTTACTGGAATTGCTTGGACATCCACCAAATAAGGTCACATAGGACACGGGCAATAATAGAGGAAAAATACTTCTCATCCTCAGTGATACTAAAATGGCAAGCACAATTCAAAAGGAAAAATAAACCCTAAAATGACTAAATGCATGTGGCATCTGAATGAAAATTAAAAGTACATACTTCATAGCTCATGGACATTCAGAACAAGAAAAATCATTTGGTTTATTAGTTAGGTTTATTGGCTACGGGATAAAGACTAGAAACCAGGGATTTAAAAAGTCCACAAACAGCTGCGGAACAGTGCCATGAGAACCTATGACTCCTGAGAATCAATACCATCTACCACTTTTTAGAATTCACAGATCCACTGCCCAGGTATATTCTGACCTAAAAAACACCAAAGAAGTTCCTTTATCCAATCTTTTATCTGAAATATGTACATAGTAGTCGAATACAAAAAGCCAGTAACCTCTGTTGTTATATTAACTGGTTTTCGACCACTGAAAGTTTGTCAGCAGGTGACTGAATCATTATTTCGAGGAAGACATGTTAGCAACTCTTCAGTCTCCTGCTTTGAAGCATAATTTCATCCATCTAAAGGTCCTGATTCTTAGGATTACACGAATTTACAATGTATCTGAGAAACAAGTAATAGTATACTTTCTTCTATATATACAGCCTTCTAGAGACAAAGGAAACTCAGGGTAGCCAAGAGCCTACACGAAGATGCTGGAGGCATTTAACGCGGTGGTTCCAGAGCGGCATGCCGCCTCTTCCACTTCGACAACAGTCCTTGAGGGATGGCTCTAAAGCGCTCTAGTCTCAGTTCCTTCACATGTTAAAATGGAGTTAAAAACTCCAACTTCAAAGGGGCGCTGTCAGGGTTCAAGCAAACGTACACTATCTAGAACAGGGTCTAGAACGCAATAAATGTTACACAATTACTTGTTTTAGCACAGGAGGCACTGGTCTTGGGTCTGAAAATTACATTCACAGGCCAAAGAGCAAAGTATGCGGCAAGGCTCATAATGAGAAAACTTGAACTTTGTTGTTACTAAAATTAAACTATTTTGTGGTATGCACTTTGTTTTTGAAAAACATTTCAGACTTCAAATGTACCTTGATTCCAAGATTCCATGGTCTAAAATCCTCAGTCTGATCAATTTCTAAGGGTTCAAGCAAAGGCTCCCAAACACCAAACATTTCATTGTAATAATGCACCTGGAGAGAGAATTACATTTTGAAATAAGATATTCTTATACTTCCTAAAATGATCTTCCATGCTGTTTCCCACCACTACTCCCTTTGGCTCTGCTATTTCTTTATATGATAACTGTTCTCCGTGCCTTTCCTTAGCTTCTTATACACACTCCCTCAGCACTTTGCTCACCAGGCTAACTTCACAGTCTAGTCTTCGCAATTTAATCCAAATAAAACTCTCTTTAAAGCATCTTTCCTTGACTTCCCGACGGGCTAAGTATCAAAAACCGTCATAAATAAAATGTCATTTATTATTGACATTTTTAAACAGATCTGACTACCTCTACTGATTTTTTTTAAATCTCTTGATGATGAATTACAACTCATTAAGTGCTTATTTATTTGATCTCTCAGAATCTCTTAGACATTCTAGATCATATCCTCCACAAAATATACAGAATCTAGCCAGAATTTCAAAATGTGAAACCTAGTCAGTCAGTTCTACCTCTATTAGTGTGTATTTCTGTATCAACAAACAAATAATTTACCAGCTCATACATTTTCGTATTAATACAAATTAGTAGAATATTCAATTAGTTTCCACTAGACATAAACTCATAACTTAAACCAAAATTATCGTTGGGGATAATTCTATGTAGATAAATTCTGAAGTAAAATGTATGTTGGTTCAAAACAAGTATCTCCCTTATAATTAAAGTACTCTCACAAAAATGTGAAAGAACTTTGTAGATACTCACTAAAGATAATGCACGCAAAGAAGTATGAGGCATATCCTAATTCTTTCTACTACTCTTTTAGAAGAGATTCAGAAATAGTCTATTATCCTTTTAAAGGAAAAAAGATACTCAGTTCTTAAAAATAAGAATTTTGAATCTAATCAACACTATTAATGTATCACTTTAAGTTGATAAAATCAAAAATCAACTGAAATATCCAAGTTAAATTTACATTACAATACTGTACACATAAAAACTATATCAAGGGCTTAAATTTGTATACTTTCTTCCAAAAGTATTGTGAGCCAACATTCATGTTTACAATAAACTTAATTAAAATATTTATGTGAGATACCAAAAATACTCCATGTGTAGCATTATTTGTTATAAAATCTGGAAAAATGCTGCATATACTTACTTCTAGTTCAAGCTGACAGTAGAGATTTATCAAGGAACTCCAGTTTTTCCCTTCCCCTGAAAAACGTGACTTTGCCAACAGCATAGGCACTGTTCTATGACCAATTCCAGCTTCAAGAACTATAAAAATAGAATCAACGTTCACTTTTATCATCTCTCCTTTGAGTACCAATTCAGTTGTGGGAGCTTTGTTTTCAATTTCATTTGGTTCTTCAAGAAACCACATTTTTAAATTCTTCGTATCCTTCTTTTCCCATAAATGAGCTGCAGAAGAAGTAGTTTCTGGTGGGCTGGTATCCTTGGATGTATAAAGTGCTGATGTTATGGTAATCACAGTATTTATGATAACTGGAGAAACCTAAGGGGAAAAATTTAAACTAGTAAAAAAATCTACCCATACCACTTTAAAAAATTAGGTACTTCAAAAAACATTAAATATACTTGTTGAAGTATTATGAAGAATTAATATTAAACTAATACCATTACCATGACATAGCAGATAGCTTATTGCCTTCAAAAATTCTATAATTAATTTCAATTTTTTAAAAAGATCTATTTATTTTGAGAGAGAAACAGTGATTGTGCACATGCGCACAAGTTCAGGAAAGGGCAGAGGGAGGAGAGAATCTGGAGTGGAATCCCAGCTGAGTGAGGAGCCTGATGTGGCACTTATCCCCATGACCCCAAGATCACAACCTGAAATGAAGGGCCAGATGTTGAATCAACTAAACCACCCAGGTGACCCTAATTTCAATTTCTAAAATATTTACCTGGATCTTACAGATATTAAATTGATCAAGTGTTAAGTTCAACTATGTATACCATAGGAATATTAGATGTTAACTAAAGAAGAAGTCGTACAACAAAAATAAAATATACAATACTCAAATGTGTATTAAATAATACACTGTAAATAATGTGTCACATAAAAACTTTCAAAAACATAACTGCTTCATTTTTTGCTTATTTAACAATTAGAAGAGGGGCGCCTGGGTGGCTCAGTGGGTTAAAGCCTCTGCCTTCGGCTCAGGTCATGATCTCAGGGTCCTGGGATCGAGCCCCGCATCGGTCTCTCTGCTCAGCAGGGAGCCTGCTTCCTCCTCTCTCTCTGCCTGCCTCTCTGCCTACTTGTGATCTCTGTCTGTCAAATAAATAAATAAAATCTTAAAAAAAAAAAAAAAAAAAAAAAAAAACAATTAGAAGATGATATAATAATTTATTATTTCTAGGTTTTACTACATTTTTAAAAGGTGCCCTAAATATATGAATAACTGATTACATTTAACTTACCTTTAGTGTGAGGGACTTTACTGATATATCAATCACTTGTGGATCTGTACTTATTTGAGTAGCTTGATAGAACAAGTCACAGGGCTGCAAAACCTAGGAGAGAATATTTAATATCACCAAATTAACATTGTTCTAAAACAGTTTTATGTACAGACATTCCTAGAAATAGCTATGTTAAATAAACAATTTAAAGTTCCTTTTTAAAAACAGAAGTGACCCTAACACAATTATCTTTTATTCTTATCATTTCTAATAGAAAGTATTAACAATAGCAACAATATTAATAAAGCATAGTTAAGTCAAAGATCTTAAATATGCTTAAATACACAAAACCCCATAAAACTTGTATTATATATTTTATTTTACTTCATATAATAAAATTTTCTCCATTACAAAGCTGAAACAAAATAAGTTATATAGGAAAAGCTACCAAAGATGAGGAAAAAATTACAAATACATTAGATTTATTAAGTAATTCTTTTTAAAAAAAATTATTTTTATTAACATATAATGTATTATTTGCCCCAGAGGTATAGGTCTGTGAATCATCAGGCTTACCCATTTCACAGCACTCACCATAGCACATACCTTCCCCAATGTCCATAACCCAACCACCCTCTAAGTAATTCTTAATATAATCATAAACTAACTGAAGTTTTCTCTGTGGTAGAATTCTGCCCTCCAGCCTCTAAACACTCATGTTGCTCTCAAGTGCAAAATACACTCACTCACCTCCTCAGGTTTCTAATAGCCTCCTCCCATTATAGCCCCAACTCTAAAATCTCATCATATACGGATCTCATCTTTATTTCTCACTGATGCAAAAGTCCAAAGTCTCCTCTGTTATCAACTCAAGGTCTAAAATCTAAATCAGGCACAGGTACAGATGAAGTACCTTGGTATAATCTATTAAGTACGGCTGCTGGGGCGCAGCCTCTTTTTTGCGGATCTGTGAAAGGAAGAGGAGTTATCTGCTCCCATCCTCCCAACACAGAATGGTGGGGTAGACACAGGATAACAATTACAGATATTCCAGTTTAAGTGGGGAAATGGAAGGTAAAAAGAAGTCACTAGCCCCAAGTAAACTGAAACCCAGCCAGGTACATGAGTTTCTTGATATGGTTTCAAAGACTAGGAACAATTGTCTATGGCTGTCACCTCTACTGTCTGAATCACCCTTCCTTTCCTAGAAAAGGTAGCATAAATTTGTAACCAAGTGGTTTTATCATCCTGCTTCCTTGCCAGTAGAATTTCGGGGTCCAAAGAGTCACTCTTCATTTTGTACCTTTTGTCCCTCCCAGTCCATGCTGGCAGTGTTCCTGCTAAAATCCCTGCTAAAATCATTTTCTCAAGAACCTTGAGGGCCTTCTGTAAATTTTACAAAGTTTTACTCCATTAGACAAAAGCAACATCCACTGATCTTTTTGAGATAATCGTGGTCTCCTGCTGAGATAGCTAAAGAATGACATCTTTATGATTCCTAGATGCCTCCAGTGTGATTGAGATCTGTGAAACACATACTAGTCTCTTGAAAGGGCCCGCTGTATGTCTGAACATTATGATTTTTTGACCTAAGATTTAGCAAAAGTTTATACAATCACACAGTCTTTTCTCTATGCTACACATTTGGGAGCTAGAAATAGCTTTTCTGCCATTTGGAAGTCTAAGAAATATCAAAATCATAAAGTCCTGGTTCTCTGGGGGTTTTTTGTTGTTGATTTGTTTAACTGTTCTTCCTCCATTCATTTCTCTGCTCTAGCATTTTATTATGAACAGTAAGAAATCAGGCAACATCTTCAAATCAGGCAGCTTAGAAATCTCCTTAGCTATATATCCATGTTTGTCATTTATGAGTTCTGCTTTCCAGACAACTACAAGACACAATTTGCAAAGTTCTTTGTCACTACATTTGAGGGCATCCCTTTAGTTTCCAGTAACACATCCTTCACATTCTTTGTAGGCCCTCTTGGCAGCATCATCAATGGCCATATTCCTACCAAGAGTCTGTTCAACACAACTGAGGCTCTGTCTATCAATCTCTGTAAAACTCCTTCAGATCCTGCATACTGCCCATTCCAAAGCTGCTCCCTCATTTGAAATAACTGGTACAAACCCCTGTGTTTGTTTTCTACTGCTGCATAACAAATCAGTATGAATCCAGCAACTTAACACAAATTTATTATTTCCCTGTCTTCATGGGTCAGGAATCTTGCTGAAATCAGGTGTCAGCCTCCTGGTTGTCCTCACCTGAAGGTCTAACTAGGGAAAGATCTCCTGAGCTCCTTCAGGCTGTTGGTACAATTCATTTCTTTGTGGCCCCAAGACTGAGATTTTCATTTACTTGCTAGCTGTTGGCCAGAGACTGCTTTCTATTCCTACTAGTCATTCACAAGTTCTTGCCATGTGGCCTTCTCCCCAGTTTGCTCCTTCAAGGTGAGCAGGAAAGCATCATTTTAACCTAACCTAAAAATTAGGTCAGGCCCACCCAGACTCTCTTTGATTAACTCCAAGTTAACTAATTAATGACTTAATTATATTTATTAACCCTACACACATTTAAGAGAAGACTATACTGGACACATGCAACAGAGAATAGAAATCTTGGGGGCCATCTTAGAGTTCTGCTTATACTGACAATGAGGAATAAATCGGGGGGAGGATGACATCCAAACCCACTCCCCAAAGAAATCACATAAAATCTACCATTATTCTAATAACATTAGCGAGATCAACTGGTACATAACTTAAATATTTAGTGTATTATTTCTCTAAACTTCAAGGAGAAAATTATAACTACTTTATAATACATGATCCAAGATTTTCAAAATAAAGTTTGTGTTATCTCTTTATCTTACAGAAGACAAAACAAAATAAAAAAATATTATATGTATGAAAGTTTTTCTGTACCTTGGAAACTTTTCATAATAACCCTTTCCCCAAAATAAACACGAAGATATATGTTTATCTTTACCCAATTGCTTTATTTTCAAGTCTAGTTATTAAAGATTAAAAATGTAGCTGGTTATTAACTATAAATGTGTTTATGCCAAAACTACATTATAGCCAAGTTGTAACACAGTCCTGAGAGAACTTAATGATGTAAAATCATTTCTTAAAATGGAACTGTTTTCCTAGTATTATTTGTCTTCAACTATAGCCACTGTGATTTCAGTGCTATTTTACTATTCTCTTCTCCTTCCTACTCTCAAACCTAACTGCTCCCAGTCTTACGTGATTCTCATACCAATGCATTCCTTTCCTGCTGCTACTGCTTCTCCTTCAAAGAAGCAATCTTAGGATACAGACAACACCTACAGAAACCTACGGGAGCTCACTATAAATTACTTCCCTCAGCTACTCTTACAGGAGAGTTAGTCTTCTATTATAGAATCCTCTAAGGTATTTTTAACAAAATATGGAAGAAATTAAATAGTCTCCAGGGGCGCCGGGGTGGCTCAGTGGGTTAAAGCTTCGGCCTTCGGCTCAGGTCATGATCCCAGGGTCCTGGGATAGAGCCCCACGTTGGGCTCTCTGCTCAGCGGGAAGCCTGCTTCCTCCTCTCTCTCTGCCTGCCTCTCTGTCTACTTGTGATCTCTGTCAGATAAATAAATAAATAAATCTTAAAAAAATAAATAAAATAGTCTCCAATTTAGGGTATTTTACCCATAAATGTAAGGCTCATATACTACAGGAAAAACTATTAATGTAATTTATTATAAGAACAGTAAACATATTATACTTCCTTCAATAGATAGTTGTAAGCACTCAATAAAATTCTCAAAAAAAAAAAAAATTCATGATTAAGATTCTTTCAAAATTAGATAGGGAAAATTTCTCAACATACTAAAGGTTTTACATTAAATTCACAAGCAAATATTAAAATCATACTATTACCACCTAACTTAATAACAGGAATACGATGAGAATGAATCATTACTGTCATTCAAGGAACAGACAATGTTACTTTTGCAGGTGATTTTTAGAAAATCTAGCATCATTAAAAATATTAGTAAAGATAACAAGTTTAGGAAAATTATAGAATTAAGATAAATTCATTAAAAGAGCTGACAGCCCGGGGCACCTGGGTGGCTCAGTTGGTTAAGCATCTGCCTTCCACTCAGGTCATGATCCTGGACTCCAGAGATTGAGCCGGCAATTGGGCTCCCTGCTCAACGTAGTCTGCTTCTCCTTCAGCCCCTCTCCTTCAACCCCGCCCAGCTTGTGCTCTCTCTCTTAAATAAATAAAATCTTTCAAAAAAAACAAAAAGCTGACCAGCCAGCCATCAAAAAGAATGAAATCTTGGCATTTGCAATGATGTGGATGAACTATAAAGTATTATGCTAAGTGAAATAAGTCGGTCAGAGAAAGACAAATACCATATGATTTCACTCATTTAAGAATTTAAGGAACTAAACAGATGAACATAAGGGAGGGAAAAAAGAGAGAGAAAGAGGCAAACCAAAACACAGACGGATAACTATAGAGAACAAACCTAAGGTTACCAGAGAGGATGTTGGGGGGCGGGGGTTAAAAAGGTGGTGGGGATTAAGGACTGTACTTGTGACGAGCACCGGGTATTGTGTGGAAGTGCTGAATCACTATACTATAACCTGAAACAATATTATACTGTATGTTAACTGGAATTTGAATAAAGACTTAGAAAAAAAAAGCTGTCAGCTATTTATTATTATGTAAAGTAATTCAGCATATGGATCATGAGTTAGCTTTTATTAGGATTTAGGAATTTATTCAAAAATTATTATAAAACATTAATGAATGAAATAAGGTCAGACAACATAAATTTATACTCTACAGGAAGCAAAGATGAAACAAACTACCCCATATATTAAAATGGGTAGAAAAATTTGGTGCCATCTAGCCTTTGAAAATTAAATATCTTTTTAAAAAACACATGCATATAACACTTTACATACATTTTTAAAAGTTTTATGAAGTTCTACTAACCATCCATGGACCCCAATTAATATTAAATTAAGAAACTTTGTTTTAATACAAAATGAATACAGTATCAATTAAAGTTCCACTAACTACAACTTATCAAAATGTATGTGGCCAAAACTGCTGGTTGGCCATAAATACACTTCTCAAAATTCCCTATAATCATATAAGTTTCCCTTAATACATGGTTACCCAGCTAAAGATCTCCTTCTCTAGATTTCTATTTCCATCTGTGAAGGAAGCAACTTGTAGCACACACAGTAATAATCCATCTACAAGTTGAAAGTGATGTTTAAAAAGTCTGCTTCAAAGCAGAAGCAAGCTACCAAGACAACCTTGCAAAGTCCCCAAGGCGGGGGGCACAGGGTGGAGGGGGGCGGCAGAGATAGGAGCAGAGTAGTTCTCTCAAAACTTGGAAGTGATTTACCTTCATGTTATTTGTCAAATTCTTTAGCTGTATACTAAGTAGAAGGCTACTGCTAGGTAGAGTGTAATGGTCAGCAATTTCAAAATGGTCAGCAGAATGGGACCAAGAAGAAAAAATCAATTTCTTTGAACAAGTAGATTAAGTTACATCCCAGGAATACCCAGCAGCAATATGTAAAGAATCTTTTAAATGCAGTTTAACCATGCTAACAATGTAGTTAACCAGGGGGTGGGGGGTGGTACCTCTTGTTACAGAAGCCTACCTAATATCCTAATACAGAATTTCATACCTGGAAGTTGGTACCACTGTAACAAAGTCAAAATATCTGACTGATTTAGCAACTGAATGGACATGGGCTCTTTTAAAATGAGAGAGGACATCAACTATCTCCATTTGACCTCTATCTGTACTTTCTAAAAGATTAAGTTTTTCTTTCCATCTTATTTCTTAACTCAGGCAAAAGACCCTGGTGGCAAAGTATTCCCTGATGGGCTGAAACCATCCCTCAAGCAGAGAGGACTGCCCTGAGCCAGCAAGACCCCATGTGACTGACCCCAGGAAAATGATCGACCCGACCTTTACCACCCACCTGCATGGACCCACCGATCTCTGTCGCGCTTCTTCCTTATATAAACCTAGAAACATTTTTGGCACCTTGGAGACAATCTTTGAGATACTGGACCCTTGTCTTCTCAGTGTTGGCCTCACTGAAATAAATTCCTTATTTCCCGCCACTCATGTGTCTGCCTTTGGATTCTGCAAGCAGCCAGTGGCCAAGCGCTGTCTGTTTGGGACCCCAGAGTCAGGTGCTTTGCACCCCTGGCCTTCTGGTTACAAAAATGCAAAGCTAATGACTTTAACAATGTCAGAGCAAAATATTTGGTGAAGCTGCTACTGGTGATACCTAGGAAGGCAGACAATGTGTTTTAGAAAAAAGCCTACTGCCAGACAGGTTTGGAATATTTAGAAGGCTGCTATTTATTAATTCCTTCATCCTGCTGTTTGCAAAGCCGTGTAAGAGAAAAGAAAATACTGAGGAGAGTCCGGCTCTAAGGAAGGGCCTCAGCAAGAGAGAAGACTGCAGTTCCTAGTCTTTTTCTGGCAGTTTCCGTTAAAATCAAACACGGGAACTAGCCCGTGACAAAAACAACAACAACAAAAATGAGAGTACAGATGATGCCTGTCCCCCTTGCCCAGTCCTATTTACTAAGTCTGGATGAAGGTAGACTATAGAGATTAGTAAATAAAATGGGAGTTTTCTAGAATAAATGAATGGATGCATTCTTTCATTATGGTTGCTTATACCTGGAACTACCCAGAACTAAACTAAATGTTTAAGGAATGAAAAACTGCCTAAGAAACTATTATCAGCCATGCAAAAGTCTTTTGTTAATTCACCTGCTACAACAATCTCCAAGTAACTCGCTCAGTAGGAAGCAAAGTGTGAAAACAGGGCAGCTCCCAAAAAAAGGCAATAGCCACTTCAGATGTCTCTACAGAGAATAATTGCTTAAAAAAAAAAAAAACAAAAAAAAAAAACAAAACAAAAACATCTTTTAGAGGAGAAAGCTGGCGCCATCTGAGCAAATGACCATGTTTTTCCATGGGAGTGAAAACAGAAGACTCCAACACGGGCTCACCCAAGAACCTGACTCTGTTGCAAGAGCTGCAGGTTTTCACAGTTCTGCTCAGAAGGATGTGACAATCGTTACGGGTAAGTGACTAACAAGTGCTCCCCATTCCAACTTTTCTGAATGCGTTTTTAAACTGCAGTTATCCTGCCCTTACGCCACCATTATATAACGGTTGTGTGTGTGGTGATGGAGTGTTTGCTGAAAAGACATGGCTTATGTGTCTATTGGTTAATAGATTATCAAAAAGGAGAAGTCATGGCAGACTGAACAAAGAAAGCTGTCACCTAAAGATTCTGAACTTTGAGACTGCAGCCCTTAAGGAAGAGATAAATTTGTTCTACGGGTGAGAAAAGACAAATATGAATTATTTGTGTGGACAAGGGAAGAGACCTCTGAGTGGACCGGTAGGGCAGGACCTCTAATTGCTATCTGTTATTTCCTCGTCGGGAGCAAAATGGAGTCTCTCACGTCAAGTAGGAGCCTGTGTGAAGCAAGGGCTCGAGCAGTTAAGGTACTGCAGCTAGGAGATATCACCGGGACCGACGTCAGCAGACACCCCAGAACTGAGAAGGAGCAGGACCAGAGGAGGTCTGCAGAGACCCAAAACTGACTAAATCCCTTTGAAAGGGGAGGATTTGGGCAGTAAACTGTCAGACTCTTCAGACCTGACCCCCTATGTCTGACCACTTTAAAAAGGCAATTGCTGTGAAGGCTCTGCCTGATTGATCTCCGAACAGAACGGAGATCCTTCCCTGCTTGAACATCAGAAGCAGTAAGTGCTGAGAGCTGACCCAGCCCAGACGGTGGCCTTGTCTCCTCTTCACGCCCACAGACTGACTTCACATTTGGTTCACTAACTTCTGTTATCGTGTTTGTTGTGTGATTTGTCTTATGCCCTGCTTGGTGTGCTGTGTAAGAAGCCAAGTTGAATCACACGGTGAACTGTCACTGTGTCTGGAATCCTGAACCTGCTTTCTAATTGTGATTTAACTTTGCTTTATGATTAAATAAAGCTGACACCGTGGAAAGACACAACTCGTGCGTGCCTTCGCAGTATGCTCAAGACCGTCCTCTTCTCTTCTATAGAAATAAAAGTTTTACCTGAGTACAAGGTAGCTCAGAAAAAAAGACCACATTTCCCAACCCTTTGTGTGTGTCATACAGCTAAGTTCAAGTTGTTAAAAAGAAAACCAGAGGATCAAGATGGAGTCGCGTATGCTAGGCTAAGTCACTAAACTTAATACCTAAGCTAACTGCGGTTTCAACCTCCCCTGGAAATGCAGTCTTCGTCAGTCAGGAATTTTTTGGCCTGCACCAATGAGGTAATCTGTCACATGGACCCTTCTCTATCCCCAAAAGGAAGATAAATTAATCCACCAAGAAGACTCCCTCTTTTCTCCCTAAGGGAACATGACCTTGTCCAAGACAATCCTTTCTTTTGCTAATAACTTCCTTGCCCCGTCCTCCTTAATAAGAATCTTCATTTTATATAACTCCTAGGAGCTTCTTTTTGCTAGATGGGATGCAGCCAACGCATGAATTGCTTAATAAAGCCAAGTAGATCTTCAAATTTACTTGGTCAGATTTTGTCTTTTAACAAAGCCAAACGTATAGACAGAAGAAATATATGTAAGATTTCTATATTTTAACCTAAAAGACAATCTGTATCCCCTCCATTTCTTTTCTTTTCTTTTTTGACAGAAAGAGAGAGATCACAAGTAGGCAGAGAGGCAGGCAGAGAGAGGGGGAAGCAGGCTCCCCACTGAGGAGAGAGCCTGATGCAGGGCTTGATCCTAAGACCTGAGATCATGACCTGAGCTGAAGGCAGAGGCTTAACCCACTGAGCCACCGAGGTGCCCTTATATCCCCTCCATTTCTCTTTCCTTCTTTCCTAGTGGTGAGCCATCAGTCTTGCAAACTAGGACAATAAACTCTCTTGTATCCTAATATATGCATACTACGTATAACAAAATTATAGCTTATATTTCTATGTTGATGGTATTTATACCACTACCACATTTATGCTTCTAGTACTCCTTGCAGAAGTCTACATACACATTTTATAAGTGTCCTATATGAGCAGTAGAAGTAATAAGAGTTGAAAAAGATGTCTTTGAAGAAATAAACTAATCAGTTATGAATAGGTGCAAAACTAAGAGGCTACCAGAGAGTAAAACAAAAATGTGATTTTTTTCAAGGCAAATGGCTGAATGTTCAAATAAGTTATATGCAGAAAAGAAAAAAAACAGGGACAACTTGGTGGCTCGGTCATTAAATATCTGCCTACAGCTTAGGTCATGATCCCAGGGTCCTGGGACCCAGCCCTACGTCGGGTTCCCTGCTCAGCAGGGAGCCTGATTCTCTTCTCCCTCTGCCCCTGCTTGTGTTCTCTCTATCGCTGTCTCTCTCTCTGTCAAATGAATGAATAAAATCTTTAAAAAAGAAAAGAAGAAACATATCTGAGCCAAAATCTCCATATGGGAGAAAAAAGATTTAAAATAATAAAACTGAAACAACGAAGTGAACAACTAGTAGAAAGTCTCAAAGGCCTAAGAGAATTCAACTGAAGTGGTGAGAAAGCCACGGTGAGAAAAACGCATCTTAATACATACCACACTGAGGAGCACCTGGAGAAAGAAGAGTTTCAAAGCTGGAGTAATAATAATCTAGACTAGGCTCTCCGAGAAGAAAGAAAGGTATTTTACAGAGAAAGGCTGGAAAGTACGTAGGTAGTTTTCTAAAGTGGTATATACTGAATCCAAAATAGTTTACAATTAAGCAGATAATGAAAGAGTAAACTCACCGTAGTGATTTTGCCTTTTCTCTTGACTGGAAGGAATGGGCATGCTCTCACTTGAAGATCTTTAATGGCAGCAGTCATTGTATTGTTCTCAAGGTCACCTTTCCAACAAATTTCACATTGTGTTGTAAGGACTAAGGCAGGAGCATCACTTCTTGTCATATCAGCCACAAACACAATTTCGGGATTTTTAATGATAATATTAACTTCCCATTTGTCTGATTCCTGTACAGGTACTAAACAGAAACAAAAGTATGTTCACATTTTAAAATATTTATTGATCTTTGTTATACATATTATTTACGAATAATTATTTCTGAGAAAATGTTTTTTCATTCCAAGTAAAAAAATAAAAGAATCTTAGATCCCAAAGGAATCTACTGCAATTCTCTTAGTGTAAGAGTTCACGATGCTATAGTCTCCAGAACATTTAAAAATGTGGGGAGAAAAACCCTAACTAACTAACTAACTAACCCAGTTTCCAACTCTCAACTTGATACTACTTCTGCTCTACCATAAGGAATGAAGTATGTAAAAAATAGTGGAGAGCTATAAAGATAACAGAAATGAAAGAATTATTATCTGTAATTATTATCTGTAATTATGAAAAGTAATGGTTGATTTGTTATTCTCCCTACTTGTTTTTGTCAAAACATTCTTTGAAATTGCTGCCTGTAGGGAAGTCTATTTGTTTATATATTGTTCATAATTCGTGAACCCAATATATATTTACATCCTGAAAAATACGCAAACTGCACATTCTACCTGAAAGCACATTTAAGTTTTCCTTTTACCTATGAAAAATAAAAATTTTAATTTAGTAATTCACTTAACCTCATCATCTAGAAAGGTAATCAATGGTGAGTGCTACTGTAGCATTTTAGTTATAGTTATGAAATATTTTAGCTAATAACTAACCTTCTTCCTTAGCAGTCCATGTTTGAACACTGGTTTCTACAGCAGTGCCTGTGGTGTAGGCCTCAAGAAAGACATTTGCAACTGTCAGCAGAAATTCCACACTTGCACAAATATACATCTCTTGAAGGACTAAATCAGTTGTCCAACCATCTCTGACTTTTCTGTACTTTACATCCATCATGTCCTTTTTGTCAAACCCAACTGTCAGTCCTATCATTCTGAAAAACGCAATAACAACAATCCATCTTACAAATAACCAAACACACCAACAAAAGGCAAAAGACCTCTTAACCATTTACTAACAGCAAACCAGCATTCTGAAGTTATTTCTCCCAGGAAGGTCACAAAGTATTCCAAATAACAGACTTAGAAACTTCTGGAGCACAACTGTTTCATAAACTAGGAAGTACATCTGTAAGAAATTAGAACTTAGAATCTCAGCATATTTGTCTTAATTTTTCATGTTTTCCCTCGATTTTTCATGTTTTCATGTTTACAACTTGCAGAGATCAATAATAATCTAAATAGAGATTAATTTAAAAATCCAATTTAGGGGCGCCTGGGTGGCTCAGTGGGTTAAGCCTCTGCCTTTGGCTCAGGTCATGATCTCAGGGTCCTGGGATCGAGCCCCGCATCAGGCTCTCTGCTCAGCGGGGAGCCTGCTTCCTCCCCTCTCTGTCTCTGCCTGCCTCTCTGCCTACTTGTGATCTCTGTCTGTCAAATAAATAAATAAAATCTTTAAAAAAAAAATCCAATTTAATTGCACTGTTTATTTCTACTTAACCAATCCACTGACCATCCAGTAAGAACAGCACATAAGACTGAGAACCATAACTCCATTAAACTGAAGTTCTGAAGATCTTGTGATGCACCCAGAAAACAAGCATGCAACTTCGGGAATATGTTTTATAAAATATCATCAACCATTTCCCAAGTAAAAAGTAAGAATACTATTACCTAGGAGTTGCCTTCTTGACATGAGGCCTTTTATCATCTAAAATACAGTTTTTTAATGAAAAGGAAGAAAATGTTGAGTCATCTGTATACATTTTTGCAGTGCTTATGATATTCTCCAACTTAAATTCAGCAAGTTTCAGAGAAGGATCACGAACATCTATAAAGGAAGTCTGTGGAAGAGGAAATCAATACAACTTTTACACAAAAACAAAGTCTAATACTTATTTTAAGATATGAACTACCACCTTCTTTATCTCTATAGGGCTTGCTAATGAAAGGCCAAAAAAAATTTCACTTAAAATTTTATTTTTTAGGGGCGCCTGGGGGGCTCAGTGGGCTAAAGCCTCTGCCTTCAGCTCAGGTCATGATCTCAGGATCCTGGAATCGAGCTCTGCATCGGGCTCTCTGCTCAGTGGGGAGCCTGCTTCCACCTCTCTCTCTCCGCCTGCCTCTCTGCCTACTTGTGAGCTCTGTCTGTCAAATAAATAAATAAAATCTTTAAAAAAATCTGTTTTTTACATCACTGAGTTTAGGAAAGATAACTCATCTTAAAAGGGCAATGGTTAAACTTGGTATTAAAGTGAAATGATCAGTAACATTTTTCAGAGGAAAAGAGACTTCAAAATACATACAAATTATTAACAACTGTTACTTTATTTTTTTTTTTTTTAAGTTTTTATTTATTTGTTTGACAGAGAGATTACAAGCAGGCAGAGAGAGAGGAGGAAGCAGGCTCCCCTAGAGAGCAGAGAGCCCAATGCGGGGCTCGATCCCAGGACCCTGAGATCATGACCTGAGCCGAAGGCAGCGGCTTAACCCACTGAGCCACCCAGGCGCCCCAACAACTGTTACTTTAATAATAAGCGTTCACCTATATAATTTTCATCAAGTGAGAAAATATTTTTTTTTCCTAACTCACCTGGTCGGGACCCGGACTGTATAGGACCATGGTGAGATAGTCGGTTCTGAAGCTCATATTCAGTGTTGTCTTAACTTGAGAGGCCTGTGAATGGATTTCTACCACAGCAGCAGTCACTACAGTTGTTCCTTGGAAAAATTCAAAGTTATTGGGTAAAAAAAGTCAAGAAAGGTAAAAATCATGAAAATAGGTTTTAATAGGTTTAGCAGAATTTTCAATTAAATATGTAGAATAATGTTACTCAAGAAAAGAATAAAGATTAGAAAATTCAGAAGTTGAACTCAGTAACGCCCAGCTTGGGATTCTTTCCGTGATAGCTTAGGAATATTAATTAACACTTGGTGCCTCCATTTCCATTTTTGTAAGGTGAGAATAACAGAACCAACCACTGGGTTTGTTTTGGGGATTAAGTGAAAGAATATGTACAAAATACTTTAATTAGACTACCTGGTGCATAGTTTAATATTTAAATTTTACTTCAAAAAATTAAAACCAAACAAGATATCTTAGATATTTTAAACAACTGTCACACTGAAAAGAAGGATCCAAAATTCCTTCTTTTCTGCATTCTACATTTTGAGTCAAGGCATTATATGTACACGGAATATATTAAATGAGCTTTTTATTAAAATACAGCAATTGCTATTTCTCACGGTACCCAACTGCACAGATCAGTGCCACCACGTAACTTATTTTTAATTTAGGTAAAATTTGTATCAGTAAAATAAGTTGATAGCAACTGAACAATTTAATGAGATTTTGTACATCCACACTACCAACACTCCCATTAAGATTACTAAATATTTACATCACTCCCAAAAGTTCTCTCATACCCTTTTCCAGCTCTTCCCCAACCTCCTTACCATTCTAATTTTAATCAGAAAGGTTAGTTTTGTTTGTCCTCAAATTCTGTATAGAGTAACATTAAGAGTAAAACCTCTTTTATGTTTGGCTTCTTTCCATTAACATGCTCCTGACAGCCATCCATGCTGCCACATGTATTAGTAGTTCATGCTTTCTTACGCAGTCTATGAAAACACACAATTTGCCCCTTCTAGGACTAACGAACATATGGGTTGTTCCCAGACTTAAATGATTATGAATAAATCTGCTACAAATATTGCTGAGTAAGTCATGTAGTGTATATATACACCTATTTTGGAGTGGGGTCGGGGAAATACTTGGACCTGGAATTGTGTGTCACAGGGTAGATACATGTTAACCCCCAAACTCTTAATAGTTACACTATTTTACGTTCCCAACAGCATTATGAGTCTCAGTTGTCTCATACTCTCGTCAACACTTGAAGCTGTCAGTCTTAAAATCTGACTCATCTGGTAAAATGAACTTTTCCTGATAAATATGTGCTAATAGCACATTTTCATCTGTGTAAGTTTCCTTTTTTTTTTTTTTTTTTGAAGAGATTTTTTTTTTTTTTTAAGATTTTATTTATTTATTTGGCAGACAGAGATCACAAGTAGGCAGAGAGGCAGGCAGAGAGAGAGAGGGGGAAGCAGGCTCCCCGCTGAGCAGAGAGCCCGATGTGGGGCTCGATCCCAGGACCCTGAGATCATGACCTGAGCTGAAGGCAGAGGCTTTAACCACTAGCCACCCAGGTGCCCCTGTGTAGTTTCCTGTTAATATATCCTCCTTTCCCAAGTATCCAACTCATCTGGTAATTATTTTAGTTTCAAGTTATTAATTTCAAGGAGTTTTCAGGTATTCTAGATATGAAAACAATGTCAGATATATGTATCATGAATATGTATCCCAGACTGAGGCCTCACTTTTCACAATCTTGATACCATCTCTGGATAAGGAGAAGCTGAAAATGTTTATGAATTCTATTTTATATAGTTTTTATGATTAGTGTTTTATCTACCTAAGAAATCTTTGGCAACCCCATGATCATGAAACTATTCTTCCATGGCTTCTTCTAGAAGCTTAAATGTTTTAGCTATCAAGGACGCTTGGGTGGCTTAGTTGGTTAAGCGGCTGCCTTCAGCTCAGGTCATGATCCCAGAGTCCTGGGACTGAGTACCACATCGGGTTCCTTGTTCACCACAGATCCTGCTTCTTCTCCCTCTGCCTGCCACTCTCCTTGCGTGTGTTCCCTCCCTCCCTCTGATACATAAATAAAATCTTTAAAAAAAAAAGTTTGGCTTTCAAATATGTCTTTCATCCATCTCAAAATAATTCCTGTGTATGGCATTAAGGGACAAGCTTCAGTATTTCCTGTTAAAAGATTTATCCTTTCCCTATTGACTAGTCTTTGTTGTTGAAAATCAGTTGACTCCACTTGTGGGTTTTCTGGACTCTTCAGTTTTACAAATCTGTCTATGCTAACTTTAGATTTACTGCAAATTTTGAAATCAGACAGTATAAATTTTTGTCTTTCACAATTTTTTTTTTTGACCTTTGTTTTTTTTTTCCGGCTATCTAATCAAAGGAACTTTTACTTCTTTCTACTCTGTAGACCTCTTAAGCCTTCTCCTGGCCTTGTAACTCTGTCCATGGCTATTAGTTAACCTGGTATGATGACGATTCTGAACACTTTCTACTTATGCCCACTTTAGGGGGAAAACTTAACACTTCAGTATTAAGTATGTCTTTTAGATATTTCTAGTTTTCATCATAAATAGGTGCAGAATTTTGTCAAATGTTTTTTTCTGCATCTACTGAGATATGATTTTTTCCCTCTTTGTTAATTTGGTAAATTTATTAATTGATTTTTGGCTGTTAAACCAACTTTTGCATTTTGAGATAATTCTCACCTGGTCAAGATGAATATCTTATATCCTTATTGCTGGATTCAGTATGATTAATATGATTGTTAATTAATATGATTAATATGTTGTTAAGAATTTCCATGTCTGTGTTCATGAAGGATATTAGTGTGTGATATTCTTTTTTTTTGAAAAGACTTTTTCTTTTTTAAGATTTTATTTATTTATTTGAGAGAGAGAGAGAGAGAGAATGAGAGAGAGAGCATGAGAGGAGAGAGGACAGTGGGAGAAACAGACTCTCTGGCAATCAGAGAGCCTCATGTGGGACTCGATCCCAGACTCCAGGATCAAGACCTGAGCAGAAGGCAGTTGCTTAACCAACTGAGCCACCCAGGAGCCCCAACTTTTTCTTTTTTTAACCACGGTAATGCTGGCTTTAGAAAATGGCCAAGGAAGTGTTCCCTCCTTTTATTTTCCAGAAGAGTCTGTGTAACACATTATTTTGAATGTCAATATTTAACAGAATTTATCACTGAAATTCAATTCCTTTAACAGATACAGGGCTACTCGGACTTCTTATTTCTTCTCATGTCAACTTTGGCAACTTTGTTTTCCAGGAAATTTGTCCATTTCAAACAAGTTGTAGAATTCACTCTCACAAAATAATCCATAATAGTCCCTTATTGTCTTGATAGCAATCTGTAATATCTATTTAATTCTGATACTGATAATTTGTTCTCTCTCTCACTCCTTTGTCCTATTAAGGATTCATAAACTTTATTCATTTTTTCCAATGAAAACAATCTCTGACTTTGCTAATTTTCTCCACTGTATGTCCACTTCTCTTCAATTGATTTCTATTCCTATCTGTAATACTGCTTCCTTTTATTTACTTTGGATTTAATTTGCTCTTTTTCTTCTAAAGGTTTTTCTCCAGGCAAAACCTTTAATCTTTTTAAACTCTGTTCTATCCTCATCAAATCCCTTATAGCTACAAAGTTCTTTCAGCAGTGCTTTAATCGCATTCCACAAATTTTTATTAGATTTTATGTTCATTACCTTCCAGTTTAAATAATTTTCTAATTTTCTTTGGTTTTTTGTTTTTGTTTTTTTTTTACGATTTTATTTATTTATCTGACAGAGAGAGAGAGCACAAGTAGGCAGAAAGGCAGGCGGAGAGAGAGGGGTAAGCAGGCTCCCTGCTTCGGATGTGGGGCTCAATCCCAGGACCCCGAGATCATGACCTGAGCTGAAGGCAGAGGCTTAACCCACTGAGCCACCCAGGCACCCCATTTCCTTGTCTTTTTTGACAATTTTAAAATTTTAAAAATTGTTTAATGTCCAAGTATTTCAAGCTTTTTTGACATCCTGTTGCTAATGACTTCTAAGTGAATTCCATATGACCAGAAAACTTCATTGCCCCCAGAATGGTTTACCCTTGTGACTATTCCAAGAGCCCGTTAACAAAAAATGAAAAAAGTGCATTCTGCAATTACTGAGTGTAGTATTATACTAACATCAGGTGAGTTTGTTAACAGTGTTCAAATGCTCTGTATTTTGATTTTTTTTTTATATTCTATCAACTACTAAGAGTGGTATGCTAAATCCGCAACTGATTCTGTGTATGTATATTTCTTCCTTCAGTTTTGTCAATTTTTGCTGCATGTTTTGAAGTTCTGTTATTAGTTACATTTAAAGTTGTTGGATCTTTTTTGTGAATGGATCCCTTTATCATTGTTAAAAAAAATACAAACTTGTAAAGAAACATTTCTGAGATCACCAGGAGAAAATGAAGCCTACTAGGATTATTTTCATGGTACATAGGAGGTATAGCTAAAATTTTAGGGGTGATAATGTTACTATGACTACATTTAAAAAGTAGAGTTCTGCTGTGCCTGGGTGGGTCAGTCAGTTAAGCATCTGCCTTTGGCTCAGGTCATGATCCCTGAGTCCTGGGATCATGCCCTGCACTGGGTTCCCAGCTCAGCGGGGAGTCTGCTCCTCCCTACGCCCTTCCTTCACTCCACTCATGCTCTTTCTCACACTCTCTCAAATGTATAAATAAAATCTTCTTAAAACAAAAAATAAACAAAAAGTAAAGTTCTTACTACTTAAATATCGATTAGAGATAGAACATCTGAGATTTGCTTTAAAGTCATCTAGTGGGGTCGGGGGAAGAATATGCAGACTTGAAGCTGTGATAAGGCAGCCACATGATACCAGTTGCTGAAACTGTGTTGATAGGTGTGCGTGGATTCATTCCTTTATTCCTTCTACTTTGGTGTATGTGCAAACTTCAAGAAAATTATTAAAACAATAATGTACTTAAATGTTTATTTTTCTTTTATTTCAGACATTATCTTTACACTCCCCACTACTTAAGTCCTTTCCACTTCCTCTATCTGTCCTATCTTCCTATCTTCCAGCTTTGGTCAGTTATGTCTTCATCTCTACATTAACATGGTTAATAACCTTTACATTCTTATTTACACAGTAAGATTTCTCCCTTCTTAGGAACCAAAAACATGCCGCCTTTCCCATATCACTCACATAATGTAGTTAATTAATCCCTCATTCCACATATTATATGAAATTTATGCTATTTTTTTTAAGACATTCTTCCACTTTACAAAATTTTTCTTACGGCTTTCTGAATTCCTCTGTAATGAATAGCCCAATAAAATAGAAAATTTTGGGATTCCTGTTCAATGCACTTCTGGGTAGGCCCATTGTTTCTGGATCCCATGTTGTCTTTTTTCCTGGATTCCTTGTTTGTTTCACTAGGTTAAATTTTCAAACAAATTTCTTTAGGAATGAGTATGAAAGTAGTAAACTTTGAGTCACTAGAAATTTGAGAATTATTGTGTTTTCACATTTTATGGTTTGACTATATATAGAATCCTAACTTCAAAATCATTTCCTTAGAAATATAACTTTAGTGCTCCATTGTCTTTTATCATCCATCTACCCTGTCCCATTGAGTTCTGTTCATGGCAATCTGATTCCAATCACTTTTTTCCCAAGCCCCTAGTAAACAGCTTGCTTTTGTTCTGAAACTAAGAATCTGATCTTTGTTGTTCTGACATTTCATGAAAATGTGTTTGCATGGGCAATCTTTGTTTATCCCATCTGCTTGAAACTTGTTAGATTTTTTATATCCAAGAATTTATTTCAATATTTATTTACCTTTAAAAATGTTCTTCTATCATTTCTTTGAAAGATTCTTCTCTTCCATTTTCTCAGTTCTTTCTCCTAAGACACTTATTATTCTGGATTTTGCAACTTTTGAAAGGTCTATACATCGTAAGTTTTATCTCACTTTATGTCTCTGTGGCTTATTTTTCTGCTGTGTCACGGGAGATTACATCAACTATATATTCCAACTCAGTACTTACATTTTAACCTCACGCTTACTGCATTTGTTCTGAATTTCACCAATCATATTTTTGGGTTCCAAGAACTCTTTCTTATCTTGAGAGGGTGGAAAATAGTGAGGGTAAGCTACAGTTTCTATATTCTCAAAATCCTCTGATTACGAATTAGAGTTTGTTTACATTCTTGTTACCTGAATTATTTCTGTTTCACTAAGAAAATAATATTCAGTTATCCTGGTTTCTTTTATGATTAACTTCTTGCTATTTTCTTAACCTAACCGTGAATATTTTAACAATAACGGACTGGGCTGATTATTCTATCCAGTAAGAAGAGAGTTTCATGTAAAGTCATAAGTGTAGTGTTAGGACTCTCCCTGAATGGAAGAGGTGTGTGTTATCTCAGGGCTTTGCAAGAGGGTCTGGTAGACTAGTAAGTGTCATTTGGAGAGAAGAAGGTTTGAGGATCCCCTCAAATGCCAGAATGAGAACTCTATTCTTACGAAGCATAGTCCTCCCAGCAACCTTAACTGACCCAATTCTCTCTTATGTGCTGGTGCTAAACTTAGAACCCAGTCAGGTTCCACACACCACATTAAATCGAGTATTAGATAAAACCTCTTTCTGAGTTACAGTTCCCCCTGCCCTCCTCTACCTATCTATCTTCCAGATGCTTGCTGAAATTCATCATTTAGTAATGATCATTCTTTCTTGACATCCTTAATATTTCGATACTCCTAATTTAATGTAATATATTCTATCTGGGATATATGCTGCACTAAGAACTAGGGAGAAGAGGTGGATGGGGAGAAAAATTGAAAATAAGGATGTATAGGGCAGTTGGAATAACAAGAATAAATACGAAGGAATTTTGTCACAACACAACTAGGAATTTTGATTCAACAGAAAAAAATAAACAGAATGCCTAATAACAATTTGGAGATACCCACATAGGATTAGCTAATTATACAAGATCTATAAACCTTATTTTCAAAAACCCAAACTAGAGACTGGAAAGGAAGGAGGAAGAAATGTGGGATTAGAGATGGGAAGGGGAAGGTTAATGGTAAGTTAAGAACATACCTTCTAAATGGTGTGAAGCATTAGTAGCCCCACTATTAACACTATTCTGTTCTTTTACTCCTGCAGGTGAGGCACCACCACCTTCTTCGTACCAAATATTGCCATATAATGTTTTAAAAATAGTTGTCATATCTTCTTGACTAAGAATGAACTGTGAAAAGAAAGATTTGTTTATTTTAACACTACTTTATGTAGTTAGAAATTCGCTTACATTGAAAAGCATGTGTTTCATCCCAGTCCTCTACAAACCAATTTTTTAATGCAATAGATAATTCTACTAATAGGATATTCAGTTTCCTAAATGACCATGTAATCTTTAGTACCTTGTGAAGTACGGAAATTAGATGTCAATACCAATGAAACTATGAATGATAAGTTTTTTGTTATGAACATATCAATTAACCTAATAATTTAAAGCCTTTAAAATGAACTTCCATTTATCCAGTTATTTTGCATTTTTTTAGTTACTAAACACCTCGATTTACAAATGCAAATTACTCAAAAATGTTGATCTGCATCATGAAAAATAGTTCACAATGTATTTTATATAAATTATTTCATTTGAACCTCACAAAAGTTATAGGTATAAAGAATATATCCTGACTGTATAAGAAGCTGAGACTTAAATGGTTAAATATCATACTTAAATCCACTTAAAGAACTTAAAGAACTCATGCTCCCCATGTCTTGTGAATTTAGCCTAAAATTACCAACATAAGAGCTATGATGGTTGATCCCAGGGTCCTGGGATCAAGCCTTGAATCGGGGTCTCTGCTCTGCAGGGAGCCTGCTTCCTCCTCTCTCTCTCTGCCTGTCTTTCTGCCTACTTGTAATCTCTGTCTGTCAAATAAATAAATAAAATCTTAAAAAAAAAAAAAAGAGCTATCATGGTTAATTCTACATCGACTCGGCTAGATCACAGGACCTACATATTTGGTCCAATATTATTCAAGATGTCACACATATGATATGTATACAGAATATACACAGGATGCACAGACCATCTACAAATACCAGCCGCCTTCTGGGGCAGGCCAACCAGGATGAAATCGGCTCTTCATGATCCACCCAAGTAGTTAACAGCTGTTGCCGCCTGGCTCAGGAGACCACATCTTTAACCCCTCCCAAACCTCATCCTGAGTGTCAGGGAGAGGCTAAAACGGAGTCATCAAGAAGTCAATCTACTGTATCCAGACCAAGTGTATACATAAACACACACACACACACACACACACACACACACACACACACACACACATCCTATTGACTATGTTTCTCTGGAGAACTTAAACACAATAGCAATCTTGTGAAACAACAAAACAAAATAAAAAACTATGAGTTTTAAATTGATACACTTAATCATCTCAAAGAAACAATTCCACAAAATGAGTTTTATGTGTACCAGTATTCCTTTGACTATAGTTCAAAGAAGATATACTAGTCCAGTGTTTTCATTCATGACATCTTGTGTTTATTTTGTAGCTGGTATTACAAAACTAGTATGTTCATATAAATTAATAAGCTGAAGTTAAATATTACAACCATATCTAAACCATGTCTTTTAATTGGTACATGTATACTGAATGCCCTACAAATATAGATATTAATGATCATGCTTCACTCTTGCTAACACCTCAGTCCAAGAATTGCAAGAACTATAAGGATCCCAGGACTGCTGGTCCATGGGGCCTACAAGTCAGGACAGGCTATCTTGCTACTCCCAAATGTCTGACAAGTCAGAAACCACAAAATGCAGCACTTAGTCTAGACGCATTAAAGTAACTGATTCCAACCTCTCCCTGATCCAGGAGGGGTCAAATACGTAGACCCAGGTCCATATCCACTGACTATTCAGGTGGATCAGGACAGGGAAGAGCCAATTTCATCTGCCCTGGAAGGCTGCCAGCCATTTACAGATGGTCTGCACAAGCACCTGGACATGCTGCATGCATCCTTCCTGGGGAAGAGTGAAGCCAGATGGTGTCCCTGCTGCCCCACAGAGATCTGCCTAAGACCTGGGCCTACCAAGGAGAGGATATGTGCAGTATGCTGGGTGAAACATGCTACTTATGTTTCAAAAGTATCTACCAGTTGTTTTAAAAGATATAGAGACTTCGATTTTTATCTTAGGACAACACTTTCTGGGGCACCTGGGTGGCTCAGTCAGTTAAATGTTTGCCTTCCACTCAGGTCATGATCTCGGGGGTCCTGGGATCAAGCCCTGCATCAGGCTCCCTGCTTAGTGGGGGTCTGCTTCTCCCTCTCCCTCTCCCTCTGCCTCTAACCTCCACTTGTGTGCTCTCTCCCTCTCTCTCTCATAAATAAATAAAATCTTAAAAAAAAAAAGCCACTTTGCATTTACAAGTTAGGGAGTCTAATATGATCATATACACTAAGAGCTTAAGGATTTTCAGCTGAGATCATCATGTTTTAAACTCTAAATATATTTCTGAATTAAAACTTGAAACCTTTAAAAATGATGGTTTTCTCTTTTTGAATGTATTTTTTTGGGGAGAGAAACAGAAAGGAAATGGGGGATGGGAGGAGGGAAGAGGATTTGTTGCATAGGCTTTTTAAGTAACCTTCCAGACAGAGTATGTGCTGCTGACACTTTAGCAAAGCATGTGATACAGTTTTGACCTCTGTGCAGTCAAAAGGAAAGATAGGAAACTTTGGATAGTTACATTAGAGATCTGTGAAGCAGTATCAACCAATAACTAGGTAAAATTAAGCATAAGGAACGGACCCATTTGCCATTTTCATCATCAGCCTCTTCCATTATTTTTAAAAAGATTTTATTTATTTATTTGAGAGACAGACAGTGAGAGAGAGCATGAGTGGGGAGAAGGTCAGAGGGAGAAGCAGACTCCCCGTGGAGCTGGGAGCCCAATGTAGTACTCGCTCCCGGGACTCCGGGATCATGACCTGAGCCGAAGGCAGCTGCTTAACTAACTGAGCCACCCATGCACCATCCCTCTTCCCTTTCTTCTAGGACCTTCTGTATGTTATTTCACATATTATCATGGCTTTAAATACCATCTAGATGCTGATGACTTTAACATTATTTATTTCCAGCCAAGGCCTCTCCACTAAGTTCTAAATTAATATATCCAATTGACTACTTAGCATGTCTGATATTTGCTTCCTCTATGGAATTTACTACAATTTATAACTATTTTAATTACATGCCTATATACTTTTTTATATTCTAACTATCACACCTCTAGAGCACTATGACTGCTAAATCTTCCATTAGACTGATTAGATTCCATGAAGCCAGGACAAAATGCAATAGCTTCCTTGCCACAGTCTCTCCATATATGACATAGGATCTAACACAGAGTAGCCATTCAAATGTTTGCCGCATGAATGGAGACATTCAATGAATTCTGAGTTAATATAGCTACTATTTATATATAGTAATTTTGACAGAGCTAATCAATACAGAAGATCTACACCAAAATATCTTATGTTCCCAAACGATATTTTTAACCAACAAAACAGAAATCAACAAGGATCCAAAAAGTTACCTCCATGGGCTTTAGCTGAGCATTTATATTAAAACAAGGAACTTCCTGGTACCACTCCCAAGATAAATTTCGCTCAACAATCACCTCAAGATTTAATGGTAATAGCAGATCTAGTACTTCCTGGTATGCATCATCAATAAATTGAGTCCTGTAAGTAGAAATAAAATTGTTTTGTTTCATATATACCCATAGTAAAAAAAAAAAAAAAATGTATCATTCTATATACAAATAGTAAAAATCAATAATTTTTGTATGTAAAGAAAAATAAAATCTACCCAGCCTCCCAAGTCAAAATGAGAGATACTCCATCCCACTGTGAATTTAGGTAACTTTCTCTGAGCTCAAGTTATCCATATTGTAGAGAAATCAATCTTCAGAATAAGATTTTGCAGTATGTTAAAAAGTGCCAAAAATATGTAAGTTGGATAGTAAACTCTTAAAATGAGGACTATCTCTACATAATTGGAAAACATAACATTATAGAAGACCTCATTAGAAAAACAACTTAATTCACTCACTTATGTATGGAGAATACCACATATCCCCTTAACTTGATAGCAAACCATACAGACCATATAAAATTTCTATTTCTGTGGATGAAAAACAGTTGAATATAGGCAATTTCATATTAAGTTGAACCATTATTTGCCTTTCCAAATATTTGTAAGAGTAGGATTGACTCAGGAATGATGAAAACAGTAGGTTACTTAACCCATTTCACAGAAGCCTTTCACTGTACATTCAAGTGACAACATCAAAGTGTTACTACTTAATAATGTACTTACATTTTAACTGGCAACAAATTCCAAATCGTTCAACTAGAGTACGAAGCAGAATTTTAGATTCACTTACTCAAGTGGAGAGAAATACAGGAGTCATCAGGGATCTCTCAGAATGCCTAGTATCATACCATTTTATGAATTAACTACAGAGTAACACTATACTCATGCATGCACGCTTACAATCTCCACTTAATGGGAATAAATTAAGAAATCTAAAAGGCTCATAAAGACTATTTCAAATGCTGTTTTATTTTTTATGTTTAATATTACTTTTAATTTTTTAAATTCCAGTATAATTAACATAGTGGTATTATTAGTTTCAGGCGTACAATATACTGGTTCAACAATTCTACACAATACTCAGTGTTCATCAAGATAGGTACATTCTTAATCTCTTTCACTTTCTTCACCCATCTATCCACCCATCTCCCCTCTGGTAACCATCAGTTTGCTCTCTATAGTTAAGAGCCGGTTTTTATGCTTATTTTTAGTTTGTTCATTTGTTTCTCAAACTACATGAGTGAAATCCTATATATTTGTCTTCTGCCAAATGACTTATTTCACTTAGCATTATACCCTCCAGATCCATCCATTTTGTTGCAAGCAAGATTTCAGTATTTTTTTTAATCAGTATTTTTATAATACTCTGATACACACACACACACACACATCGCTTCCTTATTCATCTATTGACGGACCCTTAAGCTGCTTCCATAATTTGGCTATTTGTTGCCTCCTGACTGCGCACGGAGAAGAATGAGGCACAAAGAAGTTAGTTGCAAGACAATGGGAGTAGGGGGTCGACAGTCTTAGCCCCCGCTCCTATTCTCTTGCAGCTGACTTCTTTGTGCCTCATTCTTCTCCCATGTGCCGTCAGGAGGCGGCAGCTAATAGAAATAATGCTGCAGTAAACAGAGGAGTGCAAATCTTCTTTTGCATTTGTTTTTCATATTATTTGGATAAACACCCACTAGTGGAATTAATGGGTTATATGGCAATTCTATTTTTAACTTTTTGAGGAACCTCCATACTGTTTTCCACAGTGGCTGCACCAGTTTGCATTTTCACTGACAGTGCACAAGGGTTCCTTTTTCTCCACATCCTTACCAACACTGTAGTCTTCTTGTGTTTTTGATTCTAGCCATTCTAACAGGTGTGTGATGATATCTCAATGTATGCAATGATATCTCAAGGATTTTCATTTCCCTGATCATGAGTAATGCTGGGCATCTTTTCACGTGTCTGGGGTCATCTAGAGGTCTTCTTTGGAGAAATGGCTGTTCCTCTCCAGTCAATTTTAAAAAATGGATGTGTGTATGTGTGTGCATGTACACTTAATTAAGTTCTTTATGTATTTTGGAGAATAACCCCTTACCAGATTTATCATTTGAAAATATCTTCTCCCATTCACTAGGTTGCCTTTTGATTTGTTGGTTATTTACTTTGTTGGGCAGAAGATTTTTATTCTGCTACAGTCCCAATATACTATTTTTGCTTTTGTTTCCCTTGTATGGAACTGTTTTCTGTTCTCTTGCTGCTTTTAAGATTCTATCACTACTTTTTCCCCCATTTTAATTACTATGTGTCTTGGTGTGGACCTTCTTGTGCTGATTTTGCTGGGGGCTCTCTCTGCTTCCTGGATCTGGATTTCTGTTTCTTTCCCCCAGGTTTGGGAAGGTTTCAGCTATTATTTCTTCAAATTTTCTGCCACCTTTTCTCTCTTCCCCTCTGGAATTCTGATGGTATGAATGTTATTATCCTTCACAGTGGTGTTGAGTTCCCTTAATCTACTTTCATTTTTTTATTACTCTTTTCTCTCTGATTGCTTTCCACTGCTCTGTCCCCCAGGCCGGGGATCCAACTTTCTGCTTCCTCTAGTCTATTTATTCCCTCTCATGTATTTTAAACTTCAGTTATTGAGTTATTAATTTCTGATTGGTTCTGTCTTCTCTTTGTTAAAGTTCTCCACTGGAGTTTTCCCTTCTTTTCTCAAGTCCAGTGAGTATCTTTATGACCATTAGTTTAAATTCTGTCAGGTATATTATCTCCATTTTGTTTGGCTCTTGTGACTTTTGTCCTGTTCTTTCATTTGGGACATATTCCTCTGTCTCCTCACTTTGTCTAACTCTGTGTCTGTTTCCATGTGTTATGAAAATCAGCTATGTCTCCTACTCTTCAAAGTCATGGCCTTATGAAGAAGTCCTGTAGTGTCCTACAGTACAATGTCCCTTGTTCACCAGAATGCGGTGCTTCAGGAGCATCCTCTAGGTGTTATATGCACCCTACACTATTGACTGAGCTGAACTTACCATCAGTCCATGAGTTGCATGAGATGACTCTCTTTGCCTATTGTGGGCAGAGTTTGGTCCCTGTGTTGTCTAGTCATCCAGTCTAGAGATTCCTATTAACTTGGGTCAGACCAGGTATTTGGCAGAGCAGTGCTAGAGATGAACTACAGGAACCTCTCCCTGTACTGTCCCTGAGAAGCATCTGTTAGTGGGTGGGTCCTGAAATCAGACTAGATGTCTGCCCCCAGGTTACTGCTGAGGCCACAGGTGAACTGGTGTGTGTGTGTGTGTGTGTGTGTGTGTGTGTGTGTGGTTATTTCCCTTCACCCTGCTGCAGGAGTCACTTTGGAATGGTGCTGGCCCTTTATGGAGCTGCTTGCACACTGCCAGGCCTGTGCCACCTCTTTGGATGGACTCCTGCCAAGGACACGTTGGAGAGGGAAGATCCAGCGGAGAATGCAGGGGCAGAGTGTGTGCTGCCAGCAAGGTGTGCACTGGTCTGCTATGGAAGGGGACCTCCCACCAACTAGGAAAACTGCCCAGCCAGGATGGCTGGAGTGGGTCTGCAGAGCATGCAGGAACAGGGCGTATGATCAGCAAGCTGGTGGAGAGTGTCTGTGCTATGCTGGTTACCACAAGTGTCCATATATCTTGGCTGTGGTGCAGGGGAGGGTAATGGCAACAGTCAGCTTATTTGTTCTTGCATAAGACTCCCAAACACCCCTTATCCCTTCTGCACATACTCTGAGACTAGTAAATAAATCTCCTTCTTATATACTCTTGACATTTTACAAATTGCTGCTTCTGTGCTGTATCTCAAGGTGGCTGTTTGTTTTGCTGTCTCTTTGATGGTGGGTATTCAGCCTCCCATTGTGCTCTGGCTCTCCTAGAGCCAAGCCTGTGGATTTTTAAAGTTCCAGGTATTAAGCCCCACTGATTATTAAGAAATTGCTAAGTTATGCCCCTGTGATTTTCGAAGCCAAATGCTATGAAGATTCATCTTCTCAGTGGGGTCTCCTTTGCCTGTGGTGGGATCTGTATCTCTCCCTTCTCCAAGACCGTGAGTGTCCCTCCTTCCTATGGATAGGTAGCCCTGAAAGTGAGTCTGGCTCCCCACCATGTCTCCACCCCTCCTATGCTCTTTGATGTGGCCTCTTCTCTACATTTAGCTGTGGAGTCTGTTCTTCGAGTCTTCAGGTCATTTTCTGGGTTATTTTACTGATTGGGGGTGTTATCTAGCTTTATCCATAAGAGGAGGTGAGCCTAGAATCTTCCTACTCTACCATTTTTCTCCAGAAATTCCTCATATGCAATTTTAATAGGTGTGTGTTATAGGGCAATTACATAAGTCACTTTATCAACCTTCTGTTGTTAAAAAGTTACATTGTTTTTAATTCTTCACTATAATAAATACTTGGATTATCTTTGTACATATCTTCAAATAAATTTCTTCTTCTGGACAAACTGCAAGAAACAATAATTGCTATGTCAAAAGTTTATTTCCTTAAAAAAATTCTCCTTATCAGTACCACCCAATATCTGGGGTCAACACCCTTCCTATGCTCTCTCAGATTCTATCTAATAGTATTGTAATAGTTTATTGTCTTGTCTGCAGTTTCAATTAGAAAAAAAGATTCACGAAAGAAGAAACTATGTTTATTCTACGCTTATTGCCAGTCCTTGACTTAGATAACTGCAATATGTCATGTGCTATACAATTATTTCCTGAAAAAAGAAGGCAGAATGTCACTTTGTTTGACACCTCAGTTGGTAACATAGGCTTTGGGAGACCAACATTTCTTATGGCTATGCACATGTAGAAATAACTGTAAAATATCATAAGTATTGATTTTGGGGTTACAAATAGGTTTCAGCGAGTTGGAAAATTCACAAACATGAAATCTGAACAATACGATTGACTATACATATATGAATGAAGAGGATACAAATATACACGTGGTCAACTGCTGGCTTTCTCTTCTGTTCCATTATTTTAATCATTTTACTTCATAATATATTTTAGAAGTATTTAATACAATCCAATCTATTTTAGTAGTACCTCAAATGTTATGATGTCTCCATTCCACATCTCAATTTCTTCTTTAAAAAAATCTTTGAGACATCTTGTCTCCTATTTATATTTAAAAAAAAAAATTCCCAATAATCTTTGAAAGACTTTAAAAAGAACTGCTATTTGATTTTTATTGAGAATGGATTAAATGTATAAATTAATGTATGCAAACAGACATTCTATAATATTAGGTCTAAGAAATATTCTCTCCACATTTACTCAAGATTTCTTTCTGGCCATTGGTTAAGTTTTATAATTTTCCTCATATAAATATTCTGAGTATCTTTTTTAAATTTTACATTGCAATTAATAGCTTTGCAACAAAATGATTTCAACAGAGGTGGTCACAAATATGAAATACTTATTTGTCTTTATGAGCTTTACTCTGAAGCTATAACCAAACTGAATTGCCAAAAACCAGTAATTTTAAAATTATTTCAGGGAAAATTGCTTATACTCTGTAACTCAGTAATTCTATTTCTAGAAATTCATCTGGGGGAAATGAATTATTCTAAAGATATGAGTAGAATGTCATGTAACTATTGATGAAAAATTATATCAATCATTATAGTGTTATTTATCACAGCAAAAGAACCCAGAATCAAATTAACTTTCTAACAATAGGCAAATGAATTTTTGAAAACCTACAGAATAAAATATTTAGGAAAAAAATGTACTCAAAATAACATGGAAAAATACTTATAGCATAATGTTAAGGGAAAAATGAATTTATGACCCCAAATAAGCAATTATTTTATTTTAATTAAATATATGTGCAGAAATAATGAACTAGAAGAAACAGACCAAATTATTCATAATACTTACCTTCGGGTAGTCATATTGTCAGCAATCTTTTCTGTTCATACTAATACCATTTTATGTATTTCTTCAAAAAAAAGTTAACTCATTTTTGGACATAAAAATAGTATTTTCTAATGCTCTAGAGATAATTAGTGAGCTTTTTAAAAAAAATCTATTTGTAATATAGGCTCACACCTAATTTATACCTATCATTTCTTGAAATGAGGCAAAATGTGATTATAGATTTATAATCTTTTTTAGTAAATTTAGATTTTTATACAGTTTAAAAGTTAAAGATCCATCTAAAGTTTAAATTGTTCCTCTTTAGTCTATTACTAAAATAGAAGTCTCTCACCTCAATTTTTTCCTATGATTTTTTAATTCTCTGGACTTGGCTGAACAAATCACTCTACATTTTCCAATGTTTGCACTAAATGTATTACCGTAACTGAAACCTGGCTTTCCATGGAGCTCAATTAAATAAAGAGGCCAATTTTTCTCCAACACCTTAATAATCTCAGGGTTAAGAGGTATAGAAATAATTTTCCTTAATTTGCAATCATACTCCCCACTCGTTCATATTCCTTTAAGCATAATATCAACCAGGTTTACCACCTTCTACTTCTTGCTTTAATCAATCAACAACTAGTCAGTGTTTATTCTTAAGACTCTGAGATTAATGCATCTCTAGTTTATAAACCCCTTTCTACATTCTTTTACTTTATCAGTACCCTCTTGTCTTTGATTTCTTCCACCTCCATTATCCATCAACATGACTGTCAATATTTAGCAATTCTGTCCCACTACCTTGAGTCACATCTGTTTATTAAAAAATCAGTCTTTCCTGAATCTAACCCCAGATATCAAGTACTACATTAAGAAAATATCAGGTGCTACTAATTCATGGTTAACAGTATCAAGAGAGTCCTCAACATCATCTCAACATACCCTCCTGGATTGCCCCCCATCTCTCTGCCTCCTCTTTCTCAGTCTCTTTTGAGTAATATATATATTCCTTATGTATTGGCATTTGTGAGCATTCTGTCCCATATGCTCCACTCTATAAACTGTGTGATATTAGCTTTAATAACTACCTAAATATTACTAAGGACTCCCAAATCTGGAAGTCCAAACACCCTAATATCTACACACATTATGTCCAAGTGCCTTCCAATCTCTATGTATCTCCATATCAAAGTCAGAAAACTTCCAAGTTACTTTGCTCATTAGAGAGCTCAGTGTCTCCACTCAACTGTTTTTTTTCTGCATTGCTCTATCTTATCTCAGTGAACTGCATTATTGCCAAATACTGAATTTTACAAACCCGCAACCCAAAGTCAAATTTAACTTCTCTCCTTGAACCCAAATGTCCATTCAACAATCTCTTACTATAAATTCTACTTTTAAATTGCTCTTAACTGGTTAGTTCTCTACCACCTCACTTCCCTACCCTAGACAGCATTACATATAATTCATATGTGAATCACTCCAGTAGTTAGTAAACCACTCTTTCAACCTCCAGTATTGTGTCCTTTTCACTCAGTTTTCTACAACCCTTCCAAAATCTAAACGTGATTCTAGTTTTGTGCATCAGCTCGATAAATTCATTAAATAAAACCCACCTCAACAATGAGATAGGTACTATTTATTCATCCTTTATAAAGACTGCTCATTATTATACTTCCTAGCACAGTACCTGGGATATTCTAGGTGCTTAATAAGTATGTAAATACTCAATTGATGAAAATCTCTTCTTCCATCCAAGATGAAATAATATGAACCAAGTTTCTCATCCTGCCTGAGACAACAACTCCCCCTCATCAAGAAAATCCACATAAAGTACATTAAAAAGTAGTTTTTAAGACACAGACCATCAGGCAACTGTCATTCCTGAGAGATGGTTAAAACAAGGTGAGCCCTGTGACTGCCCCAACTTTCAATGCTTTGAGATAATTTACAAGCCATGGCAAAGGGACGGGTAAGCCAGGAAAAGACCAGCGAAGTCCACAACTTGAGAAGACAGAGGTGAGAGTCGAAAAAGAACAAGACAGTTGAGTACATATGGTAAAATGCCAGAGAGAAGAGAGCTACAGAGAGGAACTCTGAAATTTTAACGCTGAGTGCCTACATTATATATGAAATGTTCAAAGTGGTAATCTTAGCTATCACTGGAAGATACCTACAAAAAGAGCAAAATTAAAAACCCAAAGTAAGCAGAAAGAAATAATAACTATCAAAGAAGAAATCAATGAAAAAGAAAAGAGAAAAACAAAAGAGAAAATCAAAAGGTAGTTCATTAAGATCAGTAAAATAACATAAATTATAAATATCAAGAATAACAGGGATGATATCACTATAGATAGTAATGAATAAAGGAGTATTATGGACACTTTATGCCATAAAATTTTACAACTGAGATGAAATGAACAAATTTCTTGGGAAAAAATTAAAGATCACTTAAGAAAAATAATTTTAATAGTCCTGAGTTTATTAAAGAAATGGAAATTGCAGTTGAGAATCTCCCACTAGCAAATTCAAGGCCCATATGGCTTCAATGGTGAATTCTACCAAATACTTAAGAAATACTACAATTGTACACAAACTATCACACATGTATGCATGTCAAAACTTTTCAAAATGTATATTTTAAAGATATGCAATTTATTACATATTTTAAAGATATGCAATTTATACACAGCTGTATCTCAATACAGCTGCCTTAAAAATATTCAACTAATAGAAAGAAGGGTCAGGGGCACCTGGATGGCTCATTCAGTAAAACACGTGACTCTTGATCTAAGGGTCATAAGTTGGGCATAGAGCTTACTTAAAAATTAAAAGAAAAAAAATTAAAACTAAAATTAAAATTTTAAATTTAAAAAAAGAAAGAAAGAGGGGCCGGAGGGAGCCAGACTAGCCAGAGGTCAAAAAGAAGTAGAGATAGCAAAGTAAGGGGAATGAGACAAGGAAAATAAGACCAAAGAAAAATGACAGGAAGAAGAGGGTAAGTGAGTGGTATAAACAGAGATGGATCCAAGTCAGAGAAAAAACAAAGTGCTAAATCCAGAATAGGTGATTAGAAATAGCATGGAAACACAGTTAAATAGTTCTGGAACTATTCACTTATTGTCTTATTCTCCTAATTTGTATTAGGAGATTCACTTATTCTCCTAATTTATAATCCTAGGCCCAGTGGTTACATTTGATTATTCTACTGTGTTTTATTTTGTTTTAAATTAGAGCATCAGATCCACAGCATGAAGCTTAGTTTGGCTAATGCTGTATTTAAAAAGTAAATAAATGTATTATATTAGAAATTCTCCCATTTTTTCAAGACCTCATAATTTGCAAAGAACTACAAATAAGCACGAATATACATCCTCAGATAACAAATTGTACGGTGTTCCTAATTACCCAAGGAGGAACAGATCTTGCCAAAAAGCCGGGGTAAGAGAAAAATCTCAAAATTAAGTATAGTTATATAAAATAAAATGTCCTTGTGGACAGAAGACTCAGGATACCAAAACCTTTAATGGAAAAAGTTTGAAAAAGATTGTATTCTCTACAAATGTACTTAAGAAAAGCTTACCTGTAGAGCCGCATTTCACTCAGCCTTATTGTTACCAGATCAATGACAGGCGGGGGGTTACTCTGGCTCTCTGCTATTATATGGAATGTGTTTGTCATTGTTATTAGTCCAAAATCAGCCACAAAAACATTTTCAGAAACTGAAGACTGTGGGATGACCACCACTGGGGCTTTGATGTTAACATCCAATGCCATTCTAGAACTCCTCTGTGCCAATTCTTTTACACCAGTAGCAGCCATTCCTGCTGCCTGAGCAGTAGCCTCAGCCAAGGCTTGTTTAGCCGCTTGAAAATTATCTATAAAAGCCTAAAAGATAACAGAATTATATCCTAATGGTTACCATTAATGAATGATTGTTAAATATATCTTCATGTTTATGATTTCACCTCCAAGAGAAAAATTTTTTCTTGGTACAACCAAGCATTCTTTATACAAAGTCTGGATGTCTGTATTAAATCTCCATTTTCCGCAATAAAGGTTGAGAAACACCAGGATACAGAAACATAGTCAAAAACAAAAATCTTGTCCCTGGAAAATAGCAACATGCAGACACTGCAAGATTTCACTGACAACTCTTTCCCTTTATGATAGCACTTTCCCTAAGGCTAAGCAAGCATACTGTATTTCCATACAGAACCTCAATGGACAGATAGCTTCTTTATGTTTATAAGATAAAAAGTAACTGAAAAAATAATAAAATGTCAAGAACTCTAAAGTTTTTTTTAATTCTGAACTCTAGAAAATACTTCAGTAACATAAACTATATCTAGAATTATACTTAATTTTAAAATTATACTTCATTTTCATGTTTCAAAAAAATTTATTTTCAGTAATTTTTGAGTAAAAGGTAAATATTTAAAAGTAAAGGTAAATATTTATTTATTTATAAAAATAAATCAAAATTAGACCAAGGATGCTTGTTCATCTTTAGTATTTGTATATTAAAAAAAAAGTTAATGGCTATAGGTAAAATTGCACTGTAACCTCAATTTAAAAGATCACAAAAATAGCAACATTATTTATTTAGAATCAACTGATTATCTAGTTTATACACCAAAATTTAGAGACAATATTTTTTTTAAAAGTGAATACTTAAGTCAGAGAGACAGGTATGAAACTCAAAAGAAAAAATTATCAGCAGACAGCAAGGGAAAACCATAGGGGAAAAAGACTATGAGAAGGAGAGAAAGAACTCAAACATCTGATGGTGGTATCATACAAAGACTAATTCTAAACTCTTTAAAGCCCCAGATGATCACAGTTATAATATGCAATTGAAAATATAATTTCCATAATGTTTACATGAGACCAAAACAAACTTCAATATATATTTAGTATTTTTAATTAGAATTATAAGTCAGGTAAAATGACTGAAACCAATCATAAATAAAATAAATAATTCAATTAATATATATAACAAATCCTATAGTTTATACTGTACATATATTTAATACATCAGTATGCATGTTTGAATTAACTGGACTATTCCTATTTGAAAATGATTTTATACAAATAACACAATACTCACTTTAGTCAAATAAAGGATACCCAGAAAACTATGAAAAATCAGGAAAAAAAAAAAAAAGGTAAGGAATTTTTGCTCTTTACCCATGTCTGACATCAGGCAATTTCCAACTAGTAGGAAAAAATTTTAAAAATTTTTATTAACATACTTACCAATATAGAATAAAGAAATTTTGTGACAAAAACTACTTTAATGCAACCAACAGTTAAATTAACTTGAATGTCAACCACATTCATATCTGTGTATGCCGAACCAGCAGTTGCATCCACAAAAGAAATCATTTTGAAGCTAAACACTTCTTTTCCAGTGATGTAAACAGCCTTAATGAGAGAAAATTCAACTGTCAAAATCCACTTTTGAAATGTGCTTTCAGTACAAAAATAAAAACAAAGTAAAAAACATACACACATATTTGGAAAATCTTCCAGGTATTAAAGCCAACCAAGTGCAAATAGAGCAGTAATTCTAACACTTCCTTTTGTTTGTTTTGTTTTATCATAGGCCCCAGGCCCAGTGCAGAACTCCAGGCAGGGCCCGGAGTCACGACTCTGAAATTGAGACCTGAGCTGAGATCAAGAATTGGATGCTCAACTGACTGAGCCATGCAGGGGCCCCCAACACCTTTGTCAGAACCTGTACTGCACAGTTTTTCAAACTGGAGATGTCGGCTTCCTTTGTGGATCATGAAATCAGTTTAGTAGGTCTGGCCCAACATTTTTTTTAGTGGGAAAAACTGAAGAAAAACGATCAGACTATACATTTTCATTTAGTGCGTATACTTGTATATGAGAGTTGCCATATGAATATGTTATCTGGTCACTATAAAAAGTTTGAAAAACACTGCACCTCTGCAACTTAATGAAACCTACTTCTCTTGATTTAAGATATGTGAATAGGTTTTTCAGATTCTTCCAAGAGTCTCCTCCCGTCACTATACTTCTTACAAGTTTGTGAAGGGTGAGTTCACCTGCTGAACAAGACTTACCTACAGCAGTTTGAAATCTCAAGTTCTGCAATACTAGTGAAAAACGGCAGAGACAACAGCACAAGTGAAATGTTAAAATATTTTAGAAGTGGGACATATCAACCAATTTGGTTTACAGCTTTCCTGACCCTCCAAAATGCTAGAAGGCAAAAAGCTTAAGAGCCATTAACAAGCAAATGAATTCCAACATGGAATAAAGAAAACCTAAAGAACCAAAGACATTAAGACACCCTGAAGGCTGAGGTGCAAGATGAGGTTGAAAAGAGTCTACAGGAGCTCTGCTTCAGTCTCAGATGTAGAAGGCTAGGGCAGAGGCCCATTCCAAACCTTAACAGCAACCACCACAACAACAAAGAACCAGATTAACTATAAAATCATAACTTTTCTTAAAAACCATTAGAAATTAGAGGCTACAAGCTAAACAAGCAGTCTAAAATCTAAGGATTAAAAAAGTACCTTCAGGAGAGACAGAATACAAGCACTTGAGTTTACCTGTGTTAAGGGGAAGGATAAAAAGATGCCAGGTACCATACAAGCTAGATAAGGAGAATTCAGCTAAAATGGTAAAGGTGGGCTATGGACTAATTAGAGATACAGAATCTCTGGCAGCCACAGACCCCAAGAGGAATTCACTCCCAGTTGCAAGGACTTCACTGGGAGCTCTTTGTTGGGAGCTTATGAGAAATACTGGGTGCAGAGGAGAAGGAGAGAGAAAGCTTTCCTTGGTTATGACCCTGCAAGAGGGAGAAGTCTTCACTGCAAAAAGAGCCAAAAGACTAGCAGAATTATTCTCTTCTCAAAACAGAACCTGAAGAAACTAGGAGAGGGGCGCCTAGGTGGCTCAGTCGGTCAGCATCTGACTCTTGGGTTTCGGCTCAGGTCATGATTTCAGGATCCTGAGATCCAGCCCTGCCTAGGGCTCTGCACTCAGTGGGGAATCTGCTTGAGGATTCTCTCCTCCTTCCTTTCCCATCCCCCCATTCATACACTCTCTCTCTAAAATAAAAAAAAAACTTAAAAAATAAAATAAAATAAAATAAAATAAACCTAGGAGAAAGGCAATACTATGTTGCCCTCAGAAACAGGTGGGGCGCCTGGGTGGCTCAGTGGGTTAAGCCTCTGCCTTCAGCTCAGATCATGATCCCAGAGTCCTGGGATTGAGCCCCACATCGGGCTCTCTGCTCAGCAGGGAGCCTGCTTCCCCTCTCTGCCTGCCTGCTGCTCTGCCTACTTGTCATCTGTCAAATAAATAAATAAAATCTTAAAAAAAAAAAAGAGTTACAATTAAGAAAGAAAGAAAGAAACAAACAAACAAACAGGTGAAGATACTGCACCTCAGGGGCTAGGATAAAAGAAAACTCCTTCTACACCCCTGGGGAGAAACTGTCTAGGGGCCACAGTATTCTAGGTCACCTTCTCCTAGGGCAGGGAAGAATATTCTCTCCCACACAGAACTACCAAAGATATGAGTCAGATGCCATGGAAAAGAGGGACAGATTCATCAAGAATGCCCTACTTTTTTTTTTTTTTTAAAGATTTACTTATTTTAGAGAAAGACTGCATGCTAGTGGGGGGAGGGTAGAGGGAGAGAGAAAGAGAAGCAACTCCCTGCTGAGTGTGGAGCCTAACACAGGGCTCAATTTTAGGACCCTGAGATCATGACCCGAGCTGAAATCAAGAGTCAGATGCTTAACTGACTGAGCCAACCAGGCGCCCCAAGAGTGACCCATTTTAGAAACCTAAAGGAACAGGTGTGGCTAACACTGAAACAGGACTGTGACAACTGACAAGCCTACCCAAAACACCTCTCCCCCAACAAAATACTCACCATCAAGCCTGAAGGCACTGAGGAAAAAGTAGCAGTAAACTATCATCAAAGAAACAGTCCAGAGTACAGAAAGAGAAATTTCTAAGGTACGGAAATAGAAGGAAGATCAAATGCAGAGCACAGAGCAGCATTCCAAGAGCAAAGTCCCCTAACCTAAGTACAAAATACAGCTGAAGGAATCTGAAGTAGTGGTGTAATGAAGGCAATCATTACACAAGAAAACTCAAACCCAGCTCAGCTCTCCATTAAATTGTCTCAACTTCTATGCTACAGCCTAGCAGAAAATATGCCCATTATCAGACATAAATACTATTCATTTCAGTATGTGTCTCATACATGATCTCTCACATTTGATCAGTAACTAAGAAATACCACAAAAAGCAAGGGAAAAACAAAACCCAGCAAATGACAAAGAAATCAACAGAATCAGGCTTGCCTGTAACAAAGATGTTGGAACTTTCAGGCAGTGAATTTTAGGTTTCTATGATTAATATGGTAAATGCTTCTAGTAAAAAAAGTGGTAAATATGCATGAATAGATGAATATCAGCAAAGAAACTGATAAAAGAAAGGAGAATCAAAAAAATATTAACAATTAAAAAAAAAAGCTTGGTAACAGAGATGAAGAATATCTTCTACAGGTTAATACGTGGATTCAACAGAGCCAAGGATAAAAATCAGGGAACTTAAAAATAGGTTAACAGAAATTATCCAAACTGAAACAGGAGGGAAAACATGGGGAAAAGGTTGAACAGATGATTCAAAGGTTGTGGGAAAATACCTAACAAGAAACTACTAAGAATTTTTGGAATCTAAGAAGAGTAAGAACAAGGAAGGGACAGAAAAGGAAAAGGAGTGGGGAGGAAAGAAAACGAGGCAAAAGAACTATTTGAAAAGATAATGAAAAATAATGTAGACAAATCCAAGAAGCTCAGAAAATCCCCAAAATAACAAATATTAAAATATACGTACATACACCTAAACCCACCATATACAAATCCTGAAAGCAGATAAAAATGAGAAATATGTACAAAGGAAAAAAGATATATTGCAAAATTCTTGTCAAAACCATGTATAAGAAAGACTAATGCAGTCACATCTTTTAAGAGTTTGTAATGGGAGGGAAAAAAGCCCTATCAACACAAAATCCTATACCCAGCAAAAATTCCAAACTGGAAATAAAAGTGAAATAAAATTTTTTTTTCTCTCCAATTCTCATCCCTCCTTCTCCCAAAAAGCTGAGAGAATCCATTACTGGCAGACTGGCATCATAAGAAATGACAGAGTTCTTCAAGGAGAAACAAAACTGACAGAAACTTGAAGCTACATGAAGAAATTAGTTTCAGCGATGGCTAGAGTGAACTTAAATATACAAGATCTTTTTTTAAAAAAATTAATCGCTCTAAAGAAAACTGACCAAACCACAATCAGTACGTGTGTATTATGGATTTTCAGTTTACATAAAAATATAACACAGGACAAAAATGCCACGGAAGATGAGAATTAGGAATTGGTAGTATTATAAGATATACCTATACATTAAGTGGTAAAACATTTGTACAAGGTACACTATGATTAAAAATATGTAATGTAAACACAAAGGAAATCATAAAATCAATGACAAACAATTAATCCAAAACTAGGTTAAATGAGGGAAAGACAAAGCAACCAGAAAACAGAAAATGATTAGAGAGAGCGCAAATTTCAAACCAACCATATCCACAATTGGATTTTTTTTTTTAAAGATTTTATTTATTTATTTGTCAGAGAGAGAGAGGGAGAGAGAGTGAGCACAGGCAGACAGAATGGCAGGCATTGGCAGAGGGAGAAGCAGGCTCCCTGATGAGCAAGGAGCCCGATGTGGGACTCGATCCCAGGACGCTGGGATCATGCCTGAGCCGAAGGCAGCTGCTTAACCAACTGAGCCACCCAGGCGTCCCAACAATTGGATTTTTTTTTAAATGGCCCAGACACAAATTAAAAGTCAGGGATTGTCAGACTGGATAAAGAAGTAAGACTGAAATACATGCTGCCTCTGAGAAACCCACCTTAAATACAAAGACAGATTAAAAGTGAAAGGATAGAAAAAGATATACACTACAAACACCAGTCGAAGAAATCTGGAGTGGCTATATTACTTCCAAAGCAGACTTCAGAATAAGGGCAACTACCAAGGACAAAGAGATGCTTCATAATCACAAAAGGGCCAATTAACCCAGAAGGTATAAAAATTCTATATATGAGATCTATCAACATATGAAGGAAAAATTAAGATAAGTGAAAGGAGAAACAGAGAAATCACAGTTGAAACTTCAACAATCCTTCCTTAATGATCAACAGAACTAATAAACAGAAGATTGATAGCTTGAAGAATCCTATCAACCAACCTACATGCTCTGACATTTATGGAACATTCAACCCAGTGACACCCAGATATACACAATAATTTCAATTGTACTTGGAGCATTCATGTTTTGTGGCCCATAAAACAAACACCAACAAGTTTAAAAGAACCAAACAAGTTTATTCTCTGACAACAGATTTAAACTGGAAATCAGTAACAGAAAGATATCTGAAAAACATCTCAAAATATCTGGAGGTTAAACAACATACTTCTAAATAAACCACTTCTAAATAAACCACAGGTAAAAGATAAAGTTGTAAGAGAAATTAGAAAATATTTTAAGTTGAATAAAAATAAACATCTCTAACTTTGTAAGATATAACTAAAGCAGTGCTTAAAGGAAAATTTATAGTAGTAAATGCCTGTATTAGAAAATAAGATCTCAAATCAATAATCTAAGCTTCTACCTTAAGAGATTAGGAAAAGAAGAAATTAATTCCAGAGCAAGCTGGAGGTAGAAAATAAAGAGAAGAAATAAAATGAACTGAACCAAAAGCTGGTTCTTTGAAAAGATCAATAAAACTGATAAATGTCTAGTCAGACTGGTCAAAAAAAATGAGAAAAGACAAAAATTAAAATTGTAAACGCTAAGAAAGAATCAGACTCAAAAGGCTACATACCACAGTATTCCATATATTTAATATTCCAGAAATGGCAAACTATAAGAACAACAAGAACAAAAAAAAAACAGATTCCTAGATGGTAGGCTGGGGAGAAGGGATAACTAAAAGGGCAGGAGTAACTTTTGGGAGAAGAGATATCTAATCTATTATCCTTAAAGGTGTTGGAAGTTACACAACTGTAGGTGTTCAAAAAAACCCCAGGAACTATGCCCTAAAAAAGGGTAAATTTTACTAAATGTACAGTAAACCTGGGTTTAAAAAGGAAAAAAGAAACCAGAAAAGAATTCTATATAAGGGTTACTGAGGCCCTTTATAGCCTTCCAAATATGCCAAGTACCTTTCTGACACAAACTTTGTAGAGCTACTATTTCCTCTACCTGGAATGCTCTTTCCGCATGTACAATGATTCAGATGTCATTCGAATGTTCAGAAAGGGATTTCCTGATAATCCTAAGACAATAATAGAATCACTATCATATTATCCTACTTTATTGGTTTTCAAAGCACTTATCACTTCCTAATAACATTTTCTATTATTTAATATTTATTATTTACCTCAGGAGAGGGACTTCGCATCTTTTGTCGACTGTAATACTCCAAATATTGTTAATAGAACAAAATATTTCCACAAGTCACCCAAGCGTCTGTGACTGCCCCCACCTCCCCCCTCCCGGCCCCTGTAAAGCCCAAGCGAAGAAAAGAAATGTGCTTTAGATAGAGTTTAGAGAAGAGAGGATATGGCAGAGGAGACACCAGGTGCAGGAAACAGGCAAATAAAACTGAAAAATGTGTATTTTTAGTAAAAATCTGTAAATTGAAAGGTGAGGTCCCCAACATTCTTCAACCGTTTTGGCAACTAGAATCCAGACTGTCAGACTTATATTTATAATACTTTTCTCAAAGGAAACCAATTGGTCTATGGGGGGAAAAAAACCATTACTCTCAATTTTTAAGGCCATAAAATTACTGTATCCATGCCTGATCATCTACTGTTACATCTACCTGTCCAAAAGACTTTGGACAGATAGAAATACATACTAGAAAATACATACTAGATATGTATTTATGTACAAAATACATACTAGAAATACATACCACCCAGAATTAACAAACATTAGTAAGTAGACATTCACTTTTAAAACACTCTTCTATAAAAAAGATATAAGAAACTAATTTACAATGATCTCTTACTTTGTAAGCATGTTACATCAGCTAGAATCCCTTTCAGATTCCATATTATTCTATGTTGTTTATGACACACATAAATAACAATTATCAATACAATGGTTCTAGGGTAAATAGAGGCTGATGAGTCAGGGAAAATTCAAATAATCAGAGAACTCCAGGTATCCTTTACCCAATATCCCAAAAAGCTGAGGGGTTAAATACATTATTATGCCCAAAACCCACTCAGGGCACAATAGTGTGTCATGGCACAATAATTAGGAAGCTTTGATGTGGGGCAAAATGTTGTCCCTCTAATTCCTTGACATGGTTCCAAACCATGTTACCAAACCAAGGCAGTTTGTTTAATAATCATGTACATTGGAGGGGCACCTGGGTGGTTCAGTCAGTTAAGCATTAATCAGACTCTTGGTTTCAGCTCAGGTCATGATCTCATGAGCTCAGCTCAGGTCATGAGATCAAGCCCTGCACAGCGCTCCATGCCCATGAAGTCTGCATGGGATTCTCTCCCTTTCCCTCTCCCTCCCCTTCAGCTCCCTGGCCTCCCCTCCCCACCCCCGCATGCTCTCACTCTAAAATAAATAAATAAAATCTTCTTAAAAAATCTAAAAAATCATGTACACTGGAATCAAAGTCAAGGAATAGGGAGGGAAATGGGGATGAAGCAAGAAGACTGAAGTAAGAAACTTTTCATTTTGTAGCTTTTTGTAAATTGATTTTTTTTTAACCTTATAGATGCATTAGTAATAAAATTAAGGAGAAAAAAAGTAAATGCCTTGGGTTACATTATCAGTTCTATTACTAACTACTCGTATGACTTTTAGTAGATGGATTTATTTATGTGAGCTTTACTTCCTAGACAAGGAAAATAAAACAGATAATCTACTTCTTAAATGCTTTAGTACTTTGTTTTTTTTCTTAAATAAAAGCAATAGAAGTATATTAAAACCACGGCTTCCGGAAAATTTCTTGCTCCTTATTACTATGGACCACGTACATTTGATGGTTTGGCACTCTTGCCATCTCACGCTAGTAAGCCGTAATAAGAAAATATAATGAGTAATAATTTTTATTTAACATAAAAATCAGGTCATCACTGTATTTCATTGGTATTGTTGCCTAAGACTATTCATTTATTTCCTTTCACACCCCAGACTCTGACTTTGTGACTCAAGAGGCACCTTAGCCTTTTCTAATCCTACTATTTGATGTTCTGTTCACTTTCTTAAATATACCATCTTACCTAGAGGCTCCACTGTTCAAAAATTAGCTGTCCAACTCTACAACAGTATCTGGACCAAGAACCATACCCGTCTTACACCAAGTACTAATACCTACGCCTTGACCACTAGCCTTCCAGTTCAAAGGATTCTGTTAACATTGTGAACCGCTATACCACTGTAAGCACCCATAAAATAAACTTAAAAAATAATCTTATCTGTTCAGTCTGACTTCATAACCTCTGCTGTTGAAATCTGAAATGCATCACAAGGTTCACAGTATTTGAAGGTAAGAACAAAAAGGAAAAAAAATGAAAAAGGCAATTTACTAACTGCCCCTCCTCAGCCCCCAACTCTGTTTTAGGAGCATTATGTAAACTTATTTATGAGATTCTTAATCCTCATTTTACAAATAAAGAAACAATTTCAGTTTAGGTCACTCAACTGCCAAGGTACAGAGCTAAGATACAAACCCAATTACGCCAAACTCCAAAACCCATCCACTTAATAAGCCACATTACTAAATTCTGACAATTAATTTATACCTATGATCAATGTTTAAAGACAAGCATATTTAATGAGGTACAATTAAGTAATAGAAACAAATTCACACCTTTTTGTACACAGCTGTCTTATCAGAATCCAAAACAATTATATTCCTTAGCTTTGCATTTATTTCAGTGGCAGCAGGCCTCATAATGATCTCAGAATCAAGCCCTAAGGGAATACAAGGAAGATTAGATGGCTTTTCTTTCATTTAGTAGTTCTGAATTTATTTTTTCTCAAATTTCATTACCTTCAATCTTAATTTCAGCAATGTTACGTTTCTGATCTTGAATAAAGATCTGTAAACAAGATAATTCTGCTAAAATCTGCAAGGTAATAATATCCTCGTTCTTGGATAGTTTTAAAGCTGCAAAAAAAAAAAATTGTAAAACATAAGGAAAAAGTTTAGTAGTTACCTTACCACCCTTATAAAGTAACTGAAGTAGAAGAAAAATTAATGATAATACTAAAGGAAAATCTCATTTGCCATTGCACTGAAAGCAAGCAAGATATTCCCTACTTAATTAGGAATTCTTAAAAAACAAAAAATAATCAAACCTAACGAAAACAAAGCCAAACTAATCAGACACAACAAAAACGTTCCTAGATGAGACTATCATTTGAAACTAAAAATTATAGTTGTAAAATCACAAATCAATTGAGAGACAATGATTATGACATAATACTTCCCATTGTCAAACCTGCAACTTTTCATTACTTAAAAAGTTTTTCATTCAAGAACACACTCTGAAATGATTCAAATTTTCTTAGTTCCATTCTTCTAATCTAAAATTATGATATTAAATTCATGAATTTAATCCAAATCAAATCCTAGCACTGTATTTTATCTTGACTAAAAAGAGTAATACGACAAATAAAAGCCACAATTTCTTAACTAGTAATCACTTTCTTTAAGTATCATTTTCTAAAATTTACCTGGTATATAATAATCTTTCTAGATATTAATTTAGGCAATAGAATTCTGAAGCCAATATTATGCATGAATAATAAAGCAAAGGCTAATTATTGATCCACACGGTAAAAAACTTTGAAGCTGAATTTTAAACATACACATTTTTTTAATGACCTCTCCTTTGTCTTCAGTCTCTGCAACAGACACTGGGGCCGGTTTTTCTTCCAATTGTGGAAGTATATTATTAAAATAATTTATTGTATTCAGAAGTGCTTCGGTATGTAAATGAATATCCAAAGAGGAAAAATTCACCTAAAGAACAAAGCTGATTTCAGTAATTGGTCAATAAATACTTGTTTGCTGCTCAGTATAACTATCGTTTGTGGTATAAAGGACAGAATTTATAATATTCCATTTTTATCCTCAAGGATCATACAGTTCTAGTTATAAAACAGTTTTCATAATACATTTACTTAGAAATACCGTATCTAATTAAAAAATAAATAATTATTCACTCATACCTTAATCAGTTGCAGAGCATTGTTGTAAGCACTTTTCAAGTTGGGTAGATTCTTTTCAGCCTATCCAAAGAGAAAAAAAAGCAAATCTGTTCAAGTATCTTAGAAAGACATATAGTATATACAATTGCAACTCCGAAAGGGCCTTAATTATTCTTCCTCTGTGTGACAGAATTGTTTATCAAGTGTCCAAATACAGTGCATTATCTTTAGATCTAGAATGATTTTGTCATATAAAAGCTATTTAATGCATAAACAAAACCCCTAAAATATCTAGATCGATAATAGTAAAAATGGTCTTAAAAGTGATAAAATACTCTTTGAGCATCGCTATTACGGTAAAGTATTTTTTTTTTTTAAGATTTATGTTAAAGAACACACGTGAGGGTGGGGAGGGGGAGAGGGAGAGAGAAACCTGAGCATATTCCTCACTGAGATTGGAGCTCCACGTGGGGCTTGATCTCAAGACCCTGAGAATATGACTTGAGCCGAAACGGAGTCCAACACTTACCTGACTTTGCCACCCAGGCGCCCTATGATAAAGTAATTATTAAATTAATATGGCACTTTCATAAAAATAGGTCAATGAAAATATGTTATAAATTTTAAGTAAACCCTAGTACATATAAAAACTTAATGAAAGATGAAATGAATATTATAAATCAATAGAAAAGGAATAGAATCATTGGAACCCGGAAAACGAGGAAACTTCAGATAACAGGCAAATCAAATGAAATTGTATTATGTCATAAAATATTCCATCAAGATTAAAAGGTTTGGGTTTTGGCACACCTGGGTGGCTCAGTCAGTTAAGCCTCCAACTCTTGATTTCAACTCAGGTCATGATTTCAGGGTTATGAGATCAAGCCCAGCATCGGGCTCCATGCTCAGTGGGGAGTCTGCTTGAGATTCCCTCTCCTTCTCTTTTTTTCTCTCTCCCCCATCCCCTGCTCCAAATACATGCTCCCTCTCTCTCTAACAAAATGAGACTTAAAAAAAGGGTCTCGGTTTTTAGGTTTGGCTTTTTTTTGGTTTGGTTTGGGTTTTTTGGGTTATCTGATGGAGGGGGAAAAAAACTCCAAACTTCATGTCATTTCTACTTAGAACACAGGCTTATTTTTATTTATATTTTTATAAATTAAAATTTATTAGGATGACAAAACAAGAAAGCTTTAAGGTTTAGAAAACACATCACCATGAAGATTAAGCTGAATCTAACTTATAAAACTTAGTTACATTACAGAAGTACATTTACCATACAAAGGAAGCACTTACCTTCACATATTCCAAGGTTAGCAGATCTTCCATAGTATTATCCAGTGTTGTAATCAAATAAATTGGTTTCTTGTTTGCACCTAAAAATGATTTTTTAAAATTACTTTCATGTAAAAATAATGGAAAATAAATATCAGCAACAATAATAAAATGTAACTGGAAAAGAAGAATTTCCTGAATCAGTTCTGGGCCTTGAATTCTACCTTACCCAAGTGAGGTCCCTCCTCCTTTATTTTAAACTCTCAATCTGTAATTTCTCCCCACAATTCCCTACCCATCTCCTATGCCACAATGTGAAACAGTCTTATCCTTCTAAACTTTGATAGGAAGTAAGGTTAAAGTGGGTTAAAACCTCTGCCTTCAGCTCAGGTCAAGTTGCCAGGTCCTGGGATAGAGCCCCCACATGGGGCTCTCTGCTCAGCAGGGAGCCTGCTTCCCTTCCTCTCTCTCTGCCTGCCTCTCTGCCTACTTGTGATCTCTATCTGTCAAATAAATAAAATCTAAAAAAAAAAAATAAATAAAAAGTAAGTATGAACACAGACCTTAACAAAAGTTGTGGGCTATATATAGTAAAAGCACTGCTTAGAAGGATATATAACATTGAATGTATATGTTAGAAAATAAGATATAAATCAATAACTTAAAAGCTTTCACCTTAGAAAACTAGAAAAAGAGAGCAAAATAAATCCAAAGTAAGCAAAAGAAATAATAAAAAGTAGATCAAAATCAAGGAAACTGAAAACAAATCATCAGAAAAATTAAGGAAACCAAAAAATTTCTTTGAAAAGATCAAAAAAATTGATAAGCCTCTATTCAGTTTAACTAAGAAAAAAAGAGGACATGGATTACTAATATTAGAAATAAAAGAGGAGAAATAATGGTAACATTAAAAGGATAGTTAAAAGAACACTATGAACAATTCTGTCCACAAAAGTGATAACCTAATGAAATGTACCAATTCTTTGAAACAGATACAACCTGACAAATTTTCACAAGGATAGACAATCTAAATAGGTTCATATCTATTACAGGAATCAAGTCAATAACTAATAACCTTCCAGAAAAGAAAGCACCATGCCCAGATGGGTTCAGTGGTGAATCCTAATAAACCTTTAAGGAAAATTATACCAATTCTGTACAATCCCTTTCAGAGGACACAAACAGAAGGAATACTTGCTAACTCATTCTACTGAATCAGAATTACCCTAATACCAAAACAAGCACAAAGGCATTCCAAAAAAAAAAAAAGGTAAACTGCAGGCAAGTAACTCTCATTAATACAGCTACAACACACACAAACACACACACACAGAACTGATTCCAACCAAGTGTAAAAAGAAATGTGTTCCATGACCAAGTAAAATTTATCCCAAACTGCAAGACTGGCTCAACATTTGAAAATCAACTGATGTACTCTATGACATCTATAGACTACAGAGGAAAAAGCAACATGATCATTTAAACAGATGCAGAAAAAGCATATGACAATATCCAACAACCATTCATGATAACAACTCTCAGTAAACTAGGAATAAAGAACTTCCTAACTTGATGAAGAGTATCTTCTAAAAACCTGCAGCTAACTACATACTTAACTGTGAGAAACTCGAGGTTTTCACATTAAGGAACAAGGCAGATGTCCTTTCCTTTTTACTGATTTTCAGTATCATAACTGTGTCTGCAAAAGCATTAAGAATTAAAGGTATTTCTCTTATTTTTGCAAAACAAGACATAAAACTTTGTTCACACATGACATGATCATCTGTGTAAAAAATGTGGAAGAATCAACAACAAAAAACCCTCAATAGAACCAATAAGCCATTAAATCAAGGTTGTAAGATACAAGGTTAATAAACAAGTCAAATGCTTTCCTATATACCCAAACTGGCAAAAGAGAATTTGGAATTGAAAACACAATACCACTTACATTATCACTTATACCGTTTTTTCAACCAATGATGATGGAAAAAAAGGATACCCACAGGAGGGAGAAAAAAAAAAAAAAAAAAAGTAGCTACACAGGGATTATACCCTTCACAAAAATCAACTCAAAATGGACCACAGATCTAAATGTAAAATGCAGAACTAGAAGACTTCAAGAAGATAACCTAAGAAAATATCTAGATACCCTCATTTTGACAATAACTCTTTAGAGGCAAACCAATAGGATCCATGAAAAAAAAAAAAATCTCATAACTTGGACTTCATTAAAATTAAAAATCCTGTTCTGTGAAGAACAATGCTAATAAAATGAAAAGACCAGCCACAGATTAGAAAATATTTGCAAAAGAAACATCAGATAAGGGGCTGTTATCCAAAATATACAAAGAACTCTTATACTCAAGAAATAAACACCATTGAAACAGACCAAACACCTTAACAGACAACTCACCAAAGAAGATCTACAGAAGCCAAATCAGCATATGAAAAAGATGCTCTACACAGATCATCAAGGAAATGCAAATTTCAAAAAATCAATGAGATACCACTTCATACCTTATTGGGATGCTCAAAATCAAAGAGACTAACATCAAATATTAATGAGGAGAATATGAAGCAACAGGAACTCTCAGTCATTGCTGATGAGAATGCTAAAAGGTATAGACCCCTTGAAGACAGCCTGATTGTTCCTCACAAAACTAAATGTATTCTTCCCATATAACCCAACAGTGATATTCTTTGGTATTTACGCAAAGCAGTTGAAAACTTAACGCCCACACAAAAACCTTCATACAGATGTTTATTGAACCTTTATTCAGAACTCTCAAAACCTGTGTACAACCAAGACGTCCTTCAGTAGGTGAATGGAAAAACAAACTGTGGTACAACATACAATGAAACATTATTCAGTACTAAGAAGTAAGCTGTTGAGTAATGAGAAGATAGGGAAATAAATACATATTACTAACTGAAAAAAGTCATTCTGAAAGGCTGTATATAGTATGATCCCAGCTACGTGACGTTCCAGGAAAAGGATAAACTATAAATACAGTAAAAAAGCTCGGTGGTTTCCAGGAGGAGCAGCAGGACAGGAAAGGATGAAGAGGTGGAATAGAGAGGACTTTTAGAGCACTGGAACCACTGCACATGATAATACAATGCTCCATACATGTCATTATACATGTGTCCAAAACCCTTTGAATTCACAGCACTAAGATGAACCCTAACATAAACTATGGACATGGGGTGTATTGTGTCAATGTACATGAACTGCAACAAGTGTCCTCCTCTGGTGGCGGATGTTATAATGGGAGAGGTTATGCACGTGAAAGTACAGGGGGAAATCCTTATACCTGAACTGCTCAATCACACTGTAAATCAAAAATCGCTCCAAAAATAGTTAACTAAAATTTTTTAATGTCATTTCTAATCATATACAATGTTCTTCTGTTATAAAAAAGCCTTATAAAATTAAAATTAACCTACTAGATCAGTTCCCTTTTTTAAATTAAGTCATACATAACATTGTATTAGCTTCAGGTATAAAACCGAATGATTCAATATTTGTATATATTAAGAAATGAGCATCACAATTATCTAGTTAAATATCTGTCCTCATACATAGCTATAATTTTATTTTTCCTTGTGATGAGGACTTTCAAGATTTACTATCAGCAGCTTTCAAATATGCAATTTGGTATGTTAACTATAACCACTATGTTATACTTTATATCCTCCTGATTTATAACTGGAAATTTTTTCCTCTTTCTTGGATCCCCTTCACCCATGCCAACTGAACTTTCCCCGCCCCCTGCCTCTGGCAACCACCAATCTTCTATGTACCTATCAGCTTGGATTTTTTTTTTTTTTAATATTCCACATATAAGTCAGATCAGATGGTATCTTTCTCTTATTTCACTTAGCATAATGTTCTCAAGGTCCATGAATGTTGTCACAAATGGCAAGATTTCATTCTTTTTTATGGCTGAATAGAATTCTGTTGTATGTTTTTTTATGTGTGTGAATAAAGATTTCCCATCTTTTAGGTGTTCACTCATTGACTGCACTTAGGCTGTTCCCATATCTTGGCTATTACAAACAGTGCTACAATGAACATGGAGTACATTTATCTTTTCAAGTTAGTGTCTTCATTTTCTTTGGGAAAATACCTAGAAGTGGAATTGCTAGATCATATGATATTCTACTTTTAATTTTTGAGGAACCTACATACTGTCTTCTATAATCTTTAAACTAATTTACACTTATAATAGTATACAAGGGTTTCCTTTTCTCCACAGCTTCACCCACACTTGTTAGTTCTTGTCTTTTTGGTGATACCCACTCTGATATGTGTGAGGTCATATCTCATTGTAGTTTCGAGCAGCAGTTCCCCAATAAATAGTATATATATCATATACCTGTTAACCACCTTTATGTTTTTTGGGGGGAAAATGTCTATTCAGACCCTCTGCCTTTTTTTTTTTTTTTAATTGAATTGGTTTTCTGCTTATTGAATTGCAGAAATTCTTTACATATTTTAGGTATTAACCATTGATCAGATTTGTGATTTGCATGCATCTTCTCCCATTCAGTAGGAATGGTTCAATTGGCTCATGACTTCCTTAGCTGTGCAGAAGATTTTTGGTCTAATGTAGTCCTACTTGTTTATTCTTGTCTTTACATCTGGAATCAGACCCAAATAATCAACACAAGACTAAGGTAAAGGTACTTACTGCCTATATTTAATTCCAGGAGTTTTATGGTTTCAGGCCTTCCATTAAGCCTTTAATTCATTTTAATTTTTGTGGATTATGTAAGATAGTAGTCATAGTCCAGTTTCATTGTTTTGCATATGGCTTCCCAGTTTTCCTAGCACCAGTTTAGAATTGCTTTTTCTATTTCTGTGCAAAATGTCATTGAAATTTAGATAGGGATTGCACTGAATTTGTAGATTTGCTTTGGATAATATGAACACTTTACCATGTTAATTATTCCAATCCATAAGCACAGACTACCTATTTGTCTTGATTTTTTTTCATCACTCTTATAATTTTCAGTATATAGGTCTTTCACCTCCTTAATTTTATTCCTATGCATTTTATTTTTTTGATGGAATTGCAAATTGTTGGATTTTCTTAACTTCTCCCTCTCATAGTGTATAGAAACCCAAAAGAATTTTGTATTTTGCTATCCTGCAACATCACTGAATTTACTGATTAGATCTAACAGCATCTTGGTGGAGTCCTTAAGGTTTCCTATATATAATATCATGTCACCTGCAAATAGTGACAGTTTTACAAAGATCTACAAAGAATTACTGCAGATATTGACAATTTTTACCAGTCAACAAAGAAATCAAAAGAAAAAAATATTAAAAATACCTTGGACCAATGAGAACATAAATACAATATACCAAAATTTAGGAAATGCAGCAAAAGTATTTCTAAGAGGGCAAAGAACAGCAATGCCTACATCTTGAAACAAAAAACTCAAACAATCTAACTTTATACCTCAAGGAACTAGAAAAAGAACAAATGAACCCCCAAATTAGAAGGAAATAAAATATCAGAGCAGAAATAAAGGCAATAGAAACTAAGAAAAAAAAAGTGAAAAGATCAGTATAACTAAGAGCTGGGTCCTTTCAAAGATAAGCAAAATGCACAAACCCTTAGCTAGATTCACCAAGGAAAAAAAAAAAAGGTGGGCTTAAATAAAATCAGGCATGAGAAAGGAGACATTACAACTGATAACCGAATAAATACAAAAGATCGTAGAGACTACAATGAAAAATCATGATGCTAACCACTGGACAACCTAAAAGAAATAGATGTGAAGGTGGGGAATCACAGGGGGGAAATACCATGAGAGACTATGAACTCCAGGAAACAAACTGAGGGTTTTAGAGGGGAGAAGGGTTGGGGGATGGGTTAGCCTGGTGATGAGTATTAAGGACAGCATGCATTGCACAGAGCACTCGGTGTTCTATGCAATGAATCATGGAGCACTACATCAAAAACTAATGATGGTGACTAACGTAACATAATAAAAAAAAATGAAGACAGGTTTCAAAGTTAAAAAATAAAGTATAGGTTTGAATAAAAAAAGATATATAAATCTGGTTTAGAGTATAATATTAAACATATAAACTTTTAATATTTAACTTAATATTAAAACATATATGTATATATATAACTGAGCTCAGGAAGTAAGGCATTGTATTTTTTTTTTTACTTTTTATTTGGAATTAATTTCAAATTTATAGAAAAAAATTGCATGAATAAAAATAATTAAGAAAAATAAAAAGAAATGGACAAATTCCTAGAAACATACAACCTTCCAGGAAATACAAAACACACATAGACCAATTATGTATAAAGAAATCGAATCAGTAATCAAAAGCCTCCCAAAAAAACAAAAGTCCAGGACCAGACGGCTTCACTGATGAATACTACCAAATATTAAATGAAGAATTAATACTAATCTTCAAATGAAATGTTTCTGAGAAATAGGAGGAAACACTTATAAACTCATTTACAAGTCAAGCTCTACCCTAGTACCAAATCCAGACACAGGTCAATTGATTTTAGATGAACAAAGATGCAAAAATCCTCAACAAAATATAAGCACAATAAATTCAACAATACACTGAAAGGATCATACACCATAAGCAAGCAGGATGGTTCCTGCTTATTTACATTCCAAGGATGGTTCAACATCCACGAACCTATCAATGTGATAGCCTATGTTAACAAAATGAAGTATAAAAATATTATAATCTCAATGGAAGAAGAAAAGCATTTGATAAAATTCAACATCCACTTACATAAAAACTTTAAACAAAGTGGGCAGAGAGGGAACAGTCCTCAACGTAATAAAGACCATATATAACAGGCCCGCAGCTAACATCCTATGCCATGGTAAAAGTTGGAAGCTTTTATTCTAAATCAGGAATAAGACAAGGGTGCCTACTCTTGTCACTTTTATTCAACATAGTACTGGAAGTCCTAGCCAGAGCAATTAGGCCAGAAAAAGAAATAAAGGCATTCGCATTAGAAATAAATTATCTAAATCATTCCAACAACCATTCAGAATTATCTTACAAGAATAAATCCAAAACCCTCTCCTAAGTGCCTAACAAAGTAAATGGATATACTATCCAAGGTATAATATAATATATCCATTCTGATTATGGGACATAAAATGTTTATAGTAGACAAAATAATGTTATGCCCTGAGACCGAAGGACATCCACATTATGTCTGCCTAAACCTGAGAATATGTTACCTTATATAGCAAAAGGGTCTTTGCAAAGGCAATTAGGTAAAGAGGAAATTAGCTTGGACTGAGATCAGAGATGACAACATGAGAAGGATCTATCACCCTGTACTGGTTCTGAGATATAGAGAACCAAATGCAAGGACTTAGGCCTGTGGGGGTTTAAGGCCAGTCCTTACCTGTTAGTAGCAGGAAGCAGACTTACAACCACATGGAAATGAGTTTTGGAAACAACTAAATAAGCGAGGAAATGGATCCTCCCCTAGATTCTCCATGCAGGAACTCTAATTGGCACCTTGATTTTTACCTGTTAAGACTTACGTCAAACTACTGATTAACAGAGTAACAGATAACAAATTTTTGTGGTTGGAAGACAGTCTGTGGTAAATTGTTACATTATCACTAGGAAACTAATGCAGCATTGTAGTATTGAGTTAGATTTAAAATTAAACCAGGTCTATTTTATTTTCCTTTATGAAAAGGAATCTCCATTTTGTCTTTGATCTACCTTCTTAGATTTCCAAGTAAAAGATAAAAACGGACAACCAATTCATAATATAGTATTTCTTTGAGGATGTTTTAATAAATGTACTGATTTAAAGCCTAGACAATTTTAAACTCTCTAGTAGGGAGTCAAACAATAAAAGTTTATTACTTTAAGAAAATTGAGATGCTTACCAAAGTATTCTGGGCATTTTAGGCAGAACTCTTTCAAAAAGGCATTTGCTTTCAAATCAAATGTTCTAAATTCCACATCTGTGCCCAACCCTAAAACATCAACCTCTACCACAGGTAGTTCACAATCTCCAACAAGGTGATAAAACTGAATCAAAACCTAGGGAAAAAAGAAAAAAGAAAAAAGAAACTACCACTACCAAAATAAAAAATTATTTATGTAGATGGTGGTTATAAATGGAGATATAAGGTATTTATATGATCTGCACTTAAAATTTAGGAAAGATTTTATATCACACATATACATTTACGTTGTATAAACTATTTTTAATAAATATGTATCAAATAACCATAACATATGATCTAAACTCCTAACCTGTGATTAAGAAAATTAATCTTCAAAGAAAGGGGAGGAAAAATCACATAGCAACATCTGGATTCAGCTTTAAACTGGATGAAACAGGAGTACATGTTAGTAATGAGCCTATATAAATACAATGAATAGCAGCAATGCCAATTTAAAGAAGCCATATTAATTTTACCATGGTACACACCTCTGGCACTTCAAATCTTATTTTACACTGAATCATATTTTTTGAACAATACAGCTTTTGAAACTTCTTCGGCTGATAACTTTGAAATTCAAAGGGAGATTGAGGAGGTTCATCCAAGGGACTACATGGTGCATCAAAAAATTCTTCCTCTGAATCTAAATATTATAGAACATTATTTAAGTCAATAATCAAAATGACTGATTTAATAACATTTTTATAATTTTTCTGAGATAAATATGAATACTAATACATTAGCAATCTAAATAGTTCAAGATTTAAATTAAAAGATGAGAAAATAATAGAGCTTGTCTGAAAATAACATTTTGGATGACAAAAAACATAGAAAATACAAAGTTCACCTTTAGATTAATGAACATCACCTTTTAAAGTCATTAGTATAAAACTGCAAACAAAAATTTTATTTTTTATTTTTGAGAGAGAGAGAGAATGTGCATGCACCAGTGGGCAGAGGGAGAGAATTTTAAGTAGGCTCCATGCTGGGCCCCCCCAATGCAGGGCTTGATCTCATGACCCTGAGGTCATAATCTGAGCTGAAATCAAAGTTGGATTCTCAATTGACTGAGTCACCCAGGTGCCCTGCAAAAAAAAAGTTTATAGCAAATGCCAATACTAGGAACATACTAATTTGCTTGTTCTACCTGGGTAGCAAAAATAGGGCTGAGTTACAAAATCTGCAATATTAAAAGCACAAAGCAGACCCTGAGGTTTGAATGAAGAAACAGAGATCAATCACTATTTCATTCATGGATGTGTGTATGTGCGTGTGTGCGTCTGTGTGTGTATATACACATATATATACAATAAATTTCTAGAATTTGCTATTAAAAACAGCTCCAAAACTAGTAAAATCATTAAAAGAAGATTTAAAGGAAACTAAAACTACCTGAAGTACATATCCCTAACGACCAAAAACTGAATTTAGGGCAGATGATCTCACAAACATTTCCTTCCCGCCCCTTACCCACACAGAAAGAAAAATGTTCTCTAGAAAACTGAAGATTGACATGGTAACTTCAGTCACTTAAGATTAAGCAATTTTTAAGGCCTTAAAAATAGGCTTAAAAAAATTCTTTCCAATGTGGCCAAGGAAAGCAGGTATCTGGTGTCAAAATATTTACCACTTTTCACATGTGAATGTAGGTATTAAGGCCTGACTTTTTTGTTGTTGTTTAATAATATAAGAGGAAAATATAAAAATAAAACTAAAATTTTACTATGACAAGATTCTCCAAATAACTAAGCAACATTATAAATTATATAATCCATAGCATTTCATAGGGGCTCCTAGCTCAAAGGAAGATAAAGAAGATTAACTTACTAGTTGATTTTGTGAGATCAGGAGTTTTACTTTTATTTACCAAAAAATTCTTGCTGCAAAAGCAACTTTAAGGAACATCCCACTTCTATTATCTTAAAGGAATTTTAGTGAAAATTCTGGAAAACATATACATATCTGCTATTGCCTGCAATTTTTTGCATAGTCTCAAAATGAAAATTATATTCATAATACATTTTAGTACAGAAAACTTCCTAAACCAGTTTCATTTTACCATCATCAACACATGGAAGTTCCAAGAAAGGAAGCATTTTCTGTGAAATCTGTGTTGTTCCCACAGAGGTGGACCTTTGCATCTGGAAGAAAAGTAATTCACTGTTAATTAGCACAAAGATTTTTATTCAAAGTCCTAAGACAATTTTGATAATGAAAAAAAAAATCCCACTTTGAATTAGGAAAGTAAATTGTAAAATATAGATTTCAAGAAGTGGCTGTACAATTTCAAGGCTAAATAAAAATCACAGAACTATTATATTAATTTTCTTGTTGACAGGCTTCGAGTAGGAAAAGATCTTAGATACAATAATGTTAGCTCAATGTCTCACTAAATAAGAAAACCTATCAGGACATTCATAGGAAATAACCAATCCCAATATTTAAAACCTACAGAGATATGAAGTTCTCAGTTTTACTTTTCATTTTTTGAAAAACATTTCATTAAATTGACTTTTTTACTGCTTGGAGAAGTATAGCACATAAAAACATAAAATGCAATGTGATAAAATAATAAGAAAAAACATACCTGAATCTTCTACCCAGACCAAAAACTAAGAAAAACATTCTAAGCAGCAGTATACCCATACCTAGAAGCATCTCATGTGATTCTCCTCGATTATATTCCCTACAACTGATCACAATTTCACTTTACTTGTTTTTATGTCCTACTAATGATTCTCTAACATTCTTTAACATTCTTTATCCTGTTTCTTTCTAAACTGTACAAAAAGGGAGTATCATAAATATTATAAGACATTCTTCTACAAAACAATGTTTAAATTTTACACATAATTGATTGTTCACTCATTCTCACTACCTTACTATACTGCATATTTGCAATACTTATTTGCCCACTACACTGTTGATAAATATTTGTATTATTTACAGATTTTTTGCTTTTACTCATAGTGCTACCATAAGCATCCTTGAACATGTCTCCAGATTATATAACAACTCCAGAAATCTAGTCATTTTAAAATCATTTATTGAAAGAACTATCACATTTCCCCCCACTTATTTGGGTTGGCATCTTTTTATGATATCAAATATATCTTAACCATGTATTATAGTGTACATTTACATCCAAGCTTTATTCTACTTCATTGATCTATATGTCTATTCCCATACCAAACAAAACCACTTTAATAAAATAGCTATTAAATAAACCTTGAAATCAAATATTAGAAAACCTCGAATATTATTCTTATCTAAAATTGTTTTGGCTAGAATTATGAAGGCAACCTAAGTTTCCATCAATAGATGAATGAATAAAGATGTAGTATGTATGCGCAACACAGTATTATTCAACCATAAAGAAGAATGAAATCTTGCCATTTGCAACAACATGGATGGATCTAGAGAGTATGGTCCTAAATGAAATAAGCCAGAGAAAGAAATACCACATAATTTCACTCCCATGAGGAATTTAAGAAACAAACAAAGGAAAAGAAAGAAACAAACCAAAAAACTGACTCTTATTTACAGAGGACAAACAGGTGGTTATAATGGGGAGGGTGGCTTTGAAATAGATGAAGGGGGTTAAGAGTACACTTATCTTGAAGAACACAAAGTAATATAGGGAAGGGCTGAATCACTGTATTGTACACCTGAAATTAATGTAAACACTGTGTATGTTAACTATGCTGGAATTCACATTAAAAATAATAAATTGTTTTGGCTAATATGTGTCCTTTACATTACTGTATACACTTTTATAATTAGCTTGTTAATTTCCAGAAGAGAAATCTTCCATATTCTGATTGAGGTGGTGAGAAATCTAGAGAGTTTGAAGACTGCCAACTCAATGAGGTCAGGCCTCCACTCCTTGATTATCATTCCAATGTTTAGGTTTTCTTTGTTTACAGAAATGTTCTGCAGTTTAAGGTTTACAGGTCTTGTACTTCTATTGTTAATTTTTTCTTAAGTATTTAGTCCTTTTTAATGTTGTTATGAATGGAATATTTTTCACTTTTAGAAACAATTATTTACATTGATAAAGTATCTTGCAAACTTGCTATTTTTAGTGATATTTTTCTACATTCCTTAGGACTTTCTGCATGAATGATCATTTCATCTGCAAATAAAGATAGTTTTACTTTTTCTTCCTAATCCTTTTTCTTGATTTCTTTGCAGAAGCTAGAACATTCACTATCACTTGAATAGAGGTGGTGAGAAAAGGTATTCTTGAACTATTCTAGATCTTACAGGGAAAGTATTCAGTCTTTTTCAAATTAAATACAATATTACCTACAGGTTTTTCCTGTATGTCCTTTATGAGGAAGAAACTCTTCTACTCCCCATTTAAGAGTTTTTATCATCAGGGCACCTGGGTGGCCCAGTGGGTTAAGCATCCTATGGTCCTGGGAACAAACCCACAGTCAAGGTCCCTGCTCAGCAGGGAGTCTGCTTCTCTCTACCTCTCCCTCTCCCGTGCTTGTGCTCTCTCTCTCTCTCAAATTTTTTAAAGAAGTTTTACCATCAATAATTGTTGGGTTTTGTCAATACTTTTTCCTCATTTATTGAGATGATAACTTTTTCTCCTTTATTCCATGAATATGATTAATATGATTAATAACACTGACTGGTGAATCATTTTGTTTTCATAAGGTAAATGCATTTGGTTATAATATATCATACCATTTGGCTGTAGTATTTTTTAAGGATTTTTTTATCTATGTTAATGAACATACATGTCTATAGTTTTCTCATAATTCCTTGTCTGATTACAAAACATGACAATCTATGCAAAGAAATACATAAGAACGCCCCATAACAGAGACAAAATTAGCAAGCACAGTTCAGGAGGAAGTAAGGTGCTAGACTTACTAAAAAACTACTTTTTTTTAATGTCTCAAATATGCTCAGAATGCTAAAAAGGACCATAGAGAAAGAGCTAAAGGAAATTCCAACATGGATGTCATAACAAATAGAAATGAGGGTGGCTCAGTCAGTTAATGCCTGCCTTTGGCTCAGGTCATGATCCCAGGGTCCTGGGATCGAGTCCTACATAAGCCCTGCATTAGTCCCTGCTCAGTGGGGGGCCTGCTTCTCCCGCTCCCTTTGCTGCTCCCCTAACTTTTGCTCTGACAAAAAAATAAAATCTTGAAAAAGAAAAAAGAAAACATTAATGAAGAGAGAAATTTTAAGAAGAACTCAAGGAGAAATTCTGGATCTGAAAAGAGCTAGATAATAAATGGATGAGATATCATTATGGATCCTAAAGTCATCTGAAGGATAAGAACATGTTAGGAACAACCTTACTTCCACATATTCAACACCTTGGATGAAACAAATTCCTTAACAGAGAAAATCTTATAAAGCTTATGCAAGAATAAACAGATACAGTCCAGTAAAAATGAAACAATTTCAAAGTCTTTCAATAAAGAAACTCTACACATAGATGGCTTCACTGGTATTTAAGACAGAAACAGTATCTACTCTTTACAAAAAATCTTGTAAAGTAAGAGAAGAGGGAAACCTTTTCCAATTCATTTCACAAGGCTGGACTTTCTCTGATATCATATGCAAACACCTAATAAGTATAAACCATGATCATGTATGATCATAAATCCTTAACAAAAAATTAGCAAATAAATCCAACACTGTAATAAAAGGATAATATATCATGAACAAATGAGGCTTACATTAGGAATGCAAGGCTAGTTCAACATTCAAGAATCAATGTAATTTATCATATTAAAAGAATAAAGAAGAAAACTATATGATTACAACTGATGCAGCAAAAGCATTCCATAAAATGCTACAAATATTCCTGATAAAAATAAAACTATTAGCTAACTAGGAATAAAAGAACACCTCCCCCAACCTAGGAAATAAGATGGAAAAACTGACAGCTATTATCATACCTAATAAGACTAGGGGTACTTGGGTGGCTCAGTGGGTTTAAACCTCTGCCTTCAGCTCAGGCCAGGATCCCAGGATCCTGGGATACCGAGCCCCACATCAGGCTCCCTGCTAATCAGGGAGCCTGCTCCCCCCGCCCACCTGCTTCTCTGCCTACCTGTGATCTCTGCCTGTCAAATAAATTTAAAAACAAATCTTTTAATTAAAACAAAAAAAAAGATAAGATTAACTACACTCCTGCCACTAAGTAGCAGAACGACCCACTGAAACCAAGAAAGTAGAACAATTCTCAAAATCCAGGAGGGAACTTTAGCCCCCAGAACCCATACCTATTGAACCCATGTTGGTAATGGCACCACTGTGGCTCTCAGACTAGCTTTCAAAATTATTCTTTTCCCTTTTACTGAAGAATAAAGCACATACCCAGCTGGATGGCCTACTGTCTTACCCTGTAGTATCCCAGAACTTCAAGGGATTTTCTTCATTTTGTCCTGACTCTGCCCTCTTTAGTCTAAGCTGGTAGTACTTCAGCTGGTAGAGCCCCATCTCTATTCCTGGCTTCGGTGAGATAATGGCTTAAAGCCGTGAGTCACACGTCTTTATCAAGTGTTTGTGCAAATACCCCTGGTTTTCTAACACAATTCTCCATTTTTTTGCAATATGGATAGGCTGAGCACTTTCCAAATCTTTAAGTTCTGTTACTGATTTAACAAACCCTTCTTAAAAATGTATCTTTTCTTGCATTTTACTCTAAGCAATTAGGAAAAAATAAGACCATGTCTTGAACAGTTTACTTAGAAATCTCAACTAAATATCCAAATTCATCACTTACAAGTTCCACACTAGAAAACAATTCAGCCAAGTTCTTTCCCACTTTACAACAAGGATAACCTTGCCTGAAAACCCCCTTTCACATTCTACTTATTATCCAGTGCTAAACCTACTACAACATATTTGTTACACCACCACCTCACTTTCTGGTACCAAAACCTATATTAGTTTTCAAGGGCTGCCATAACAAAATTCCATAGACTGGAGGTATTAAACAACAGAAATTTATTTTCTCACAGTTCAGAAAGATAAGAAGTTCAAGATCAAGGTGTTGGCATCATTTGTTTTGACTGAGGCCGCTCTCCTAGGCTTGCAGATGTCTACCTCCCTGCTGCACCCCTGCTCCCACCATGGGGTTTTCTCTGTACATGCGCATCTCTGGTGT